GTTTATCAGACTTATCAAACTCAATATTACTCCTGTTCTCTTTTGCACACCACAGCTGAATTATTTGGATCAAAAATACAATAAAAAAATGTAATATTGTGATTCATTATTACAATGTAAAATAACCTTATATATATATGTATGTATATATGTAATTGTAATTTATTCCTGTGATCAAAGCTGAATGTTCTGCATCATTACTCCAGTCTTCAGAAAACACTCTAATATGATGATCCAGGAAACATTTATGATTATTATAAATAAAAAACAAAAAACAAACAAACAGCTGTGCTGCCTAGTTTTATGTAAATCATGAGACATTTTATAAATATTCTTTTAATAGAATTTAACAGTTATTTTAAATTCCAATAATATTTCACAATATTATAGTTTTACTGTATATTTCGTCAAATAAAAGAGACTTCTTTCAAAATAATTTAAAAGATGCCAAACTTTTGAGCATAGTTTACATTTGATCGACATTCCATTCAAATCCTGTAACACTTTACAATAAGAATTTATAAGTTACCTACTTTAGTTAACATGACTAACAATGAACTGCACTTCTACAGCATTCATTAATCTTACTTCATGGTATTTCAACATTTACTAATGCATTGTTAAAATCAAAAGTTGTAGGCCTATTTGTTAAAATATGGGAACTAACGTGAACAAACAACGAATGACACATGCCAACAGTAACACAGATTGATAAATACTGTTTCAAATGTATTGCTCAGTGGTAGTTCATGTTAGTTAATGTTAAGGAATGAGAACTTATTGTGAAGTGCTCCCTAAAAATCTTATTGCTGTGTGTAATTCTTATTCCTACCACCAGAGGACGCAGGAACTCCGTGAAACATATTAAACAACAGAACAACTGATTATGAGCCTATAGACGAATCCGGCGAAACTACCGGAAGTAAGCGGGCGCCATTACTGAGCTGTTGCTGGGTAGCGTTGCGCCATTGCCTCCTATTGTTTTAGTTGCAACTTGCGTCCACTGGAAAAAACAGCCCGCGATTTACGACTGTCACTAACGTTACAACGTTAGCCCTTGTATAATGTCGAGTGGGTAAACAGTTTCCGTTATAAATTGTTTCAATGGTGGCAGTAAAATTTCAATTTTGAAGAGAAAACATTGTGAATACCCCGGGTCGACTGCCCCTGTCTGGAGCCGTACGGTTTACACAGATTTCCTGGGCGAGTACAAGACGCGGACATTCGCGTATAATAACAATTATTTAATGACATAAGTAAAAAAAATATATAATAAATGTGTGATATAGTGATCAGCAAAATCTCCTCTCTTGTTATTTTTTCTATTCAATATGGTCATTAAATGGCTTTCCTGAGCTGAATGTAACGTTATGTGACATAATTGTTCTCCTGCTGTTATATTGACCTCTTTCCATGGTTTAAAAACAGTAGTTGGTCGATATTATGTATACTTTCTAGCTGTAACGTTACCTTACCCATGCCCGTTGCAATGTAAAAATGAGATAAATAATGCACACAAATGAAAAACATGAAATTGTTTATTTGATTTCATTTATTTATTTATTGTTGCCAAATGGACAGATCTTTTTTTAGTTTCCTCGGTAGCAAACGTTAGCCTAGCTTGCTTGCCAAGCTATTTTCATAAATAATCTGTAAGATCGTTTGTACCTTCATCTGTGACTGGAGGCCAATGTCTAACATCATCAACCCAACAAGTCTGCCTGGCTCTAGCTGTCATCAAGGGTGCGTTCCCAGATAGCAAACTGACATTGAATCAACGTGGAAATATGACATCGAAACAACGTTGATCTGACATTGTTTTGCTCATCGAATTAACGTTGAACCAACGTCAGACGCGTCATTCTTTCAAAACTAACGGAAAATCAACTTGAAATCAACGCGTTGTTTCAACGTTATGAAAGCAAACCAATTTTCGATTTTCATTTAGCTTTGAAGAATGCCGCGTCTGACGTTGGTTCAACGTTAATTCGATGAGCAAAATCAACGTTGTTTCAATGTCATGAGAGACGTTGTTTCCACGTTGATTCAATGTCAGTTTGCTATCTGGGTTATCACCTTATCTCCGAGGTTTGTTTACATACCGGTGCATATGTCTATGCCGGTGTAACAGCTCAGTAATGGCGTCGCCACAAGATGGCAGCCTACACAAGAACGCTCGTCGGATTCGTCTATAGCCTAACTGAGGATGAGAAACTGAATACTGATGATGATGGTAAAGTAAAAATCTGGTCCAAATGTAATATCAAAATCCAGTTTAAGAAATTCCTATTGTGTTACTAACCCTTTATTTGAAGTCTTAAAACAGTTTATTCTCCATTTTTCCGCATGTGCTGTCACTGGAGAAGTGTTGACTTCCTCACAGCATCTGCTCTAGAATTGGAGAAAACCACATAAATCAAATGTTTACAAATTCTGACCTCAATTATCTGAACAATGCGTTTGTGTGTTTAAATTCCTCTTTTCAACCATCTGGTTTTAACAGCAGTTCCTCAATCTATTTTAATATAGTAGCCTAAGTCCTGGAAAAACCATAAAAACATAGGTTAACAAAACGTCTGCTGTAATTAAATTGTGTTTCCCTTACTGTAAATCCGATGCATCGTAGAAGAAATGAACTAGCTACAGTCACGACTGTTTCCCGGAACCGCATCGTCGTAAATTGGTCGTTCAATCTCAATTGGTTGATGATGTCACGCATGTGGAGTAATAACTTATTTTAATGAATCAGTTTGAGATCGAATTAAAGATCCTGTATGGAACTTTTTCACTCTAAAGCATACAAATACCATAATATGATTGCCGAAATTTGACCTGAAAGTTCACATACTAACTTCTAAAAACGTGTCAACAGTCATTTATCTAACTTTGAAATGTGTGTTTTTGTTTTGGTCTGTGTGACTCCGCCCACAGTTTTACATATAGGTCCTTTCTTTTACTGTCTATGCATTTGTCCCGTTGACTTTCTGTACTTACAATATTCAATCCTGTCACTAGGGGCACTCTAGCCAGTGAGACGCCTGGTAGCATAAAAAGGATAAGAGTAGTTTCAGAGAGGAAGGATGTGTTAACCAGACTAACCACATGGAGAAGTTGAGGAATGTAAGCACTCTAGTTAGTATTTTCTTTTCTTTTTTGGATTTCGTTGTCAATTGCGCTCATTCCTGTTGAGTCTTGAGGAGGAACAACATTCTCTGATATTTTGAATTTGAACTCCATTAACTATTTCGATCTTTGCTGTCATTCTTACAGATTATATTTTTAATGCTTTGCTATAAATTACAGACATGGCATCTGAGAACTTATCTCTGTTATTGCACGTTCTCTGTTGTCAATTTTATTATTGACTTAAGTGTTGAGCCATTCTATATTAAATAAATACGGGTGGAGTATGAATGACAAAAGAGTTCATGGATTTTGTAAGAAGTGGTCATTGAATACATTTTGTGTGAAGCAATGAAAAATTTTACAAATATTGACCAGTGAGTGTTAGCAATCGAAAAAAAAGTTGAGAACAAATATATGCAAAAATACTTTAGTATTGAATAAAGCTTGTTAGCAATATATATATATATATATACAAAAACGTAATTGCGTTTTGACTAGTTTTTGTTTAGCCACATAACAGTATATTGTGTAGCCTATTTTTACATTTTACAGTTTTACTTAATTCTTTATTTGTCCCATTACTAAAATACTGTAAAAAGAAAACTTTAAAAACACTGTGTGGGAATACAGTATTTGTTGTGTTTCTTATCACTTATTTCACCAGGTTTCTGAATGAATAATATATGAGCCCAGAAACTGCTCTTGAGGTTATTGCAAACAGATAAATCACAGACCTCTGTAAAGGCCCAGAATCCAACGGTGTGCGAAGGTATGTGTGCATGTCCAACACTGTCTCACGAACAATTCGTATGAATTAGTACGAGTGATTAAAAGGTGGCTAATTCATATGATTTGTCTAAACCCACATGTTGTGTATAGGTTTAGGGGCGGGGTCAGGGATGGATCATTAGTACGAAGTCCTACGAATTTGGCAACTTGTAAAATTTGTACGAATTGCCGTTAGTTCGGGTTGGTGGTAGCCTATGTTTTTTCAGCGCTCCAATGAAGTTCACTTAATTTATTTAAATTTAAGTTCAATATTATGTTAGCTCTAGACTTAATCTGACTCCAATTTCAAATGATTATAATCATAAATATTGATTACGATTTAATTTAGATGTTTGTACATTTTGGGTTTCCCATAGTTTCAATTAATCGTTCATTAAGGGACCCGGTATCTTTGAGACTTCAGGTCGCGAATTTGCGCTCACTGACTATTTTAGACCTGGTTTTTGTCCGAGGATGCAGCGCTCATGAAAATGTGACTATAGCAGGCATTCGTGCAATTAATACGCGAAAATTTGTTTTTACATGCAAATTATACGCAGTTTTCACGTGCATATGTTTTGTGCACTTTATTGCATGTAATACACACGCACCCCACACCACTAATGTTACCCAAACGTATTCGTAGCCCACACCACTACTAAACCTACCCATGCGTATCATATGCACACACAAAAAAAATTTCACCTATAAATTGCACGATAAACACAATGTGTGCTATAGAGACGTATTTAGTGTGACCGGATTTAACTATTTTACCCTTAAGTGTCCGCTCTTCTTTCTCATTACAAAAGGTGTACTTTTTAAAAGTCTTGCTAAGTCTGTAATTGTAATGAGGCGTCAGCGGAGTGAGGATTCATCTGCAGTGTATTGATAGTCAAATTCACAAACAGTGAAAGATAAACTTGCAACAGCATTAACAGGAATAGGCAGAGATCAGGGCAGGCAGCAAACAAAGCAGAGTCCAAAAGGCAGGTTACGATCAGGGGAGCCAGCAAACAAACAGTCCAAGTCAAATACGGGAAAAGTACTTTAAACAGGAGTCAATGCCCAGAAATGTTCACCGGGGCAAAACAAGACTTCGCACCATGAGGATGTCCTCCGCATCGACCCAGGATCGCACCCCTCCCAGTCCACCAGGTGGAGTAGTTCTCGAACCTGGTACGCCTCCTCGCCATCAACCTGAATGGATTGGGGCTTGTGGGGCTTTGCTTCCTCCAACTTTCCTCTCGAAGAAGCGAAACAAGGAAAGTGGGAGAAAAACGATAATTATAAGGCAAGTCTAAACGAAATGAAACTGGGGCAATTTTAAAGTATTTTTACATCACCAAACCTGGGATTGAGTTTTCAGCATGGAAGTTTGAGACGAGGATCTCCAAACCAATTGACCCGGGGCATATTCATGACTGGGACTAGCTTGTTGTTCCTGTCTCCTCACAGCATGTTGTAAATGGGTGGTTGCATGGATCCAAATTTCTTGTGACCAGGAAAATAAGGGAGCTTGATAGCCCAGGGTGCACTTGTCAAACCTGTAGCATGCTTCTGATGTGAATTCTGTGCATACTCGGGTCACATTAGATATTTACTCCAGCCGGTCTGGTTCTGTTGGCAGTAAGTTCAGTCTGGCCGTTAGATTGTGGATGGTACCCGGAAGTGAGAGTGACATTTTATGTTGAGATGTTTGAAGAAAGCGGTCCATACTCTTGAAGACATAAGACATAATTACAGAGTGTCTCGGGTGTCTCAAAAGCGGTGGGAATTTTGGGCAGGGGCATGATTTGGAAAAGCGATCTATGACAGTGAGGATAATGGTGTTTCCTTGAGACTTGGGAAGATCGGTTACAAAGTCAATTTGCGATATGTTAAGGGGTCGGTAGGGTCTACTCATGTTCCCCAGGGGGTAACACTTGGATTCAGGGGAGAGAAGAGGATTATTAGAGATAAGGAAGGAGAAATATTGTCTCCATGGTGCCTTTTATTGCTTTATTGGTGCATTTTGTCTTACTCCTCATTGGTTCCAGGCAAGTTAAATTATTTTTCCTGCCACATTGCGTCACTCCATACGCCACTCCCTTAGGAAAACCCCCCTATAAAGGTAACAAACTCCACATCTGCATGCATTTCGGGGAACTCAAGCAATGAAATAGCTGCACAATCATAAAAACCAACAAGAGAGGAATCCCTGAAGGACTTCTGAGAGACAATAAAAACTGTGCAACTGGCAGCTGTTATTTTCCTTTGCAAGGTAGGATTTTATATACTTCAAATCAGGAGAAATAAAACGCTAAACATTTTTACATCCACAACCAAAAATGAATATTGAATATTTATAAAGGGAAAATTAAAAATGTTGCTGTTGCTAGACACCCCCCCCACACACACACATTAAAAAAAACTAACATACTTTTGTTTTTTACCCCTTTTCCTTTTGTTGTATTACAGAGTGTGGCATTTTGAGTGGCAGTGTTTTCCAAAATGAAACACAAGAGCTGTTAGTTTTGAATGCTGTATCTAAGTGTGTTTAAACTGATTGGGGAAGATTCCTGTTGTTAAAGAGGACTGTGGTTTTAAAGGTGCATTGCGCAAGTATCTGAGTTTTTGCAGAACTATGCCTCCTCTGGCGACAAGCGAAACTGCAACCAGAGGTTGAAAAAAAAATTACTTTTAAAAAGTGGTGCTGGGATTGACTGATGCTTGCAAGCAATTGAAAAATGGGAAATATCAATTGTATATATTACATAAAGGGATTTAATATGTTTCAAATTAGGTGTTTGTATGTGGATTTGCGGAGGAGTCTTCATGTACTCCAGGCTTTGAGTCGGAGTTGCTGGTTTTTAAAGTGCACAGTGATGACCTTCACCAAGGACAAAGACTAGGAAGAGGTATGTGCTATCTTTAAATAAAACCTTTTATTTAGAGTTTAAATATCTTTAGTGTTTGACTAAATATTTCTTTAACTTCAAATTTTACAATTTAACTGCATCCACTAACTTTGCTTTCATCAGAGTCAAAATTAAGGGACTCACTCAAGTACTAGTGTTGTATCTCAATAATAAGTGATGCCATAAATAAACGTTCATAGATTCATAAAGGACACCCTCCAGCTGGACACCCTGCACGCCTCAAAACGACACGCTATCGCCCCACAGCTTTTTCGCCTGCGTTTTGTTCGATTTTACAGCAACACTATGCATTTTTAAAAAGTGCGCATCTCTGAGTCCAAGCAGAGATACACATGTTAAAAGCTAGCAGAAACTAGCAGAAAACTATCCAACAGAGAAACTCCCACCCCCTCCCTTTTGAGCTTCTTCCAAAGCCACGCCCCCAAAACTAATGAACGACCGCTCCGCCGGAGGACCGTTTACCAGCGCCGAGCGAAACTCTTTCTCTGCCATAATTGAGACTTCCTAGCTTCCGGTCGGTGCGTGCCTCTCCTCTGTCAAAATGAGCGAGTCAACCGGCCGCGCGCATGTGGGCGGCTCCTGTAGCAGCAGGGGTGGTTGCCATGGTAGCGAGGGAGAGTGACAGTCGCCCAGCCAATCATTGCATTCGTTCCGAATGGACAGAGTAGCTGTGTTTATTGCAGCACTGAGAGATTTTTATACTCTCCTTTTCAGAGTACTTACATTTTAGATATGCATTGGTATATAAACACAGATTAAACAAATTTGGGGAAAAGTGTTTTAGAAACAAACTGCCTACCCTGCCTTTAAGTGTTTAAGTGTTTTTTGTACTCAAAGTCAGAGATAGTGGAGCTAGTGATCACCATCTCTGGCATGATGTAGTTGGGCAAAAGTTACACACAGAAACTGAGCAAAGAGCGCTCCCTATATAAACAATGCAGCTGATATCATATTCTATCAGAGGGTACTGGATTGACCCGGTATACGGTATTACAGAGAGGCATTTTAAAGGTTTAAATTAAGTTTCAACTGATTTGACACTCTATTCATTTGAGACGATTTCAGGCAATCATCACACCTGGAGGGCGTTCCCATAGCATCTGCTACTGACACAGCGTCTTGTTCCCCACTCCAGGTTTACATACGTGACAAGATGCTTTATTGTGCCAATTGACTCTCTTTTTCTGACAGTAATTTTTAATGCATGCGATGGAAGAACAAGAACGCTCTTCCAGTCCAGTGACAGGTGTTTTGATGTGGACTCGGATGGGACCGTAACACCGAAGAGGCAAATGACTCCTAATGAAGGCCACAAGGTGTTTTCTGTGGACGCTTGGGACTCCAGAGGAAAGAAGCACACGGTCTCTGTCAGAGTCGAGCGTGTCCATCATCATCATGAGGACCATCACATGAACATCTCCTCTCCACAGGTACAAACAAGTTCCTTCAGGAGTACAGTACAAGCCTGACCTCTATTGGACACTTCAGTGTTTGAGTGTGCTACTTTAAATTGACATATTCAATGATCAATGTCTGTAAATGTTTAGTACTATGTATTGGAGGCATTTGTTAAACATGACATATCCAATCCCTGCTGATGAACCTAATGTGTCACAGCTATCTCTCGTTGGTCTCAAACACACAAGAAGGCTGACGATTAGTTTCTTTTATGCAATGCTAAAGCCTAAAACCTCTGATTAGCAAAATGTTTCATATTACACACATAAATAAAACATAACATAAAATAGTCCTGGCCTGGTCCTCTCTCATCCTTCACTGTCGTCGCTCCTCCTTATTATTATTATTATTAAAAGGGAATAATGTACAGCCGGCGATGAAGTGAAGAGGTCTCGAATTGACCTAAACTGGTTTATTGAATAGTGACCCCTAAAAATGTTATATTAATACTGTTTCTCCCCAGACAGATTTTGAAACTCATAGCCGTAGTAAACATTTTGAGATGCAAAAATTATCCACATTTTTAATGGCTTGTGTGCCGTTTAATTGTCAACAAGAATGATTTGTTGCTCATTGTTTTTTTACTGACATATTCAGATTGAATCTCCCTCTGACGATCTGGTTCTGAAGTTTCCAAAGTCTACAACGGGTCTGAAGAGAGCAAAGAGAGGAGGTTGGATTATTCCTCCATTTAATATACTTGAGAATAGCAGAGGTCCTTTCCCAGAGAAACTGGTCCAGGTGAGAAAGTCATGAAGGGAAAGTTCAAAATGAGATGATCGAGAGAGGTTTGACTGTTATTGACTTTGTTCTATTTTTGATTTCTGCTATTTAGATAAAGTCTGACTTTTCCAAGGAAGCTACAATGCAATACAAGATCACAGGTGAAGGAGCGGATCTGGATCCTAAGGGGACTTTTGTTATAGACAGATTAACAGGGATTCTGTATGTGACTCGGCCACTCGACAGAGAAATAAAAGCTTCATACAGAGTAAGATGATTTTAGGTCTCTAACTTTGAGAGCAGAAATCCATTTGCCTGAAAGTCACAAGCTTCTGTGTGCAAGATATTTCTAAACTCATAAGAACTTTATTACCTCTTGGTTTCCTTTTTTGGGAATGAGACATTTGTACCAGTCGCGCTGAGACATTTCAAATGATACCAAACATGTATATAACTGTATGATAATTGTTCTCATTAAAAGCAAATTGGATGAGCTTCAGGCGATCTCAGCACGAGAGAGAGAGAGAGGGAGGGAAAGAGATGTAGATTAGAATTATTCTGAGGTGAGAATTGCATCTCGAATGATACACAAGAGTTTAATGTTAATTTCTTTTGTTCTCTCACAGAGTAGCCCTCTCTTGCATTTTTTCAGTTCTTCCAGTCTTACAACATGAACTAAAAGACACTCTTAATTTATTGAATTGTGTTTTTTCAAACAACCTCAGATATTTGTCTCTTAACATGCCTGTCTTCTCCTGTCTTTAGCTTGTGGTTTTTGCTTCTGGAGTTGATGTGGATATCAGGGAACCTCCAATTGAAATTATTCTAAATGTGCTGGAACAAAATGTCAATAAGCCTTTTTTTACACAAAATCCATTCATTGGAAATGTTCCTGAAGCTTCTGTTATAGGTAGGTGTATGATGCAGTTTCTCAATTAAATGTTTTCTAGCAGTTTTTCCACCGAATCAGTCTTTATTCTTCTCTCACTGAAGGTCATGAGTTTATGACAGTCACAGCCACTGATGCAGATGATCCAGACACTCACAATGGTATAGTCACTTACGCAATCGTCAAGCAAGATCCAGAATCGCCAAATCCAAACCTGTTTACAATCAATCCTTCTACCGGAGGAATTCGTGTGAATGCTTTAGGCTTGGACAAAGAGGTGAGAAATGATGAATGGATCTCGAGGTGGCGAAGAATGATTTCATGTAAACAAACTGACCTGAAAACATCTTCTCTTTCAGAAATGGTCCAGATATACTGTGTTAGTTACGGCGACTGATGTGGAAGGAAACGGTTTTTCAACGACTGGCACAGCTGTTATTACTGTGACTGACAGCAATGATAACGCACCTCAGTTTGTGCAAACCACGGTAATGTATATATTAACACATTCAGCCTGTCATAATAAGCTTTTTAACTTTGTTAATACTCATTTACACCATTAATCTCTTTGTTTTAGCACACTGTATCTGTCCAAGAGAATAAAGTAGGGGCTGAAGTGGCCAAACTTGCAGTTACTGATGAAGATGATGAGGGATCTCCTGCCTGGTCAACCAAATATAAGATTATTGACGGAGACAAGAATGGGTTCTTCAGTGTCACTACTGGACCCGGCCAGCTAGAGGGCATCATCACCACCGTAAAGGTACTGTGTGTGGCTTGTGTTTGTACTGGCAATTGGTTGTGATCATGTTCCTTCAGTAAAAGATGCTTTCTTTCCCATTCAGCCCCTGGACTTTGAGAAGAACAAGCAGTTCATTCTGTCTGTGATTGTTGAGAACGATGATCCATTTGTCGGTTCTCTGCCCACTTCCACTGCCACAGTCACGGTGAATGTAGAAGATGTGAATGAGCCTCCGGAGTTTAATCCAAAAGAGAAGGTTATCTTCAAACGTGAAGATGCTCCAGTTGATGGTGAATTGGTTACTTATAAAGCCACTGATCCAGACACTGCAAAAGCACAGACGATAGAGTAAGAAATCATTTTATCCCCTCAAAGACAATCAAACCACTAAAGTTTCATTCCATTTGAAAATTCTGACTGATATCTCTAGAGATTCACATCTCGAAGAACAATAAAAATCACAGTTTCTCATCTCATATTGTTTTTTTCTCATACTTCTACTTTTACTTCAGTAGATATTTTCGATGAATTTAATACTTTTACTTCGATATTTTTTTAATGTTCTGCTAGTTACTCGTTACAATTACAAAAATTTTACGAATCATTCATTGTTGGCTTTCATGCTGCCTAAATCACGCGCCAGTTTTATAGGGTAATGCTATTGTTTGACACACACATTGACGACTAATGGGGTTGTCCTGCAATGACATTTTTTTAGCGGCCGCCAAAGCAAATTTGTTTCCCGCCAAAGTCCCTTATTTGATTGCTAGTTCAAACTTTTGACTGCTTTCTTTAATAATTACATGACACAATACTTGTACTTTTACTTTTAGTACTTAAGTAGTGAATTTTAAAATAAACTACGTGCAATACTTAAGTACAAAAAATGTTGAATACTTTACTTCTACTTAAGTGTGGTGCTTAAAGAGCACTTCAACTTCTACTCAAGTCACTTTTTTTGATAGAGCACTTGTACTTTTACTCAAGTCCGGGTTTCTAGTACTTTATACATCTCTGCAATCTTCCAATGATGGACTTTTAATGATTTTTGTGTGTCAAAGAGCCTCACTTGCAATATTACCGACTGAGAACCACCTTATCAACCTGTTAGGGCCTATATCCCTTCCAATGTCAAATCTTCATACGCAGAATTAAATAGCATTCCTGCACATGTTTTTTAACTACCAGGCCGGACTTAAGTTGTTCTTGCTGAACATTTCTAGTTTTAATCTGTATGTTTGGTTTCTTCCAGGTATAAGATTGGCATTGATCCTGCCGGCTGGCTGAGTGTTGCTCCAGACACTGGAGTTATTAAAGTCAAGAGCCTCATGGATAGAGAATCTCCATTAGTCAAAGATGGCAAATACAGAGCTACCATTTTGGCGTTGGATAATGATGGTAATTTGTGTTTCTTTTTTAAGAGGATGATTCTTGCTGGCCTTTTTCTGATGTCTGTGCTTGTGTGCAGGTGATGCTCCAGCAACTGGCACAGGAACCCTGGTTATTGAACTGGAGGATGTAAATGACAACGCTCCTGTCATCAATGAAAGGAATATAAAAATATGCAATCGTGGTTCAGCCCCAGTGCTTCTCTCTATATCGGACAAAGATGGACCTCCTCACGCTGGTCCTTTTAGAGTTGAGACCCACGGAGAAACCAGTAAAAATTGGTCCGCCTTGATGAATGCCTCATGTGAGCAATTACTAATGTTTTAAAGAAAAATTACTCATTCCTTCATACGATACACATTGAAATATCTTTTATATAGTCTTGCTATACATGTCTAACTATTATATTGTGTCCATTTTAGCAATGGGTGTCTATCTGACACCAAAGTCTGCATTGGAGAAGGGTGACTACAACGTTGTCCTGAAAGTTATTGATCAGGGTGGGATGGATCAGGAAAGCACCATTCAAGCAAGTGTGTGTGACTGCGAAGGAGAATCAGTGCAATGTGTTGACTGTGACACTTCTTGCTCATTAAGGACCAGTTCATTCTGTCTGCAATGATGCATTCATCAACTTTTAGCCCATTTCTGCTGTGAAGAAGTAAACAATGTTGAATCAAAATGAGAAGTTGATTTTATAATTGAAATAGAGGATATAAATAACAGCACTCCCTGATGATGTCTATTAATTATTAATTCATTCATTAATTCACTGCATTTGTTATATAATATAAATGTAATGAAGGAATGAATATAATTACTTTATAACTCATCAATCATTTATTCATAAATAATCTCTTTTTTACATTTGCTGAACATCTTTTTACATTTATTATATCTGTAATCTTAATATTACTGTAATCATTGTTATCTAAAGGATAATACAAACAGATGGTTTATACTATAGGTTTTGATGGCTTTTCCACTGTTTTACAATTGGTTTTCAAACATTCAAGAATATTTTCTATTGAGGTTTTACAAGATTTAAAATTAAAACGTAACATTTTAACGATTTTCGTACAAGTTTAATCTTTATTTACCTTTCTTGTAAAGCAATAGCAATTGTTTTCATAATGTCATGAACACTAAACTTTCTAATTTGCATCTGTTGTTTATCATTTGAATACATTTGACCAACAATTAATCCAAGTGATTTTAAGCAGCTGTTGTTGCTTCTGCTGTTATTGGTTCGGTGGATGTTATTGCTGCTGTTGCGGTTGTAACCCCTACACCCGGGTCCCTCTCGACAATGCAGGTGTGTGTGTGTGTGTGTGTGTAAAAATATATGCATATCCAGTTGAGAGAAACAATTACTTTTTTGGCAAAATTTCTTAGGCTCTCGCAGCCCTAGATTCTCATCTTTGATTATTTTTTTGAGGGTTTAGGATTTTTTCTACAACTACTACGGCTGGCTCGATGGAAATGGAAATGTAAAACTGTTCCAAAAAAGTATTGTCTGGACCTGGAAATATAGAGACCGGTCCTCTTAAAATACCCCTAAAATCCATATTGCTGTGTGTTATTCTCATTTCTACCACCAGAGGAACTCTTGAGTCGAACATCACTCGCTCTAAACAACAGAACAACTGATTATGAGCCTATACTCAATAACTGAGGCTGAGAAAGTGAGTAACACCTCTGACAATGTTTCTCTTACTCTTTGTTTCCTTTTAAGTCTCAACCACTTCTACTTCCTATTCGCTCATGTTTGTCAAGGCATGTGTTCTAGAAGCATTTGGTCTTATCTGAAAACCGAAAATAACAGACATCAATTTTTTTATTTTTTTTAAATCTGACCACAATTGCATCTGAGCGATCTGTTTAAATTCCTCTTTTCAACCATCTGGTTTCAACAGCAGTTTAAGTTATTTTAATAATAATCATTTGAAATGCACTTTATATTTCAGCAAGTCCCAAAGTACTACATGATAAAAACAGGTCAGTGCTAAAAATATAAACACATAGAGTGCATGAAGATAAGAAAAGGAAAAAAAAAAAAAACAATAAGGAAAAGTTCAATCATAAGTTCTCCTAAAAAGGTGGGTTTTAAGGCCACGTTTAAAAGCATCCACAGTCTGTGCTGTCCTCAGGTGGTCAGGGAGAGCATTCCACAATCTGGGATCTGCTGAGCAGAAAGCCCGATGTCCCATTGTAAGCAGCTTGGTCCTGGGAGGTTTCAGAAGATACGCTGAGGCATGTGTTGAGGTCTGTGGGATGAGGAGTTCCTTGAGGCTTCACCATGAATACAAGTTGGTAAGGAGGGAGACCATGTACTCAATCCTGAATGAGACAGGAAACGAGTGGAGTGATTTGAGGATGGGGGTGATGTGGTCGTGTTTGCAGACCCTCAACAGGATCCTAGCAGTGCTTTTCTGGATGAGCCTCAAAGGTCAGATGGGAGTCCATTGTAACACACAGGGTGGTGGATGATGTTGAAAGTGGAATATTTTGACTAGAGAAGGGGATGCTGGTAATGTTAGATGACCGAATCTGATGCGGAGTGCCGACTAAGATGGCTTCAGTCTTGGAGCTGTTTAGCTGCAGAAAGTTTTGCTTCATCCACGTCTTTACCTCCTCCAGGCAAGTAGTCAGAGTGGATGATGGCAGGGCAGCACAGGGGATTGGGTTTGTCCTGAGGTAGAGCTGAATGAAATTCCATGCCGACTGATGACTTGGCCAAGGGGGGGAGCATGTAGAGAATAAACAGGATGGGGCTGAGCACTGAGCCTTGAGGGACACCACAGGTCACGTTGTGTGTCAGGGATTTAGCCTCTCCTAGCTCTCCCGGTGAGGTAGGATGGGAACCACTCATGGACAGAGTCAGAAACGTTTAGACGGTGGAGGAGGATGTTGTGGTCCACAGTGTCGAATGCTGCAGTCAAGTCCAGGGGGACGAGAAGAGTTGGGGAGCCAGCATACGCAGTCATCAGCAGGTCATTTGTGAGGAAACCAGACTGAAATCCTTCTAAAAGGTTGTTTTGTTTTAGATGATCCTGGAGCTGTGCGGCAACTACTTTTTCCAGCTCCTTGGACAGGAAAGGAAGGTTGGAGATGGGCCTGTAGTTGGAAAAGACTTTTGGGTTTTTTGAGGAATGGCCTGATGACAGCGTTTTTCAGTGTTGATGGAAGATGGCCAGCCTGGAGGGAGTGGTTCATGACCTTTGTGATGAGGGGACTCATGGGATGAAAGTTGTATTTTACCAGGGCTGTGGGGAAGGGGTCCAGGGCTCAGGTGGATGGTTTAATCTTTTTGATGATGTCCTCAAGCTCTCGCTGTGAGATGACCAAAAAACAGCAGAGAGGTTGGGAAATCCCAGGCTGTGGGTCTGCAGTGTGGAAGAGCTGGATAGCAGGGAACGGATGGTGTCTATTTTTTTTCTGAAAAAGTGATGAAATTGTTGCACCTCTCTTCTGTGGCTTCTGAATGAGAGTGAGTTTGTGGTTTGAGGATGTCACGTATGGTAGAGAAAAGTTGCTTGGAGTTGCCAGGGCTGGTGTTGATAATGTTGGAATAGAACTGTGAACGTGCATCTTTTAAGGACCTTCTGATGTTCTCGGTGATGTTCTTAGGCCTTGAGGCGCCACTCAAGGACACGCCCAGCTGTTTTCATTTGCCGGAGTTTGTTGGTGTACCAGGGGGCTGTGCGTAAGAAGCTGACAGTTCTAATATTGACGCGGTGTGGAAATCTAGGAGACTGCTCAGAGATTGTTTGTAGAAGTCAACCGACTCAGTGACTGAGGAGAAATCAGCAGAGGAGAGATGTTGGAGGTCTATGGTCAAGATGTCCGGGTTGATCCTTTTCAGGTCCCCTGTGTCTTTGGTGTGTGGGGAAAGGAGTGTCAGCTCCATTGAGATGGCTTTTTGGTCAGACACACCCAGAGGCGTAGGTTTGATTTTGAAATTGGTGGGGACAGGGACATCAATTTCAGGGCTATGTATCGATTCACATGTTCAATTTCGATTCGATTTCGATTCAAAAGCTCTCAGATCGATTCAATTTCCAATCTTGATTTCGATTCTCAATTCCTGATTTGATTCTCGATTATATTCTTCGACTATAATGAATATAGATGTAACACAAATCCTATATAAAGAACAGTGGACATAAGTTTACTAGTGGTTAATTAATACAAATAAATTAAGAGCCACAAACCTGTATATAAAACTCTTTGTACACTAGCCTATACATTAAATGCATACAATGAATAGACAGGATTTTGATGCAAGATGCAAAAAAGTCAGAACAGTCGCACAGCTTGATCAAACAGGATCTGGTTATTTTATGATTAAGATAGATATCAATATATAAATATTTAGACTTTTTATTACATTGATCTTACCTAAATGTTCATAATTTTTTTTGTTATTGTTTATGCAACACATGGAAGCTTGATTTCAATCTTTGAATTAAATTGAAAAAAGTAGCACAAATAAATACAACAGAATAAAGACCAAATTTTTTGGTATATCAGAAATACTACAGAAACTGAATAAAGTAATCCAATGTAAAATAACACTGATAGTCTTTTTAGTCCAGACTGAATTAAATACATAGGCTATTAATTCTGATTGCTTACAATTAATGCTATATTATGTTGTTATGACAACAGAATTAATGACAGACACAAATGGCTGCGTTCACTTTAAGAACTAGTGCGCGAATCCATTACTGCTTCATTAGAACTTCTTTCTGTCAGACGCGTTTAATGCTAATTTAAGACATAACCGACTGTCTTTACGAGGTTATTCACCAAGACCAGAGTTTTGACATAATTTTGCATGTTTTTAACTGTTAAAGCGATATAATCCAGGGATAAAACTTTTGTTTCTGGCGAGCTGTTTGTAAGGCGGATTTAGGCTGTACTGTATGAGCACGCAGTGAAAGACATCTCTGAGAGTGCGCGAGCACGGGATGGTTTAACATTGCTTGAATGTTTAAACTGGTAAAACCAATGATAAACGTTAGTTACGGTGCAATGCTGGCCCGATTGTGCAAGTGAATATTCCGTCACGTCCCGACTCCTAAACGCGAGTGTGTACAGTAGCACTTGCCTAGTGCATAGAGAGAAGACGCAGGACCGCCACGAGTCCTTAAAGGGTTAGTTCACCCAAAAATGAAAATTCTGTCAGTATTTACTCACCCTCATGTTGTTCCAACCCCGTAAGACCTTCGTTCATCTTCGCAACACAAATTAAGATATTTAAGATATTAAGATCGCTCCTGCATACAGTCCATAGGCTTCTTGAGGGAATGACTCTTGCTGTCCTCGAAAAGTCATTAAAGACATCGTTAAAATAGTCCAAGTGACTACAGGGGCTCAATCTTAAGTTTATCAAACGACGAGAACACTTTTGTGCGCAAAAAACAACAATAATAACGACTTTATTTCAACTATTCACTTCCTTCTCCATGGGCCTGTAGTCAGTTAACGTAGTGTGATTGCGTAGAGCTACGTCACACGTAGGCTCACTATTGGCCGACGCTGGTCATGTGTGTGTGATGCGTGTGACGTACAATAACAGAAGCTTACGCTATTAAACTAGTAACCTGACTCGCGCAGAGGGAGAAATAAACCAATAGTTGAAATAAAGTCGTTATTTTTGTTGTTTTTTTGCGCACAAAAGTGTTCTCGTCGTTTGATAAACTTAAGATCGAGCCCCTGTAGTCACTTGGACTATTTTAACGATGTCTTTAATGACTTTCCGATGCCAGCAAGAGTCATTCCCTCAAGAAGCCTATGGACTAGTATGCAGGAGCGATCTTAATATCTTAAATATCTTAATTTGTGTTCTGAAGATGAACGAAGGTCTTACGGGGTTGGAACAACATGAGGGTGAGTAAATACTGACAGAATTTTCATTTTTGGGTGAACTAACCCTTTAATATAGAAAAAAAAATAGATTCGTGGCCGTTGAGAATCGATTTTGAATCGACCACATTTTAAAAAACTTTTCGCCCAGCCCTAATCAATAAATATTTTAAGTTTTGATCGAAATTATTGCTAGGGATATGTGTCACTGGATGTTGGTAGGTAGGGACACGTCCCTAGCGTCCCTACTAAATTCTACGCCCCTGGACACACCCAGATCATGCGCCAGAAGGTTATGGGGGCGAAGTTGGAAATGACCAGGTCCAGTGTGTGCCCCCTGGAGTGTGTGTGGGGACATTGACATGTTGTTGGAGGTTGAGACAGTCCAATATTGACTACTAGGTCGAGAGGATGCATTATTAATAATAGTATTTACTAGAGCATGCAGTGTTTATAGCAGATTTGTACAACTGGATATGGTCAGTGTAAAGCAGTAAGGTGAACAGTCAAACCAGTTTTTTTGTGTTTAGACTGTGAAGTGCAGGGGTAAACCAGGGAGATGTGTGTGTAGAAAGTACATCTCTACAGTAGTTTTAAGAGGGGCATGTATATCAAGGGCAGTGGAAATATAGGCATTATGTTTGGTAAGGATATGTGTTCAGAGATATCAGAGAGATGAGTTTGTACAGATTCAGAGGATTAACAGAATTGAGGTTACGGTAGGTTATAGTGGATTTCACCCTGAGGCAGGGAATACGCATTTTACAGTTTAGTTGATCAGACAGTCCAATTTGAGAACCAAGCACAGAAACATTAGACCAGCAGTGCATAAGATCCAGTGTGTGACCTTTTGAGTGTGTTGCAAAATCGACATGTTGTACAAGATTGAAACATTCAAATGACAAAAGTTCAGGCAACATTATCAACATGTAAGGTTTAAAGTCTCATCCAAAGGACGGTGCTTTTTACATCGTAGTGTCCCCATCTCTAGACTGGGGCGTTAGGACCCAGACAGACCACAGGGTAAACACCCTCTGCTGATCTTAACACCTCGTGTGTGTGTGTGTGAGACATCGTTAGCAATTTGTGAACACAGAGGCGGATCGAGTGCAAGAGATAAGCATGAGGTTTTTGAAAGAGTGACTATAGCAGTGTTATATATGTACTGTATATCAGTTTGGTTTTGTGTACTAAGAGAAAACGGTAGTTAGAAAAATAGTACCAAGAGAGAAAGGTGGTAGTTATCACGATTCTATGTGTTTGAGTTCAGTTTTGAGATCTTGTTTCCCCCTGTCTTTTGTGTTTTTGGTTTAGTCCTGTTAGTGTTTCCCGCTTTGTTTAAATTAGCAATTCCCGTCACCTGTGTTCAGTTTATTATCCCATCAGTCCCTGTTCATTTAAGCCCTGTGTTTTCCCTCAGGCCCTGTTTACACGAGAACGGTTCCGGGTGAAAACGTACAAATATTTGATCGGATGTGCCTTTCGTTTACACGGCGACGGCGTTTTGGGGGCTTAAACACGCAAAAAAGTGAAACTACCCTCCAGAGTGGAAATCTTAAAAACGCTCCCGTGTAAAGGGTAAAAACGTTAAAAACGCAAAGTCTGCTTGACAGTGAAGGTTGTACGCAGGTGCGCGGACTTGGTGTTGTTGTGTGGCAGTGCTTCACATCGCCACCTAGCCGTCTGGAGTGCATACTACATTGAATTTCACACACTTTTGCGTCACCATATGCACGCGGATTTCCCGCCCTAAACGCAGAATAAAAAGTGATAACGCAACGCCACTTTTGCGTTTTCTCTTCAGTATCGTTTCCGTGTAAACATAGCCTCAGTGTTTGTTGATCGTCGTTTTTGAATGGTTTTGTGTGCATTGATTTCCTGGAGATTTCGTTTGCTCCTGTTAAGTTAAGTTTGAAAATAAATCAACTATACTGCAGTTCTGTGTCCTCGTCTTCAGTCGTTAACCCTGACAGTAGTAGTGTTAGGAATGATTGTTCATTTTATTGTAAATATTTATTTTTCAAGATACTGCAAAAATGCACAAAATGTGCTGTCATTCTGTTTTTAATGTGTTTTATCATCTTGGAAAGTAGTGTGTTAACATTTGACAAATGTGCTGCATATTTAGGGACTTTTAGGTTTATGGATTTTGGAAGAGCCGTCATTAAATTAAATTTAAAAAAAAAATTACTGTCTAGTCCTTACTTCTGTTACTTCTCTGTTACTTCTGTTTTTCTGACTGTGAGAAGAGTTGTGACAGTGGCTTCAAGGTTTGACCGATGTTAGCAACTGAAAAAAAAAAGATGAGAATAACAGTTTGGGCTAAGATTCAATGACGATGTAAAAAAAAAAACCCTTGGCTAAACAAGTGTTGGATATTGTGGTTGTCAAATTTGGTAGCCTAACTGCACATGCTTTTATTAATTTAAGTGACAACATTGTGCAATAGGCTACTGCGTTTATTATTGTTTTATAATAAACAAACAACATTATCTGTATTGTAATATGTATAATATAATAGTAATTCTTGTGGTTTTATTCTGATCTTGATCCAATTTGGATCCATTTTATACATATAGCAACTCAAATGAAATTTTGGCCTAATGAGGTTTACTACTTTATTATATTTTAAGGATAAGAAAAAATATAATATATAATATAGTGCACAATGCACATATTTAGCTAAATCGTAGTCACTCCAGCTTTTTTTATTGACCTCTGAAAAACACCTATTGGTGATATTACAGTAGGCATGTGGCATATTCATTTCGGTAAGTTACTGTATCTTTCAACACACACCTATTAATCATTCGGGTTTATTTACTATCTAGTGAAGAGAGATGATCGGTTCACGTGCCATTTAAACTGAATCACTACGGGGAGGGGGAATAAGCTGCCAGAGCTCTTCATCTCAGAGCTATCTCACGACCAATTCGTACTAATTCGTACGAGTGATTAAAAAGTGGCTAATTCGTACTACGACCTCACTCGTACGAATTCGTACGATCTGTCCAAACCCACGTGATGGGTAGGTTTAGGGGCGGGGTCAGGGGTAGGTAATTCGTACAAATTCAATATGTACGATTTAGCAAAAATCGTACTAATTCGTACGAGTGAGGTCGTACGAATTGTTACGAATTAGCCACCTCGTAAAATCCGGACCAAATTAAAAAGGCAGCCATTATTGGTGAGTAAATACATAAAAGTTTTTTTTTCCCTTCGCAACGCATTTATAATTTCACCACTTTAACCATAGCCTACTTGTATCAATGTTTATAGACCATTTCAGAAGATGTAAACAACACTGGTCCAGAAGCACTTCCTGTTTCAGTTTTTTAACACTACATAAAAGCTGGGATAAAATACAACCAACAGAACATTTAAAACTGAATCAAAAAGTTAAACAAACATCTTTAATATGTTTTCTTTACATGTGAAATAAAGAAAACAGTTACAAACTGAAACAGGAAGTGTTTCTGGACCAGTGTTGTTTACATCTCGTGAAATGGTCTATAGGCATCAATGGAGACAGTATAAGGTATTGATTATTGTTACTATATCTGCTTGGAAGTTGGAACCTATAATACTAATTCATCGCTTGCTCAGTTCTTGATCCTAACTTTCCTCTTCTTAAGACACTTTTCTGAGTTTTCAAAATCTTCAGAATCAGAATGTTTACATGATGCATTTTTTATTATGATCATCAGCCTTTTATCCAGAAATGTGTCCGATCACAGCTGTACTGTTAGCATTTTAGGTTCCTGATGAAGCACTATATTATTATTGTTGTTATTGTTATTATTATACTGTCTTATTATTTTTTTCTTCTCTAGATGCTATATTGCAGAAGTGGCCGGCAGCCAGCCGAGGGGAGATAGGCACATCTATCAATTCGGAGCTGAGAAGATCAACAAGATAATTTTTTTTCTGTTCAGTTTTTTGTCTTATTTTTGTTCTTGTACTATTTGATTGTTCTTAAGTAAATAAATATTGTAAATGTGTACATTTCGGGCTATTATTTATGTTGCTAGTAGCCATGGATTTTAGTAATTATTCTAATATAGGTAAACATGTAGGTGCATGTGAACATATGTTCATACAGTATATACGTGCATACATGCACAAATAATATAGGAAAAGGCCAATTTTATATGTCACATATATTAAAAACCTATATTAAACCATATATGTTTATATAGGTTCTTGCGACACCATTCACACTCAAAACAGGAAATTTACCCACCGCCCAGCAAATGAAATTACCCAAAACCCCCCACCCCCCAGACCACAGACCACACCCCTACTCAAGCAATTATATTGCAATGAAATCTTAAAAAACTATAAAGTAGGACCTGAAGGACATTGAGACAATTTGTTTCCAATGGAGACAATCAAGATTGGGAGATTGGGAGTCTATTTTATTTTCCTCTGTAAGGTATGATTTTATCCAACCAACCTTTGGATGTTTTTATTAGTGTCTGATAATGCTCATCATGTTCGGAGAATATTTATACTTCTATATAAGACATATTTATTTCTTGAGAAGCTGATTTTATTTGACATTATACAGTAAATACAGTTTCTGTAATATGTTTCAAGACTAGGTTAAGTTTCGAGCTAGTATTAAAAAGCTAAACTTCTTAACATCCACCAAAAATCAACACCAAAGGTTTAAGAAGTAAATATAACAGTGGCGGCATCAACAATGTAGATGATTGGTGCGGCCACTGTTATTTTTACAAAATTCGCCTTTATTTTGCAGGGGTTGATTTTATCAAAACTATCAGGCTTCTGCCTTTTCCTTTTGTTATATGGGTTCAAGTGTCTTTAAGACTTTTGTTAAGTCAATAAGACGCGTAACCAGTGTGTGATTGTGGTGCTTTATTTACAAATACATAAAAATCTGAGCAGTTTCTGCACCAATAATGGACAAATTTAAATTTTACATATGAAACATCTAATTAATTACAATTTTATTGGAAGGTTTTACTAGACTGTCAACAAATGTTTATTTGTGAATTCTCTATGTAGAAAACTGCCTCATTTACAAAACAAAATGCTCCCAACAAACATAAAATCGGTTCCAGGTTGTGTCTGACTGAGAAAAGAATTCATGTCATTTGAAAGATGCTGTCATTTAATAATATTTTTGCCAAAACAATGGAAAATAATTCACAGTTAAGCCCACATATACTGCTATTGTGCTGGACTTTATTCATGAAAATGTATTTTAAAATATTGAATATGTTTCAAATTAGGTCCTTTCGTGTGAGTCTGCGGAGGAGTCTTCATGCACTCCAGGCTTTGAGTCGGAGTTGCTGGTTTTTAAAGTCCACAGAGATGACCTTCACCAAGGACAAAAACTAGGAAGAGGTAAGCTGTGTTTACAAATCTGTGTAAATAAAACACTGAAGTTTTTTGTTTGTTTTTGTTTCAATCTTTTTAGTATTAGGCTAAATAATTTATGTAAATGAGAAAAATGTGCAAAAGTCAGAACACATTAGTTCTGCGGCTCTGAGGCTTGACTTGACGATCTGATGTTGATCTTGAGTCTACAAAGACTATAGAGAATAATTAGATGGATTTCTCTATTTTTTTCTTGTTCCCTTTCGAGGGAATTCAAACTGCGTCGAATGACACTTTTGGGGGGAAAGCCCCTCAGCGTAGCAGCTCTGAAATATGAATGAAACTTTTTTTCGTTCATATTTCAGGCTTTAGTCAGGTTTTTTCCAGGTCACCCTGGAGTTAAAAGAACTTTGAAGCATATCCAGACACGGTTGTGGTGACCCAGTATGCAAGCGGATGTCAGAAAATTTGTGTCTGGCTGTTTTGTATGTGCCCAATATAAAGAACCTAAATCCCACCCTCAAGGTCTTCTTCACCCCAGACACCGTTTTAGTGTTTTATCATTCTAGGGTGGTTTTGCTCACACACTGCCAAGACACGTTTATGTTCAAACACCATGTAAAAGTGAATTTTGCATAATAGGTGCCCTTTAAATAAATAAAGTATTGACTTGCTAACCTTGATTCCCTGACTAATCGCAAAGGTACAATTTGGACCTACTTGTTCTTTTGACAACACTATGTCAGACCATTGTCACACCTGGAGGGTGTTTCCATAGTATCAGCTACTGACACAGCGTTTTTTTCTGAACTCAGGGAACCAGGTTTACATATTGTGCCAATTGAATCTCTTTTTCTAACAGTAATTTTTAATGCATGCGATGCAAGAACGCTCTTTCAGTCCGCTGATAAATGGTTTGACGTGAACATCGATGGGACCGTAACACTGAGGAGGCAAGTGACTCTTCATGAAGGCCTCAAGGTGTTTTCTGTGGACGCTTGGGACTCCAGAGGAAAGAAGCACACGGTCTCGGTCAGAGTCGAGCGTGTCCATCATCATCATCATGAGGACCATCACATGAACATCTCCTCTCCACAGGTACAAACAAGTTCCTTCAGGAGTACAGTACAAGCCTGACCTCTATTGGACACTTCAGTGATTGTGTGTGCTACTTTAAATTGACATATTCAATGATCAATGTCTGTAATGTTTAGGACTATATATTGAAGGCATGTGTTAAACATGACATTTCCAATCCCTGCTGATGAACCTAATGTGTCACAGCTCTCTCTCGTTGGTCTCAAACACACAAGAAGTCATAAACGCACAATAAGTCTGCCGATTTGTTTCATTTATGCAATGCTAAAGCCTAAAACCTATGATTAGCAAAATATTTTATATTACACACATGTGTGTATGTAAAATAGTCCAGGCCTGGTCCTCTCTCATCCTTCACTGTCGTCGCTCCTCCTTATTATTATTATTATTATTAAAAGGGAATAATGTACAGCCGGCGATGAAGTGAAGAGGTCTCGAATCGACCTAAACTGGTTTATTGAATAGTGACCCCTAAAAATGTTATATTAATACTGTTTTTCCCCAGACAGATTTTGAAACTCAATAGCTGTAGGAAACATTTTGAGATGCAAAAATTATCAAAATTTGTAATGGCTTGTGTGCCGTTTAATTGTCAACAAGAATGATTAGTTGCTCATTGTTTTTTACTGACATATTCAGATTGAATCTCCCTCTGACGATCTGGTTCTGAAGTTTCCAAAGTCTTCAACGGGTCTGAAGAGAGCAAAGAGAGGTTGGGTTATTCCTCCATTTAATATTCTTGAGAATAGCAGAGGTCCTTTCACAGAGCTACTGGTCCAGGTGAGAGAAAGTCATGAAGGGAAAGTTCAAAATGAGATGGTCGAGAGAGGTTTGACTGTTATTGACTTTGTTCTCTTTTTGATTTCTGTATTTAGATAAGGTCTGATTATTCTAAGGAATTTCAGATGCTCTACAGTATCACAGGTGAAGGAGCGGATCTGGATCCTAAGGGGACTTTTACTATAGACAGATTATCAGGGTATGCGTTTGTGACTCGGCCACTCGACAGAGAAATAAAAGCTTCATACAGAGTAAGATGATTTTTAGTCCATTTCAGCAATGCATTCTCTGCTCATTCTTAATGGGCTTTATTCCCAGCTGCACTAATTCCTGAACTTCAGCCAGCTCCTTGTTTCCTGTCTGCCATTATTGGAAAAATTGATTAATTCAGGTGTGCCTGACCTCAGTAGTCACGGCAACAATAATCAGAGACACCTGAATTGATCAAGTTCGGCCAATAATGGCAGACAGGAAACAAGGAGCTGGCTTAAGTTCAGGAAGTAGTGCAGTACATAAAGCCAATTCTTTGGAAGCTGAGATAAAAAAAGTATGAATAATCTGATAAATAAGGCCGTGAGAAATAGCAGACAGTTTACTTTTCATGTTTGAAGAGACTGTACATTTTTTGTAATTGGTATATCTACTAAAAGAAATCATTACTCAACCTGCATGAGTCAAAGCTAACAGACATGCAATAAAAAACAACAACTCTAATTTAGTGTGTTTTCAAAACGACCTCAGATATTTGTCTCTTAACATGCCCATATTTCTTCTCCTGTCTTTAGCTTGTAGCTCATGCTGTTGCAGATGGTGTGGATAATATCAAGGAACCTCCAATGGAAATTATTGTGACTGTGCTGGACCAAAATGACAATAAGCCTGTTTTTACACAAAATCCATTCATTGGAAATGTTCCTGAAGCTTCTGTTATAGGTAGGTGTATGATGCAGTTTCTCAATGAAATGGTTTTTAGCATTTTTTTTTTTTACTTCAAATGCCTCTTCAGTTTTTCCACCGAATCAGTCTTTATTCTTCTCTCACTGAAGGTCATGAGTTTATGACAGTCACAGCCACTGATGCAGATGATCCAGACACTCACAATGGTATAGTCACTTACGCAATCGTCAAGCAAGATCCAGAATCGCCAAATCCAAATCTGTTTAAAATCAATCCTGTTACCGGAGGAATTCGTGTGAATGCTTTAGGATTGGACAAAGAAGTGAGAAATGATGAATGGATCTCGAGGTGGCGAAGAATGATTTCATGTAAACAAACTGACCTGAAAACATCTTCTCTTTCAGAAATGGTCCAAATATACTGTGTTAGTTACGGCGACTGATATGAATGGAAACGGTTTTTCAACCACTGGCACAGCTGTTATTACTGTGACTGACAGCAATGATAACGCACCTCAGTTTGTGCAAACCACGGTAATATATATTAAAAATATTATAATACGTATTATAATACGTATTAAGTTAAAATGCTTATTTACACCTTTCATCTCTTTGTTTTAGCACACTGTATCTGTCCAAGAGAATAAAGTAGGGGCTGAAGTGGCCAAACTTGCAGTTACTGATGGAGATGATGAGGGATCTCCTGCCTGGTCAACCAAATATAAGATTATTGACGGAGACAAGAATGGGTTCTTCAGTGTCACTACTGGACCCGGCCAGCTAGAGGGCATCATCACCACTGTAAAGGTACTGTGTGTGGCTTGTGTTTGTACTGGCAATTGGTTGTGATCATGTTCCTTCAGTAAAAGATGCTTTCTTTCCCATTCAGCCCCTGGACTTTGAGAAGAACAAGCAGTTCATTCTGTCTGTGATTGTTGAGAACGATGATCCGTTTGTCGGTTCTCTGCCCACTTCCACTGCCACAGTCACGGTGAATGTAGAAGATGTGAATGAGCCTCCGGAGTTTAATCCAAAGGAGAAGGTTATCTTCAAACGTGAAGATGTTCCAGTTGATGGTGAATTGGTTACTTATAAAGCCACTGATCCAGACACTGCAAAAGCACAGACGATAACGTAAGAAATCATTTTATCCCTCAAAGACAATCAAACCACTAAAGTTTCATTCCATTTGAAAATTCTGACTGATTTCTCTAGAGATTCACATCTCGAAGAACAATAAAAATCACAGTATTGATTTTTGACTGTGATTGATGGACTGTGTCAAACAGCCTCACTTGCAATATTACCCACTGAGAACCACCTTAGCAACTGTCTACCTATTAAGGCCTATATCTCTTTCAATGTCAAATCTTCATACACAGAATTCAAATCATAGCATTCCTGCAAATGTTTTTTAACTACCAGGCAAGACTTAAAGGGTACATATAATGCTTTTAAAATCATTCATTTTTACAAATAAATCATACATTTGTGGTCTATGCAAAGCATAACTGCAATGCTTGGGTCTGAATTCCTCATTATTAAAGCTCCACAGGCCCCTTTTCTACCCCTTTTCTGATGGCCATTTGTGAGCAACTCGTTTTGAAGTGGCCTCTTTAAATAAAAAGGAGATGTGTCACACCCCGCCCGCTCTCCAGGTCACCGAGTTCACAGTCGGTTCAACTCCACCCCGCTCGGCCATTATTGTAGTTTGATTAGAGATATATACGAAAATACACTATAGATTCAAAGAACATTTTTATTCACACGTTAACAAAATGTCAACAACGGAAGACTTGTCCATCAAGCCTTACATGTTCGAGCCAGAGTGAGCGAGTTGAAAAAGACGAAGACGAACCTGCAGAACAACGTCTTCATATGGATGTAGTGGTATGTAACTGTGTTGTGTTATGAGTGAAAGTCGATTATTTCTCTTGTTAATACAAGCTCACTGACAAGATAAATGACTACGGTTTAATCTTACCACTAAAAATCTAATATTGTTAAAGCCAAGTTTACACTACAGGATTTTAAACCGATTTATGCCCGATTTGCAAATCGTTGAGCTCGCCGACAGGTCAGGGTGTTATCGCGTGCAAATCGCGAGGGATTAGCGGACGATGAACGCTTGCCAATCTGTTAGTATGAAAGAGCCAACAACGCAGCGAAAACGCTCGCAGACGCATCGCCGAGCCCAGCCTGCTAGATATCCAGAGCCGTCGCGCGACTCAACCTCAATGATGTCGTGAGTACAGCCAATCATAGCAACGCATGGGTTGAGGACACCAGGTAAATCTTTGTTGTTGTTTTTTTTTTGCATTTTTTTTCTCAGAGGAGATCGCCACTCAAACAGAGTGCAGCACTAGTTTCTGTCTGACGTCCATATTCACGTGTTGTGTTCTCTTCTTTGCTGTGTATAGGCGCACGTGCTGTTTTGCATCATTTCTGGTTCGTTTTATTGCATGGTTTTTCGTGACAAAACGTGGTAGATAGAATCGTTGGGTGACAGAGTTGTTGTCAACTCGTTATTTATTTGATTATTTTCAAGATTTAGACCGTACCATAGTACTGAAACAGCTCTCTAGAGTCACAAATGATTTGCTCTTATGATCCGACCGTGGTTGTATCTCTATGTAGTGTGTTGTCAACTCGTGTAGTGACTTACCTCCTGTTGTGGATCAATCACGTTGTGTTGTGTGGTGTGAACAGCTCAACAACTTGAACACTCCTGATTTCACTGAGAGCAAGTCATGTAGTGTGAACCGCACAGTTCAGCCCGATGTTAGTGTGAACAAGCAGCCCCTCCTTGAACTGCCACCTTAAAGTGGTGGAGGGGTTTGAGTACCCGAATAACCCTAGGAGCTATGTTGTCTGGGGCTATATGCCCCTGGTAGGGTCTCCCAAGGCAAACAGGTCCTAGGTGACGGGTCAGACCAAGAGCGGTTCAAAAACCCCTTATGAAAGAAATAAATTCAAGGACCGTGACGTCGCCCGGTATGGCGCAGCCGGGGCCCCACTCTGGAGCCAGGCCCGGGGTTGGGGTTCGTATGCGAGCGCCTGGTGGCTGGGCCTCTCCCCACGGGGTCCGGCCGGGCTCAGCCCGAAAGAGCGACGTGGGACCGCCTTCCCGTGGGCTCACCACCTGCAGGAGGAGCCGTAAGGGGCCGGTGCAGAAAGGATCGGGCAGCAGTCGAAGGTAGGGGCCTCGGCGACCCGATCCCTGGACACGGAAACTAGCCTTAGGGACGTGGAACGTCACCTCGCTGGCGGGGAAGGAGCCTGAGATTGTGCGTGAGGTTGAGAGGTTCTGTCTATAGATAGTCGGGATCACCTCTACGCATGGCTTGGGCTCTGTAACCAGACTCCTTGAGAGAGGATGGACTCTTCACCACTCTGGAGTTGCCCATGGTGAGAGGCGACGGGCTGGTGTGGGTTTGCTTATAGCCCCCCAGCTCAGCCGCCATGTGTTGGAGTTTACCCCGGTGAATGAGAGGGTCGTTTCCCTGCGCCTATGGGTCGGGGATAGGTCTCTCACTGTCGTGTGTGCCTACGGGCCAAACGGCAGTGCAAAGTACCCGGCCTACTTCGGTCTCTGGGAGGAGTGCTGGAAAGTGTTCCGACTGGGGACTCCGTCGTTCTAATGGGGGACTTCAACGCTCACGTGGACACCTGGAGGGGCGTGATTGGTTGGAAAATGCATTTAAGGGCTAAAAAAGTGGATTTCGCATGATATGTCCCCTTTAAGTTCTTGCTGAATATTTCTAGTTTTAATCTGTATGTTTGGTTTCTTCCAGGTATAAGATTGGCAGTGATCCTGCCGGCTGGCTGAGTGTTGCTCCAGACACTGGAGTTATTAAAGTCAAGAGCCTCATGGATAGAGAATCTCCATTAGTCAAAGATGGCAAATACAGAGCTATCATTTTGGCATTGGATAATGATGGTAATTTGTGTTTCTTTTTAAGAGGATGATTCTTGCTGGCCTTTTTCTGATGTCTGTGCTTGTGTTTAGCTGTTGCTCCAGCAACTGGCACAGGAACCCTGGTTATTGAACTGGAGGATGTAAATGACAACGCTCCTCTCATCAATGAAAGGAATATAAAAATATGCAATCGTGGTTCAGACCCAGTGCTTCTCTCTATATCGGACAAAGATGGACCTTCTCACGCTGGTCCTTTTAGAGTTGAGACCCACGGAGAAACCAGTAAAAATTGGTCCACCTCGATGAATGCCTCATGTGAGCAATTACTAATGTTTTAAAGAAAAATTACTCATTCCTTACATGTCTAACTATTATATTGTGTTCATTTTAGCAACCGGTGTCTTTCTGAAACTGAAGTCTGCATTGGAGAAGGGTTACTACACTGTTGTCCTGAAAGTTATTGATCAGGGTGGGATGGATCAGGAAAGCACCATTCAAGCAAGTGTGTGTAACTGCAAAGGAGAAGCAGTGCAATGTGTTGACTGTGACACTTCTTGCTCATTAAGGACCAGTTCATTCTGTCTGCAATGATGCATTCATCAACTTTTTGCCCACTTCTACTGTGAAGAAGCAAACCATGTTGAATCCAAATGAGAAGTTGGTTTTATAATTGAAATAGAGGATATAAATGACAGCACTCCCTGATGATGTTTATTATTCATTCATTCATTCATTAATTCATCATATACACACACACACACACACACAAAAACTTTATAACTCATCAATCATTTATTCATAAATAATCTCTTTTTTGCATTTGTTGAACATCTTTTTACATTTATTATGTCTGTAATCTTAACATTGCTGTAATCATAAAGGATAATACAAACAGATAGTTTATACTAGGTTTTAATGGCTTTTCTACTGTTTTACAATTGTTTTTCAAACATTCAAGAGTAATTTCTGTTGACGTATTACAAGATTTAAAATTAAAACGTAACGTTTTAACTATTTTTAGTTTAATCTTTATTTACCTTTCTTGTAAGCAATAGCAATTGTTTTCATAATGTCATGAACATTAAACTTTCTAATTTGCATCTGTTGTTTATCATTTGAATACATTTGACTGACACAGTCCTCGTCTGCACCTGTCTGTCTTAGTCTTCTCTTCACTACACTTCCCAGGATCCTCTTGTCTCCACACCTGTACTCACTCCCTCAATCACCCACCTGTTCATCGTCATTATCATCTGTGTCACCTGTCCTCACGTCATTAGTGTTCATTTGTATCTGTATTTAGTTCCCTCAGTTCATTCAGTCTTTGTCGGTTGTTAGTCATATTTAGATGTGTTTTGTGTGCCTGTTCCTGCTTGTTATCCTGTCTGTATCTGTGGTGTTCTCGAAGTAAACCGTTTGAATTGGAGCTTTTTGCCTTTGGGTCCTTCTTCAACCACCACAAGACCGTGACATTGACCAACAATTAATCCAGGTGATCTAAACCCTCTTGGGTCTAAGGTGTTTTGGGGTCCTTGAGATGTTTTGACATGCCCTGACATTTGAGCTTTTTTTTTTAGTTGCTTATAAACATATTAATGGTAAAGTTGTCATTACACTCTATTCACCAAACAGGGCTACCATAATATGTGAGCAACATGTATGTGCATGTTTTTATTTAAATATAAATATTTTTGCTTTAAAATTATCTGAAAATCATCCTCCTCATCATTAACATAAAACAATACATTGATTAAAATTTTGGTTGACACTGGTATGCGTACTTTGGTATGCATGTGGGTATGAATGCTCTGATTCACACCTGAGAATTATGCTATTATTGTTGCTGCTGTTATTGCTGTTGTGGTTATTGCTGTGGATGCTGTTATTGAGTCAGCGGCAAATGCCAGAACGAGTAGCCGAGAAAAGTCTGTTTGAAGTGGGAACATGAGCGCAGAGCGCCTGGTGATCGCCTGGAACGGATCTGCGACCTGGATCAAATTTTCATAAAATAAATTCACAGAAAATGTTGAATTTGTTTACAATATACAGTAAAAAAGTGTGTGTGTGTGTGTGTGTGTGTGTGTGAAAGAGAGATTTTGTGTAGTAAACCCCACATTTTCGAAAAAAATATGGAAAGTTTGTCGGTTCCTGAGGGAAAGAGATTATAAATCATACTGATATTTTTTTTGAAAATTCAGAAATAATATAAGGGTTAGTGTAAGGAGAGAGAATATATCGTTTGTTCAGAATAAAAAAAAACATTGTCCGTGGAGAGTCCTGAGAGAATCTGTAGCAATTAGTACATAATGAAAGTGTCTAATTTTGAGTAATAGCACATTGAATAACACTTTACAATAGTTTTATTAGATAATGTATTGACTAACATGAATGAATGTTTGAAAAAATGTTTCAGTGTTATTAATAAAACTACAGCTGTTCATTGGTTGTTCACATGAACTAATGTTAACAAATACAACCTTTGATTTTAAGAAAGTATAACTAAATGCTGAAATTAATATTACCTAAGATTAATAAGTATTGTTCATTCTTAGTTCATGTTATCTTAACTAATGTTGATGAACCTTACTGTAAAGTGTCACCCATTTATTTTGTGTTAGGGATCACACATTTTGTGCATAAAAGTAAAAGATATATCTGTATAAATGCACCAATTCTAATAGCACTTGATTTTTTTTATATACAAGTAAAAGTTATGTGTATAAATGCACCAATAAATGTAACCATGCCAAAGTCCAGATCAGCTTCATCTCTTCTGATGAGGAAGATCTCCTCCTCTCCAGAGACGAGGCCTGATCATGTTTACCAGCGCCGTTCGGCCCTAGAGTCTAGTTACCTGGATCTGCTCAACTCAGCGGCACACGCTGTTCTTACTGGGTCCCAGTTGCTCCAAATTAGAGCGCTTAATGACCCGGTGTGTGTTTGTGTCCTGGACGAGTGAACTTGAACCCTTTCCTTGCCATATTTCAGCAGTGTGTGTAATGGCAGACGACAAACAGAGAGACATACACAGATCGCAATCGCTCATAAACATATTAAATCAATGCCAGTGAATCTCTCAAACACACACACGCGATCGGTTATATATGCAGTCAAACCAGAAATTATTCAGACACCTTCAACATTTCTCACATTATCACAGTTTATTCGCTATAGTTTAGAAAATTACTGACTCAAATCAGTGGATATTTGACTGGTTCTTTCTGTTGGACTCTCACACATGAGTTATGTTGAATATCTGCCAATATATTAATTAGATAATACCAGTTTAGCTCAAGCAATGCTTCATGTTGTTCAGTGTGTGTGCAAAAAGATTAGCAATTACAGAAAACACACTTCAGCAAAACATCATCAGCTCAAAAATACGATTAATTTTGGGGTGTAATATGTCACAGTTTACTTTATTTTGCTCTCCTCACTTATATAATTGAACTATAGTGTCCTGAACAAACTAGTAAAAATATCAACAATTATATCTGGTGTCTGAATAAGTTTTGGTTTGACTGTATAACGGATAACTCGGGTGGAGTAGATTCATGAGAGAGAGAGAGATGTTTAACTCTTTTAATTTTCTATTCATGTTTAATCACATTTTCATAATTAATACCAATGAGTAATAAATAACAATATTAATTCCTTCAGATTTCAGCAATACCACTGAAACACTAATTTATCATCATCATTCACAAAAATAAAATTAGCATTTATACACCACTTTTTAAAAAAAAAAAAAAAATGTGCATATCATTATTCATTTTATAAAATTCATACTCTATTTTAACTCTCGATTCTACCAAAGCTTTAAACAATTCTACCATATTGATCCTTTTATTCTCATTTTCAAGTTTATATGCTTTCCAAATAGTTGAGAGAGAGAGCGAGAGAGAGAGAGAGAGAGAGAGAGAGAGAGAGAGAGAGAGAGAGAGAGAGAGGAGAGGGGGGGGGGCAAGTTTCTCTGGGTAAAACAGTAAGGGAGTCGTGTACTGTAATGTTCTGCAAGCTCTCTCCATTTACTCCAATCCCAAAAAAGGACATAAATAAAAGCGGCTCTACTTGAAGCCTTCGTTCAAGAGAGAAAGTTGGAAGAGGGCGAGCGAGGAAAAGGTTTTCACTGGAGATATTTCATCTGAAGCTTCAACATGGGGTGAGTTGAACATGCGTGATTGTGTGTGAACTTGATTGTAATTGAGTCATGTTTATGGAAATGTCGGTACGGTAATATCTCAGCATGCGGGAGTTCCAGCGCTGTGAGGGGTGTGTGTGTGTGTGTGTGTGTGTGTGTTGCTCTTCTCTAGGCCTTCTGTCAGAGCTGGAGGTTATGTAACAACGTAAGGAAACAAATATAGAATTTATTTGGTTTATGATTTTCTTAGGAGGATATGAAAACTGTCAACTGGTCTTTTGTCAACATAACCCTTACAAAAAAGTATTTAATTTTATTAAGTAGCCTACACTTAAGTGAACTTCAAGTATATTTCAATGTACTAGTACTTTAAGTGCACTATTTCAAAACTGCTATGGACTCAATTGGCCTTCTTTTTAGAGTATAAAAGTGAAATTTCACCCATAATTTGGTTCGATTATCAACGTTCTTTAAAATATTTTCTGTTGGTTGAAATAAAGACGAGTGAAAGGATCTAAACGCATCGGTTTAAGACTTTATTTAACAAAACAGGACTAGAAACAACAAAACAAGCAATCAATGAAATGAATCACAGGTGTAAACAATAATCAAACAATCGGTAACCAAGGAAACAAACAGGAAACAGAATTACACATGTGCGAAACCCTAAACAGAAACAAGAAGTATAGGCTACTTGTAAGTTTTCTTTAATTGAACAACATCATAAAGGCCTACTTATAGTTTACTATTTATATATTACTTTTAAAGTTTAACTATGTTCCTATTTAGGCATGTTATTTTTATGAACTTTATTCTAGCATCATGTTTTATTATCTCTTGAATGTTGGTAAGTTTCATTTAAAAAGCAATATTGTAATAAAAAGTAGGGCTGTGCAAAAATTAATTGCGATTAATCGCATCCAAAATAAAAGTCTGTGTTTACATTATATATTTGTGTGTGCTGTATATAATTATTTTGTATATATAAATACACACACATGCATGTATATATTTAAGAAAATAACATATTTATATAATATTGATTATGTATTTATACAGGCCTATATACAGTATTTACGTGCAAATATATACATGCATGCATACAAAATAATTATACACAGCACACACACATATATTATGTAAACACACACTTTTATTTTAGATGCGATTAATCGCGATTAATCTTTGCACAGCCCTAATATATTTTTAAGATGAAATTAAGTTACTATTTATACATTTTCTTATATGATATAATACACATAACATAATATAATTTTATTCGTTTTAAGAAGAAATATTCACGATTATAAAGCCGCACAAAAAGTACTTTTTTTATTCATATTTCTTTCTTCTTCATATTTTTTTTTTGTAAATTTGTAATCAATTTGACTACGAACATTTTCAGTGAATCGTGATTTGTTCTTCAAACATTCAGTTGCAGATTTCACACAGAAATTTTGTGCATAAATGAGACTTAATGTCCTTTTCTTGTAACAATTTCCCATAAAACACAAAAGCCCTGACCTCAGTTCAGAAGATCTGGGTCATGAGTAATTTTAGCCAACGTAAAACAGCTGTTACTGTCTAAACTAGTTTAGAAGTGAACATCCTCCTCACCCCCGACACTTACGTTTATTAAAGGGACGGCTCACTTAAAAATGAAGATTCTGTCATCATCAAGTTGTTTCAAACCTCAAAGAATTTCTTTCTTCTGTTGAACTAAAAGAAGATATTTTGAAGAATGTCAGAACCAAACTATGGTACTTCGTACTATGGAAGTCAATGGGGTCCAACAAACTTGCCTGGTTACGACATTCTTCAAAATATCTTCTTGTGTGTTCAGCAGAGTTTTTAGTGAACTATTTCTTTAAGTCAATATTCATGTCATTCCAAACCTTATACTGTAATTTAAAACATATTAAAAATCAGTTTTTGCCATATACAACAGGTCAAAGCTCCAGTACCGGTGAAAGTGTCATGAAGTCAGTGGTGTTAAAGAAACTTTAACATGTTTGACATAAGATTTGCATTAGCATTTGTTATGACTTTCCAAATCTTCATTGGCTATACATTATAAATGCATGTGTATAGTATATAGCTTCGAGACACACGTTCTGAAGTTAACACAGACAAAACTGTACGGAAAAGAAGACCTGCACATCACAGATCGCTTCGGAGGAAATCCAGCTTCCTCTGTTAGCATTCGGAGATCCCTTGTGGATGTTTAAGAATTGCATTTTTTCATCTCTGAGTACTTGTATAAGTTACGCATTCCCACCGGGGAACGAGTTGCAGAGCCAAGTTCTCATTTTGTTGATCTTAAATTTCCATTTCAAGGCAAGAGTTATTCCAAAGGCCTCGTCCTAAAAATAAACCCGTGAAGGGATGAGCAAACGCTCAGAGCAGATTTGTTGATGGAAGCCAGAAAAATGATTGAATTCTGAACTTCCAAATATTTATCTTTAATATGAATTGTGGGCGGTATTAATGCATCTTTGTCTGAATTTGGGTTTCTGTGAGATCTGGGGAAAGTCATGTGTTCATTATTTCCACTGTTAGTGCAGATACATTATGGACATATGGACAAGCCAAGTTTCTGTCCTGATTTAAGTCTTGTTCTCCTCTTTTATTAAAAATAATATGCACTATGTACTCAACAGGGTATAAACTTTATAAGGTTATTCAGTCATTCATCATCAGTCTGAAGCCACTCCTCCTCCAACAGAATTAAAACTACGCATGAAGTATTATTTAATCTAACATTTCACACTTCGTTTTTTCAGTTATTATTTAAGTGCATCATTCAGATGTTTTGGAAACAATTTATTTCGATGGTCCACTTTAGATATATACGGAGGCGTATCGCATTTACTTGAAGAAAAAAAATCTACTCTGTTTTTCTGAATTAACGAGTTAATTTTTCATGAGAAAAAAAGTTTTTGCTCTGTTTTTCTGACTTAACGAGTTAATTCAGAAAAACAGTGCAAAAAAAAAAAAAAATTCCATGAAAAATTAACTCGTTAATTCAGAAAAACAGAGCAAAAAAAATCCATGAAAAATTAACTCGTTAATTCAGAAAAATAGAGAAAAATATTTTTTCTCATGAAAAATTAACTCATTAATTCAGAAAAACACAGCAAAAAAAAAATCCATGAAAAATTTACTTGTTAATTCAGAAAAACAGAGCAATTTTTTTTCTCATGAAAAATTAACTCGTTAATTCAGAAAAACAGAGTAGATTTATTTTTCTTCAAGTGAATGCAATACGCCTCCGTAGATATAAGTAACTTTGCAACTAAATGTCCAATAGCATTAATTAGCCTCCATTTAGGCCAATTGAGAATTCAATTTAACATTTAAAGTCCCCCTAGCCAATCATTATATCCCTTTAAACTCATCTTTGATCACCAAAATGACATCTTTAGACATTTTTTCCTTGAAAAAATTTACTCATGCCTTAAAATATCTTGAATGTAACTTGATACCCTTGCCTCATTTATTATGCGCGGTTCTATGAATATGCAAATGAGCCCCGCCTCCACTCAGTCACTCGATCACACGTTGATCTGATTGGTTACAAGGTGGTTTGTGACGTCAGAAACACCAGCGATTTCAAAGCGTGTCTTTGGTTCACTGCAGTTTTAAGGAGGAAATACTCAGCAATGCTGTCCACTTATCAACGCACACACGGTGTGTGTTAAAGCGGATTAAACACACCACATAAACAACATTAAACGCTGGATTTACACCACAGGGGAACATCAACACACTATAGAGCATGTGGCCGATATAATATCAATTTTCATGTGATATAGGCTAACACAATTAAGTTAAATATCTCAATATGCCCATATTGACAAGGCTATTAACAGAAATATTGATATTTGTATGTTATGTCACACCGCAATAATTATGAGCAATAATTTTTCGAGCTTCTATACCTTTGTTGTTGTCAAATCCTAATCCAATCATCAGCTTAATTACACCAGCTTAATATAGTTCTGTAATGTGTTTGATTAAACTATAAGCTTCTCATCACAATTCAAAACAAGAACAGCATGAAACAACACTCGTGGGACTTTAGCTTTTATTTGTGTGTGGAAAGAAGCGTGACAAAATCTTGGACTCTGCCTGAGGGAAATCAAGAGTGTTTTCACACGCCGAATGTTCTTTCCATCAACAACTTCCACTGAATTATCACCTGAACATCAGTCGAGGACCAACAACCTCCACAAACACTCTTGACCAATGTAAGTTGCCCTCTGAAGGAACTGTGGATGAAGAATACGGTTTAATAGGAAAACAATACGCTGATAATCCGCATTATTCAACATCTGGTGGTTCACAGAAAGTTAACAGTGATGCATGGACCGATAAATGTGTTCCAGATGTGCTTCTATTGTTAGCACTGTTGACCCTGTTTTACAGCTGTTTAAACTGGAGATGGTCATTAATCACAGAGATAATTGGCGTTTGGACTATTATCTTTCATACAAGATGGATTGGATGTTGAACGTATATCAGACGGACAGTGAAGTCTACCGTATGTGGGAAACATATATAAATGCTCAAAACAAAAACCTTGACAGTCGATCCGAATCATTTTCGCTTTAAAGAGCTCGAGCGCTGAAAGCAGCAAGTGGCACAAAACTTCAGCGTATAATGAACATAAATGAACATATCGTGCGCTGGTGTGGACGACGCTAATATAGTTAGCATTAGTTATTGTTCTTGGTAAAAAGACTTTAAAGGAAACTTAAATAGTCACAATCTGCTGATGTAAAAGTTTTCGGTTACACTTTATTTTAAGGTGTCCTCGTTTATACATTTAAGTAATGAGTAATATTAAGCAACATGTACTTACTAGGGTTAAACTCTCAGAAAAAAAAGGTACAAAAGCTGTCAATGGGGCTGTACCTTTTCAAAAGGTAAACTTTTGTCCATTTCAGGTGCTAATATGTACATTTCAGATGCTAATATGTGCATTTCAGGTGCTAATATGTACATTTCAGGTGCTAATATGTACATTTTAGGTGTGAATATGTACATTGTAGGTGCTAATGTTCATTTCAGGTGCCAATATGTGCATTTCAGGTGCTAATATGTACATTTTAGGTACTAATATGTACATTTCAGGTGCTAATATGTACATTTCAGGTGCTAATATGTACATTTTAGGTACTAATATGTACATTTCAGGTGCTAATATGTACATTTCAGGTGCTAATGTACATTTTAGGTGCTAATATGTACATTTTAGGTACTAATATGTACATTTCAGGTGCTAATATGTTCATTTCATGTGCCAATATGTACATTTTAGGTGCTAATATGTACACTTTAAGTGCTAATATGTACATTTTAGGTGCTAATATGTACATTTTAGGTGCTAATATGTACATTTCAGGTGCTAAATATGTACATTTTAGGTACTAATATGTACATTTCAGGTGCTAATATGTACATTTCAGGTGCAAATATGTTCATTTCAGGTGCTAATATGTACATTTTAGGTGCTAATATGTTCATTTCAGGTGCTAATATGTACATTTTAGGTGCTAGTATATTTTAGGTGCTAATATACACATTACATGCAGCCTTTAGATACAAAAGTGTATCTTTTGAAAAAGTATAGCCCCAGTGACAGCTTTTGTACCTTTTTATCTGAGAGTGTAGGGTAGGATTGGGATCTGGTTAGTTGCATGTAATTATGCATAATTTACTCTTACTATAGTAGTCTATGTACATGTATGTAGGACACCGTAAAATAAAGTATTACAGAGTTTTCTCTTTTTTTTAATCAAACTTACTACTCTGACAACAAAACAAAAACCCTAGAATATGAAAGCAGAAACCAATGCATTTGTAATTTATATTCAACATATTGCATGCATTATTTGGTGCCAGCAGATCCAGACATTCACCACACTATTATTAAACCAGATGAGTTCATTCATACATTTACATCGTGTCTTTTTGAATATTAATTGTTATGCAAATTTACAGAAGCATAAGAGATTATATCTCGCCCAGATTAAAGCATTATGCTTTTGCAACGGGCAGAAAAAACTCAACCCAGACTTCTTGTGATTCGTCTCATTCAACAACCTGAATATAACAAGGGTGAGCCCTCGTCCTTGCACACTTTCCTTTGTGTTTATTCCAAGTCTTGCTTGACCTCGGTGATGTTTACCAGGAAAAGCTCTGTGTTTCGTCAAGCTCAGAAAGAAAGACTCAACCCTCTGAAACCTCCACTAGCTCCAACAATATTCGCAATATTCATCCGGAGCTCAGATCTGTTCCTCTCCGTGTGAGCCGTCCCGGTCCTCGAGGAGATCTGTGCTGTGCATGCTGAGGTAAATATGCTAACGCGGGTCTTCGGTCTTCACGTGCATGGCTTGCCATAAACACTGCATGCATTGAGAATTGTAACTGTTAAAGGAATAGTTCACCCTAAATCATTTCCCCGAGGACCGTTTAACACGTACGGGTAAAAACACATATCAAAAATATTATTGTAGCCTGCTACGTTCTGCAGTAAGTGATCGAGGTTTGGAATATTTTTATTTTTGAGTGAACTATCCCTCGAACTTGAGATATTTGGTCGTGTGTATTGAATCAAAAAGGACACAGGTGGCGCTTTCAGAGTGTGTTTAGATAACTTATATAAGAAACGTTCAAATCACTCTGATGATGTTTATCTCACGCAGATGTTCGTCTTTTGAGCTTAAAGACAAAATAATGGAACTTTTTGTGATATATCCAAATCTAAAGGGATAAATGGTGACTGCATTTAATAAATGATTTTACTGCCATATTTGTCTTGTTAAGCAAACTAAGCCCTCAGAATTGTTTCCACTGGAGGAATCTCTCCATCCGAATCCCTCCTCCGACACCGACTCCAGCGTTTACATTTAGCGGCTGAGCTGTTTAATGTAGCACAGGGAATTATGTGGTGGAATCGAGTGTTGTTTGACTTATGACTGACAGGCGAAGCGAGAAGTTTAACTTAGAGGACTTGAGTGACCACATCTGGACAGTGGACTCGTGTGTTTGCGCTCATCTAGAGAGTGTTTCGCAGCTAGCGGACTCGTGTGTTTGCGCTCATCTAGAGAGTGTTTCACAGCTAGCGGACTCGTGTGTTTGCGCTCATCTAGAGAGTGTTTCGCAGCTAGCGGACTCGTGTGTTTGCGCTCATCTAGAGAGTGTTTCACAGCTAGCGGACTCGTGTGTTTGCGCTCATCTAGAGAGTGTTTCACAGCTAGCGGACTCGTGTGTTTGCGCTCATCTAGAGAGTGTTTCGCAGCTAGCGGACTCGTGTGTTTGCGCTCATCTAGAGAGTGTTTCACAGCTAGCGGACTCGTGTGTTTGCGCTCATCTAGAGAGTGTTTCACAGCTAGCGGACTCGTGTGTTTGCGCTCATCTAGAGAGTGTTTCACAGCTAGCGGACTCGTGTGTTTGCGCTCATCTAGAGAGTGTTTCACAGCTAGCGGACTCGTGTGTTTGCGCTCATCTAGAGAGTGTTTCACAGCTAGCGGACTCGTGTGTTTGCGCTCATCTAGAGAGTGTTTCACAGCTAGCGGACTCGCGTGTTCGCGCTCATCTAGAGAGTGTTTCACAGCTAGCGGACTCGTGTGTTCACGCTCATCTAGAGAGTGTTTCACAGCTAGCGGACTCGTGTGTTCACGCTCATCTAGAGAGTGTTTCGCAGCTAGCGGACTCGTGTGTTCACGCTCATCTAGAGAGTGTTTCACAGCTAGTGGACTCGTGTGTTTGCGCTCATCTAGAGAGTGTTTCACAGCTAGCGGACTCGTGTGTTCACGCTCATCTAGAGAGTGTTTCACAGCTAGCGGACTCGTGTGTTCACGCTCATCTAGAGAGTGTTTCGCAGCTAGCGGACTCGCGTGTTCACGCTCATCTAGAGAGTGTTTCGCAGCTAGCGGACTCGTGTGTTTGCGCTCATCTAGAGAGTGTTTCACAGCTAGCGGACTCGCGTGTTCGCGCTCATCTAGAGAGTGTTTCACAGCTAGCGGACTCGTGTGTTCACGCTCATCTAGAGAGTGTTTCACAGCTAGCGGACTCGTGTGTTCGCGCTCATCTAGAGAGTGTTTCACAGCTAGCGGACTCGCGTGTTCGCGCTCATCTAGAGAGTGTTTCACAGCTAGCGGACTCGTGTGTTCACGCTCATCTAGAGAGTGTTTCACAGCTAGTGGACTCGTGTGTTCACCCTCATCTAGAGAGTGTTTCACAGCTAGCGGACTCGTGTATGCTCATCTAGAGAGTGTTTCACAGCTAGCGGACTCGCGTGTTCACGCTCACCTAGAGAGTGTTTCACAGCTAGCGGACTCGTGTGTTCACGCTCATCTAGAGAGTGTTTCACAGCTAGTGGACTCGTGTGTTCACCCTCATCTAGAGAGTGTTTCACAGCTAGCGGACTCGTGTGTTCACGCTCATCTAGAGAGTGTTTCACAGCTAGCGGACTCGTGTGTTCACGCTCATCTAGAGAGTGTTTCACAGCTAGCGGACTCGTGTGTTCGCGCTCACCTAGAGAGTGTTTCACAGCTAGCGGACTCGTGTGTTCACGCTCATCTAGAGAGTGTTTCACAGCTAGCGGACTCGTGTGTTCGCGCTCATCTAGAGAGTGTTTCACAGCTAGCGGACTCGTGTGTTCACGCTCATCTAGAGAGTGTTTCACAGCTAGCGGACTCGCGTGTTCGCGCTCATCTAGAGAGTGTTTCACAGCTAGCGGACTCGTGTGTTCACGCTCATCTAGAGAGTGTTTCACAGCTAGCGGACTCGTGTGTTCACGCTCATCTAGAGAGTGTTTCACAGCTAGCGGACTCGCGTGTTCGCGCTCACCTAGAGAGTGTTTCACAGCTAGCGGACTCGTGTGTTCACGCTCATCTAGAGAGTGTTTCACAGCTAGCGGACTCGTGTATGCTCATCTACACTCGGGTCCCACTTGACCCGCTCTCGAACCCGGGTCTCCGGCATGAGAGTCGGGCGCTCCAATGAGGAGGCTAAAGACTGCAGCCTCTAGCATCTGTCGCTAGAGTGCCTATTGAGATCAGCTTACTCGCACAGCAACTACTAGCTGGCCTCCGTTACACTTAACGTAATTAGTTTCTTTTTAAAGGAGTAACACGATATTGTAATGCATTACTTCTAAGAGTAACGTTCCCCAACACTGATGAAAGTTGCATGCTTTGCGAACAAGAATCCCAACATGTCCTGGTTATCCCTGTCTTCTGTTGACTGGGAAGTGCTTGAAGTTGCAAGTCATTGATGAATGAATGCATGTATTTCTAATACAGTTGCGTCTCCAGAGACTGCCATTAGCTCATCCAGACCGCGTGTTTACAGCAGAATCACGTTTGCTCCCAGGAGAGCACATATGCCTTCAGTGGCGTCTCTGTCCCGGGAGAAGAGCGCGCACCATCTGCTGGTAAACCTACACCCCGGAGTAGAGCCGGAGTAGAGCCGGAGTGGAGCTGGGATTGTCATAGGCATAGGTTAGCAAAAAAAAAATGCAAAAGGACCAATGTCTGGTAACGGTTCTCAATGTCGTTCTTTTAAGAATAAAGTCTAATGGTGTTTGGGTAATTGGAAAACTGTGTTAGAGTGCATATACCTGTCTATAAATCAATGCATTTAACTTTAACTTTAATATTGCATTGAAATATTCCATTCTGTATTAATCTGAGCTCATAAAATTCTGTATGTATGATAATAGTTAATGGTAATATTTGGAAAATGTTGATTGGACAGCATGAGGGACTGACACATATCGACATGCCAACTTTCCAGATGGTCTCTTACGGATATTGATTTATTTGATGAAATGGTTGGGAGGACTTTTTCTAAAAATCAAATGGCAGTCAAATTATCATTGTACATAAAAGAAGCACAAAATAGGCCAAAATGTGATTTGATGTAGAATATATTACACTTTTGGTAACAATGGTTTTACAGAATTTTACTAATGTGAAATCATAATCACTTTTTTTAGTAACAAATGGGAAATTTTTTAGAAGTTTTTATTTTTTTTATTTTTTTTTTTATTGAGAAATAAATCCAAGTACAAAATACAGTATATAATAGGAATGCTTCACATGACAGATATCACATATATTGAAACATGTTTAAACAAATAAACAGGGATAACAAAAACAAAGGAGAGGAAGAAAAAAAACACAAATAAAAACTAAATAAAAAAGAGTTAATTACGTTATTCGTATTAAGTTAATTACAATACGAAGAATTCCTCCATAACATACATTTTTAATAATTCCCAAAAACACTATTAATACGTCATTCACTGAAGGTGTATTCCTGAAACATTGCGTTTTTAAATGTTACTTGTTTCAGAACGTTCAGAGAACATTTGAAAGTAACATTTCGCACGTTTGAAGAATGATAAAATGGAACGTTTCTGAAAAAACGTTTTGAGCGTTCAACATTCAGAAATAACACTTTCATAAACTCTCCTAGAACATTTTTTGTTTTGTTTGCGGGGATGAAGGTAAAGCTTCAAAAAGTGCACAAGGTTTAAAAGGTTTGTTTGATGTTGCTCTGAGAGAGAGAGAGAGAGAGAGAGAGAGAGAGAGAGAGAGAGAGAGAGAGAGAGAGAGAGAGAGAGAGAGAGAGCGGATGAGATTCTCCGGTTGGTCTGATCTGTGTGTGTGTGTGTGTGTGTGTGTGATTAGAGAGAGAGAGAGAGAGAGAGAGTAGCCGCGGTGGCTGGTTGCTGTGTGTGTGTGACTGAAGACCGAGAGAGAGAGGAAGGATGAGATTCTCCGGTTGATCTGTGTGTGTGTGTGTGTATCGGCGGAATGGAGGTCTATCCTCTCGACACTGAAGCGATGATGGAGGCTTGGCTCGACGACCACCGAGAGTTCGCTCATTCTTACTTTGTACGCAAGGCTTCTCGGTGAGTTTAAAGGGGCAGATCGGGTCCGTTTATAGACGAGCCGTTCTGGGATAACGAGACTGAATGTGGAGCAGTGCTTGCTTATTCAGATCATCATAGACACACGTGTATTTAACTCTTTTACCTGTGTACTGCGTAAAGAAAAGGGTCAGTATACAAATATAAACTGCATATTTTCCCGTGAACTCCTAAACTTGATTTATTAGAGGAATCAAATCTGAGGTTTTGTGTTAGCCTTTCATTTACATTGTAAGGTTGTTTTATGCTCTTTAACAAACACAGCTTCGTAGAGTTGATTTGATATACACACAGCTGTAATGATAACTGTAACCAACCAACAAACATGTGTGTGTTCGTTTAAGATTGATATTGATTTGATGTTATAAATGCACTTTAATGCACTTTAATTCAACAAACAAGTTGCTATAACTGATGTTCGACGAATGCATTCACATTGGCAGTTTATTATTGTGTGTTAGAAATTTGGTCTGTCCAGGAAAGGTGACGTAATGAAGAAGAAATATATATGAAAACAGCTTAAAAAAATCCAAATAGGTATTTTATGAGTTCAAATTAATTCAAATGACAAATAAGATTTTTGGAAAAAAGTGAGCATGATTGATCTCAGATCCAGAAGGCAGATCGTCCACAAACGGATGAATCACGAATGCATAATTAGCCATCAATTCACTAAAACATTAAAATAGTTACGAATTGCTTTGAAACTAACGGTTTGAATAGCTCAGTATCAGTTTGATGTTCACGGTTTCATGAACATCAAAAAAAAAAAGAACAAATAAAATTCCAAACGACACCACAAAAAAATAGGCCTACATAGAGCAAATATACTAATAAAATAACCAGTGCTTTTTAGAAATTGAAGTAGGCTACAGAATTAATCAAATGTTAAATAACATTGCATTTTGACTGTTATTAATCCTTATTAAAGTTACAAAAGCTGTTCAATCCAGAGCTGTGAGGGATTTCCTTGTCTTTTGATGTGTGATTAACTTTTAAACACAGACAACAGAATTATTAGGCCGCTGTCACTTTAAGATATAATGGACTGATCCAATATACTGATACTGACACACAAGAAGACATAACACACGTCCATACAAGCGTAAGACTTGATAGAAAACGTAATATTTGCGCGCTGTCTGAGACGTGTGCACACTTCGGTTGAACACACACACACACCGTCTCACAGCACTCGGAGGATCCCAACATGTGGAGAAAGTCAACAAAGCTATTGTTAAAGTGAATTGCCTGTCTGTGTTTTGCGTATCATTTCTGGAACATTGAAAAAACAGCCCGTGCAAATCCTAATTATTTGATTGGCTGGGATACTCTCGCTTAGCACGGGTCACTTAGATGTTTCTTAAATGATTGGATGGTGTCTCTTCAAAACTGAATGTTATTTATTTAAACTATTCTAGCCAAGGACAATTGAGGTCGAGTCCATGGAGACTGGAGACCGGATTATAAACATTTCAGTGAAAGTATTTTTTAATGCTTGCATTGTAATGTTAGCCACTACATGGTGTTATTTAGACAGGTTTTGGATTTAATCCACCAGCTAATGTTATGATTGTGGGTCTTCCAGGTTTTCCAGTTAATCTCAAGGTCCCATTCAACCGCTAAGAGAATATTTTACGTAGAACGGTCATATATATAGATACTGTAGGTCCAGCAAACTGGCCATAAATCCTCAGTATTCAACAGTACTTCAGAATGACTTCAGAAAATATACTGTTTTTGTATGACTTTGCGGTTATCTAGTTGCTTTATCAAGCTGAGCACCTTAACCTAACTTGTCTTAATGGACTTTGACACTAGCGCCACGTATAAAATGCATTTTTTTTTGTTTAAAATAGACATAATGATTCTCCCACGGTTGTGAATGGACAATTAAATAAAATAACTAGTTAGAGGTTCTGAGAAAAAGTTGATCGCTGCAGTCTATTAAAATAAATGCTTAATTAATTTGAAATATTACAAAAAATCAGGTTGAGTGAAACTGATTCAATGACTCACTCAAAGACTTCACTCGTTTCATTACTGGATTATTCAGCTTTTTTGAACGAATCTCTTGAGTGAATGATTCAGTGACTCACTCAAAGACTTCACGCGCTTCATAACTGGATGAATCAGCTTTTTTGAACGAATCTCTTGAGTGAATGATTCAGTGACTCACTCAAAGACTTCACGCGTTTCATAACTGGATGAATCAGCTTTTTTGAACGAATCTCTTGAGTGAATGATTCAATGACTCACTCAAAGACTTCACGCGTTTCATAACTGGATGAATCATCTTTTTTGAACGAATCTCCTGAGTGAATGATTCAATGACTCACTCAAAGACTTCACGCGTTTCATAACTGGATGAATCAGTGTTTTTAAACGAATCTCTTGAATGAATGATTCTATGATTCACTCAAAGACTTTACCCGTTTCATAACTGGATGAATCAGTGTTTTTGAACGAATCTCTTGAGTGAATGATTCAATGATTCACTCAAAGACTTCATTACTGGATGAATCAGTGTTTTTAAACGAATCTCTTGAATGAATGATTCAATGACACACTCAAAGACTTCACTCGTTTCATAACGGGATGAATCAGCTTTTTTGAACGAATCTCTTGAATGAATGATTCAATGGCAAACACGTCACTTGGCGCCACCTACTGGTGTAACGAATTAATGAGACAATCTTCATTTGAAACGTCAAATTACTTCCAAAAGTGAATTCCCTCTATTTTGATCTCTACCGTAGATCCGAACAATATACTTTTATTATCATCTGAAATAATGATAGCGTGTGTTAAAAAGCTGTTGATGACAACGGCTCCCTAGATCTGAAGGTTTAATAGACATAGATGATAAGATCGCATGGGTGTTTGAATCAAGACTGGCATAATTTAACGATTATTCGTCCAGCTCAAGAGCTAATGTTCTTGATTGCATTTCTTTTTAAGGGAAATGGTCAACGCTTGGTTTGCTGAGCGTGTCCACTCCATCCAGCCGGCCAGGGAAGCACCAAAAGCCCCGCAGGAATCTTTAACGGGCCACCATCCAGCCGATGCCCCGAGTCCGGCTCCCTCCACGCCGACACGGAAGATCTCAGCGTCCGAGTTCGACAGGCCGCTTCGCCCCATTGTCGTGAAAGACGCCGAGGGTTCGCTCACTTTCCTAAGCGACGCAGAACGGGTCCAGATGCCTCTTCCTCCTTCCCAGCGCGCAGATGTGGGCGGAGGGATTATGCATTCTGGAGATCCCCAAAATGGCGATCGGTGTGCTCGTTTGTTGGACCTTGTACGCGACGTTTCCAGTCACTTGGATCTTACCGCCCTCTGCCACAAGATCTTCTTACACACTCACGAGCTGATCGCTGCAGACCGCTACTCGCTCTTCTTGGTTGGAGAGGACAGTTCGAACAGGAAGTTCCTGGTGAGCCGGCTCTTTGATGTCGCGGAAGGGTCCACTCTCGAAGAGGCTTCAAACAGCGGCATTCGCCTTGAATGGAACAAAGGAATTGTGGGATATGTGGCGGCCACCGGACAGCCTCTGAACATCAAGAACGCATATGAGGTGAGAATGTCGTTTCATCTGCGGTTCACCATTGAAGTGCTGACTATAAATGAGGCAACCCAAATCGATTGAGAATCCGCCTCTGTGCTAAGTCTGACCGTCATTTGATGTTTAACATTCAAAGTCCCCCTGTATCCCTTAAATCTGCAAAATGACATATTTATATGTTTTTTCCTTGAAAAATATCTTAAAATATGCCTCATTTAGAATGTGCGGTTCTATGAATATGCAAATGAGCTCCGCCTCCACTCTCTCACTCACCCAGAGATCCACTGGTTGACGATCAATGTCGTTTGTGACGTCAGAAACGGTTCACTGCAGTTTTAAGCAGAAGCTGGGACTGAGATTGCTCTTGTGCATGTTGCCCACTTGGGTCCGGCCTAGTACCAATCCTTCATGATATTCATCTGGGCAATTAACATGGGGCCATTATGTAACCCACGGACAATCCCAATCAAATCCCATTTTTCAGCCCATTTCAAACCCATATGGTCCCCACAAACAAATGTTGGCTAGGTGTCTTGTGCATGTTGCCCACTTGGGTCCGGCCTGGTACCAATCCTTCATGATATTCATCGGGGCAATTAACATGGGGCCATTATGTAACCCACGGACAATCCCAATCAAATCCCATTTTTCAGCCCATTTCAAACCCATATGGTCCCCACAAACAAATGTTGGCTAGGTGTCTTGTGCATGTTGCCCACTTGGGTCCGGCCTGGTACCAATCCTTCATGATATTCATCGGGGCAATTAACATGGGGCCATTATGTAACCCACGGACAATCCCAATCAAATCCCATTTTTCAGCCCATTTCAAACCCATATGGTCCCACAAACAAATGTTGGCTAGGTGTCTTGTGCATGTTGCCCACTTGGGTCCGGCCTGGTACCAATCCTTCATGATATTCATCGGGGCAATTAACATGGGGCCATTATGTAACCCACGGACAATCCCAATCAAATCCCATTTTTCAGCCCATTTCAAACCCATATGGTCCCCACAAACAAATGTTGGCTAGGTGTCTTGTGCATGTTGCCCACTTGGGTCCGGCTGGTACCAATCCTTCATGATATTCATCGGGGCAATTAACATGGGGCCATTATGTAACCCACGGACAATCCCAATCAAATCCCATTTTTCAGCCCATTTCAAACCCATATGGTCCCCACAAACAAATGTTGGCTAGGTGTCTTGTGCATGTTGCCCACTTGGGTCCGGCCTGGTACCAATCCTTCATGATATTCATCGGGGCAATTAACATGGGGCCATTATGTAACCCACGGACAATCCCAATCAAAGTCCATTTTTCAGTCCATTTCAAACCCATATGGGCCCCACAAACAAATGTCGGCTAGGTTAAAGCTGGGCCCGAGATTGGTCTTGTGCAGGTTGCCCACTTGGGTCCGGCCTAGTACCAATCCTTCATGATATTCATCTGGGCAATTAACATGGGGCCATTATGTAACCCACGGACAATCCCAATCAAATCCCATTTTTCAGCCCATTTCAAACCCATATGGTCCCCACAAACAAATGTTGGCTAGGTGTCTTGTGCATGTTGCCCACTTGGGTCCGGCCTGGTACCAATCCTTCATGATATTCATCGGGGCAATTAACATGGGGCCATTATGTAACCCACGGACAATCCCAATCAAATCCCATTTTTCAGCCCATTTCAAACCCATATGGTCCCACAAACAAATGTTGGCTAGGTGTCTTGTGCATGTTGCCCACTTGGGTCCGGCCTGGTACCAATCCTTCATGATATTCATCGGGCAATTAACATGGGGCCATTATGTAACCCACGGACAATCCCAATCAAAGTCCATTTTTCAGCCCATTTCAAACCCATATGGGCCCCACAAACAAATGTCGGCTAGGTTAAAGCTGGGCCCGAGATTGGTCTTGTGCAGGTTGCCCACTTGGGTCCGGCCTGGTACCAATCCTTCATGATATTCATCGGGGCAATTAACATGGGGCCATTATGTAACCCACGGACAATCCCAATCAAATCCCATTTTTCAGCCCATTTCAAACCCATATGGTCCCCACAAACAAATGTTGGCTAGGTGTCTTGTGCATGTTGCCCACTTGGGTCCGGCCTGGTACCAATCCTTCATGATATTCATCGGGGCAATTAACATGGGGCCATTATGTAACCCACGGACAATCCCAATCAAAGTCCATTTTTCAGCCCATTTCAAACCCATATGGGCCCCACAAACAAATGTCGGCTAGGTTAAAGCTGGGCCCAAGATTGGTCTTGTGCAGGTTGCCCACTTGGGTCCGGCCTAGTACCAATCCTTCATGATATTCATCAGGGCAATTAACATGGGGCCATTATGTAACCCACGGACAATCCCAATCAAAGTCCATTTTTCAGCCCATTTCAAACCCATATGGGCCCCACAAACAAATGTTGGCTAGGTGTCTTGTGCATGTTGCCCACTTGGGTCCAGCCTAGTACCAATTGCAATCCTACATAAAATTAACATGGGGCCGTTATGTAACCCGCGGACAATCCTACATGGGGCCCGTTTCATACCCATATGGGCCCCACAGACAAATGTTGGCTGGGAAATACTCAGCAATGCTGTCGACTTATGAACTTACACATGGTTTGTCTTGAAGCGTATTAAAAACAACAAATAGACACATAAACAACATTTAAAGCTTGATTTTCTTCAAATGAGAATGAATTACAAATTGCATAAAATAAATATGCAATCATCAGCAACAACATCATTAAAACAGAAAAGCTATTCAAATCTTCCTCTCAAACGCCAATCATCCAGTACTAAAAATAGTATAAACACACTCTTGCTTGTATTTTAAGACGTGTGTCTTAATGAAATGGTCTAGTAAGAATCTCACTTTTAAGACAGTTGTTTTAAGTTGTTTTTCTCCCCTCAGACAAAAGTTAAAATGTATGTTTATCTCCGCAATCTCGTTTGCACTGATAATGAGTCATATTTGAACAGATTAACGTCTCTGATCTGACTTTGCATATAAGAAAACTCTTCAGTTTGAGAGGCTTAAATAACATTTGCTGCCTGCTTTATGAAACCCTCCAAGTCAATAATAAAGTCTCCTTAGAAACGCAATTTAGGCTATATCTCTTAAGGCCTTTGATTAGATTTAAATTTTGTTACGCAAGTCAGTTGCTAACCAACAGTTTGTATAATGATAGCAGGTATTTTTAGCTCTTTGTAATTTAGTTTAATTGCGTTTCTCCAAGGGAAAGGGAGAGAAAGAATGATTACGGTGAAGGTAAATCCTTAACCATGTTTGCCTGCGAGACTGTTTCACATAAAGATGCGATGAATATTTATATAAGAACATGATGAAATCAGGAAATTGTGCCTTTAAGAGTTATTTGTCTTGATTACTTAAAGGCGAGGTGTGTAGTTTCTGAACCAAACAGAACGGCCAAATCTGTAAATGAGTCACTGGAGCCACAAGATATGAAGAAGAAAATGACGTCATGACAATGTTGATAGGAGAACCGACACACAGTCCCAAGGCCATGCTAACCACACATAACAGCTAAACATAACATTGGATCAAACAAAGCAGTGAAAATGACATCATTTAATTTTATATTAAAATGACCCTTTTATACTTTTTTAATGTCTCCTAGATCTGTTTTGGCATCTCTTATAACAGGTTTACACGCATCCAAGGTCCAAAACTTTTTTTTTTTCCTTATAATGTTCATTACAGCATCAGCTCTTTGTCTAAAACGCTTCGTTCGAAGATTCAGTCTCTCTAGCTGTGCGTTCACACCGGATGCGAATAGCACGTCAAATTCGCGTCTACCGCGTCTAGTTATACGCTTGACCACTTTGCGTTAATTCGCGCGCCAAGAGTGAAACTGACGAAATTCACGCGCGTCAGAATCGAAATTTACGCGTGTTGTCCCGCTTCGGAGCGAGGATCACCCTCGCCCTCATCCATATAATCTATAATTTATTTTTTTAATTTTTGTTTTGATGATAAATAGAGCCAGCCTCCAAAAGTTATTAACCTGTGCTGGGATTTTTTTCTCTCTCACGTCCAGACACGAACTTATGCACTTATACATCGTAATAATATTTCATATAATCTAGATATGGAATAAATAACATTCAATACAAAATGAACATGTCTCGTATATTGAAATAAAGTTTTAAGTGATAAAATATTTGCTTATTATACCAGGCATTTAGTCATATTACAAAATCATTTATTGAAGCGTCCAGATCCTTCACCACGTGAGCAAGCAGCTAGGCCCCTGATTGGTTAACGCGGCCCGAATTGACGCCAAATTTCAGATTTTTCAACTCGGGCGGCAGGCGTGAGATCACGTCAAACGCTTGAATGCACAAAGAGCACTAACTAAGTCATTCGTGCGTAACGCGCTTAACGTGCCAGACGGGCGAACTTGACGTGCGAATGAGGCGTATTCGCATCAACCGCGCCGCGCTCTACGCCTCATTCGCGCCGCAGGATTTTTTTACGCGTGTAGCGCGTCTTTGCATTGACTTGACATTGAAATCACTCGCGCCTGATGCGCGATTCGCGACCAGTGTCAACACATCATAAGCCCCGCTTATGGTTTTGTCTCGTCCACACTAAAACGCACTCCGGAGATTCAAAACGCAAAACGCAGCTGCAGCGTTTCTAAACTTCTCCGTTTTAGGTCTTCGTTTTTCCCGTTTTAGTGTGGACGGGAGGTGCAAACGTAGCAAAAGGTCTTCGTTTTTAAACGAAAACGCAGTAGTGTGGACGGGGCCTGAGAGCTGCTCTGCTCTGATTGGTCAGAAAGCAAACACTCATTATCATATGTGAATCTCAGCTCTTGATCGCAGTGATGCGAACAGTAACGATGGCGTGGGTTTCACCATATCAATCAGACGAACAACACGAGCCCAACTCTCCAGTCTCAGATACACTGCAGTGTTTGAGGGCGGAGCTAAGAGACGCTGCTCAGCCAATCAAGAACAGAGGCGGGCATTATGCAAATTAGCTACAGTGGATTCTTCAGGAAGTGAGACTGGAGTTACTGACGACTTATTTCAACAGTTCAGAATCGCTTCTTTCTTTTTATGTGTGATCTTTCACTGTGATTACACACTGCGGGAACGGTAATATTGGAAAAGGCACAATAGGGGCACTTTAAATTGAATAATTAAAAAATGCATTGTCTTATTAAATGGGCAGTTGATTTTTAAAATGTAAGCCAGGATAAATTAAGATGCCAAAATTAATTTGCGGTTGATTTTTCCCCGCATCAGGATCCACGCTTCAATGCAGAAGTCGACCAAATTACAGGATATAAGACGCAGAGCATCTTGTGTTTGCCCATCAAAAACCACCGAGACGAGGTGAGAGATCAGACATCCTGAACCGTTACACTACATATGTGACATTCACTAATTCACTGTAATGCTTAAAGGTTGTTGGTGTCGCTCAAGCGATCAATAAGCGGTGTGGAGAGAACAGCAGCTTCACCGAGCAGGACGAGAGGGTGAACACTTTATCATATTATAGGCATTTGATTGTTTCTGTCTCGTTCCGGCTCTATAATAACGGCTTTATTTTCATCTCAAAAGGACTTTTCTTCGTACCTGTCTTTCTCTGGGATAGTGCTACACAACGCACAACTCTACGAGACATCGCAGCTGGAGAACAGGAGGAACCAGGTGTGCTGATCTCCACATGTTAGTAAGAGATCCGTTTGTATGGATAAAGCGTGACCGTTGTGTGTGTTGTAGGTGTTGCTGGATCTGGCGAGTCTGATCTTCGAGGAGCAACAGTCATTGGAGGTTTTACTGAGGAAAACCGTGGCCACCATCTTGTCTTTCATGCAGGCTCAAGAGTGCACCGTCTTCATTACGGACAGAGAAACGGCCGTAAGGACAAATTATTGACAAACTATATATCATTTGAAAGCTTACAATCTCTAGTTTCCATATTTGGTGACTGATTTTCAAAATAAATTACAGAGGAGCCGTGATTTATCAATTTGCAACAAGAATATTTTCATACTCCTAAGGCGTGTTTAGACCTTTATTTTGAAATATTGATAAATCGTGAAAGAATGATAGAAACCCCAGTTTGTTTTCATGCCGAGAGTTCAGAAGATTGCATCCATTCAATTATTTTAGAAAAAAAGGTCTGAAAATGTTTTAAATGTAAAGAAAAAAATAATAGATTCACCATTGTTGATGTGGCGGCGAGCTGTAACGCACATGCGTGTTCTTTGTATGTGTTTCTTAGAGGTTGAATTCATATCAAAATCTGGCAGACTTCTCATTTTACTTCTGAATAGGATGTCTACTTCATAAATTGTATGAAATAATGGTTCATATCACTCAAAACACATATGGAGATGGAGACGCCCTTATTTGGGCAGTAATGGAGTCTGGTTGTGCCCTAGTGGAAGCGTTCGGTACTACACACACACTCGCACTCAAAGCTCATTTACTGAGATATCAAACTAAAATTTGAAACACAACTTGTTAAGATTTTTGGCTTTGATTTTTCTGCAGTTTTAGAGTCGCCTATGTTTTGAAAATATATAATTTATATAAAATATGAATTTTTTTTTTTTACATTGTACATTTCCATAAACTTTTTTCTATTTCACTTTCTTAATGTATTTTACATCTACAGAAATCTGCCAAATGTCTTCTTTAAAACAAGACCAATCTTATGTCTATATTGCAAAGCGTTCTTGAATTACAACCATTTATGCTCGAAATGTCTATTCAAAAAAAGGAGGGGGGACAACATTGAGAACAACTGAACTATGAAGATAAAAATATATATAATCATACAAAATTAAAATGTTTTATTTGGATTAATTCCAGAAATGACTAGTCTCTACAGAGCAACCCTTTCTTGTACATTTCCCCCAGTGATAATCTGTTTTGGTAATAGTTCGCCACTGCTAATATGCAGCATTCAGGCATTATAAAGGAGAGGCTGTGTTGGAGACTGAGTGAGAGAGTTAAGACACACTTGCTTCCTTTATAGCAGACTGAATTGCTTCCTTATTTGCCACTGGCATTTACCTAATGTACCCAAATACCAAATATTTCAGAATGACTTCTGCATTTCCTGAAGGACATACCAGTGCTTGCAGAGCCGAAAACAATAGAGTTTAATCAGTTTTACAGCCGGTAATCTTTAGTTTCAGGCGTTCTGTGCTGCATCACAGTCTTAAACTTTTGTGTTTCCATTAAAATGTGCAAATTTACCTAAAAATTGGATCAAAATTGGAAAACGCAAATAAAGCAGTGTTTCCATCTCAAGAGAACAAAATAGTCTCAACCTAGGAAATTGGCGCACAGAATTTCGAGACCAAGACAGACCCAAGTCGAGACCAAGACCAAGACGAGACCGAGACCAAGACGAGACCAAGACGAGACCAAGACGAGACCAAGTCGAGACCAAGACTGGGACTAATTTGAGACCAAGTCAAGACCAAGACTGAGACCAAGTCGAGACCAAGACTGAGACCAAGACTGAGACCAAGACTGAGACCAAGACCGAGACCAAGTCAAGATCAAGACCGAGACCAAGTCAAGACCAAGACGAGACTAAGTCGAGACCAAGACAGACCCAAGTCGAGACCAAGACCGAGACCAAGGCAAGACCAAGACTGAGACCAAGTCGAGTCCAAGTCGAGATCAAGACTGAGACCAAGACCAAGTCAAGATCAAGACCGAGACCAAGTCAAGACCAAGACGAGACTAAGTCGAGACCAAGACAGACCCAAGTCGAGACCAAGACCGAGACCAAGTCGTGACCAAGACTGAGACCAAGTCGAGACCAAGACTGAGACCAAGTCAAGACCAAGACAGACCAAGTCAAGACCAAGACCGACGCTGAGGAAAAGCCACATGAGTTTATTGAGGGATTTATTCAGTAAATGTGTTTCCATCGTAGTTAATGCGCATCGGATAAAAGTGCATTCGCGTCAATTGAGCTCATATGTTTCTTAAGCACTTAATTACATATAATTTAAGCACATCTTGGCTTCGTTTTTATGCGATATCCCAAAAAACATGTGAATAGAAACAGAAAATAAGCTCTTTGTTTTCTGTCAGCAATAATCAACATATAAATAAATAAATAAGACAAAACTTTTCCATATTTAGTCCAAATCAACCACATCGCATTCAGTCGAATCGGTTTATGCATTTCCTGGAAATCAAACCCAGGAAATAAAATCAAATGTGCAAAAAAATTCGAATCAGTGCAAGTCAATGGGAGGACTTTAAACTCTTATTGTAAATTCCCTTCATTTAGTATAACATAAACTGTATATTTAAAATGATTTACTGAAAAAGGAAGAGGAATTGTTATATAGTTCTGCTTGGCAAGTGTATTAAATGTGCATTTTTATAAAGGACACAAAGACAGGATTATGTATTGCAGCAACACCCCACATAGCAAAATTTTTCTGGCCCAGCTCCGGCCCACACAATCACTTTTCCCTCGGCCCAAATACCGCAAAGAATGACGGTACTGAAGTGGCCCAGAACTGGATTATAGACAAGGGTCACACATGGGCCATAACTGGCCCGAATCTCAGCCAGTTAATCACCCTTAACTGGCCCTGAACTGGGCCAAAACAGGTTTTATTATTTGTACCAATTCTCAGCCATAAGTTAACCATATCGACACCACTCTTTAACCAGAAACCCCAAAACTGAGCCATAACCCAGCCTAATCTTACCCAAACCATATGAACCCAATCCTCGGCCCAAGTACCGCAAAGAATGACGGCGCTGAGGTGGCCCAGAACTGGATTAAAGACAAGGGTCACACATGGGCCATAACTGGCCCGAATCTCAGCCAGTTAATCACCCTTAACTGGCCCTGAATTGGGCCAAAACAGGTTTTATTATTGGTACCAATTCTCAGCCATACGTTAACCATATCGACACCACCCTTTAACCAGAAACCCCAAAACTGAGCCATAACCCACCCTAATCTTACCCAAACCATGTGAACCCAATCCTCGGCCCAAGTACCGCAAAGAATGACGGCGCTGAAGTGGCCCAGAACTGGATTAAATACAAGGGTCACACATGGGCCATAACTGGCCCGAATCTCAGCCAGTTAATCACCCTTAACTAGCCCTGAACTGGGCCAAAACTGGTTTTATTATTGGTACCAATTCTAAGCTAACCGTTTCAATACCACCCTTTCAAACCCCCAAACTGAACCATATCCCAGCCTAACCTTACCCAAACCATGTGAACAAATAAGTCACAGAAAAATTCTATATTTTATTCAATTTAAATTTTATTTAACAATAATACCACAAATAAATATTACACCTAGAATTGTGTAACAGTGTGAAGGCTATTTTATTTTGTACATTCCAAGTGTAACATCTTATTACAACCTGTAAAAGCCCTTCTTCTCACATTGCTCCTCTCATTGTAACTCCAATTACCAGCCATACCAACAGTCTGTCAAGTTTTCTGGCCCAACCAGTCCTGTAAAAAAAAAAAAAAAAAAAAAAAAAAATTAACATTGAAAATGCATCAACTATTCCAGATTTACCAATATAGGATACTAATGTAGCTCTAAAACTCATTTGTATTAATCATCTTGTTAGATCATGGAAAGTGAGTGCCTTAGGCCAGAGTTTGAACTCCTTATAGTCTTTAGAAATAAAATAACATCCACTCAAACAAACAGACAGGAATGGGGGAGCAACTTACATATCATCAATAATTAAACAATATGAAAGGAGGGGAAGACAACTTTATAGAGTCATTCTTTCCTTATAATGCCCAATATGTTGGAAGAAAAACATTGCCATGCGTCAATGGTTAGCAAATTGAAAAGTTGCCAATTGTTTATTGCATTTAAATTAACCTCTAAACATTACCCAGGTTGAGAACTATTGTTTTAGACAAAAAAATTATGAAAAAAAATTTATGTAATTATGTATTATATAAAAATTATGTGATCAATTTCATTCTTTCAATGTAGATATTTTAATAGTACAGTATTATTATTTTCTCTCAATCGCCTACGAATATAGCATACTGAAATGACTAGCAATACATGACAAGCAAAAATAAATAAGCAGTCTGTGATCACAAATAAAAAAACATGTACTTTTCATGTGAAACGCCACGATTAGATTTAGATATCATACAATTATACAACCACTGAATCACTTTCAGCTTTATAAGTCAATTGCGGTTGCTGGATTTGCTGTGATCTTCCTATAATTTTAAAAGCATTAACATTACATTGTTTCGCACACATGAAGCACAGGCCTCGCCTAGGACGTTCCGCACCGGTCTATCGCACATGATCGCACCCCGTTCGCGTCTGTATAGGCATTCTCATGTTCAGGGGCAACTGAATCAGCTACCAGGCAAAAGTTCACTTCAATAAAGAAAAAAGTGGCATCCGAGTTTGAAATCAGGTATTAAAAAAGCGCCAAAAAGAGAGTGAACTTCACTTACCCGTACAGCGGTTGTCTGAGATGTCGTCTTCTTCTTCAATCTTCAGCGGGAGAAATTTCAAAAGACGCATCACGTGAACCAACCAGAAAAGCTGCTGTTACCATGGAAATCGCGCCGAAATAAAACAATAGTTGACTGCTGTTTTAAATAAACTGTTATTTCGAAAAAAAAAAAAAAAATCCAGATATTCAATTTTTAACATGATTTTGTGGTGCTTAAAATAAAAAGTATGGAAAACTTAGACTTGGATGTGGATTTTTTTTTTTATTACAAATTTATAAAAAAAAAACAAATTCAAATAAATAATAGGTTTAATACTTAAAAAAAATCATAGGTCTAATACTTATCATGTTAGTAAATGTATATTTTTTAATGATACAGCATTTTGTAAACATTGCTGAAAACTAAATACTATATTTATTCATTATTAATCATTTTTTAAACAATTGGACAGATATTTTTTTCACTGACTCATTTAAGTCAATTTATATTATTATTATTTATTATTAAAATCTTAACACCTTTTTCAGAGGGGTCGGGGTGGGGTATAATCTTGCCTTGAAAATATAGTAGCAGGCTTATAATTGTCCAGTACACAGAATATGGCCCACAATCGCTACACTGATCTGGGCCACATACCTCCCATCCACAATCGGCCCAAAAGTTGTCTGCCGTCATGCACTGCCATCATTGCCACACTTGGCCCACAGTTGGCTGACAAGATGTGGGCCACACACCTCCCATCCACAATCGGCCCAGAAGTTGTCTGCCGTCATGCACGCAGTGCCATCATTGCCACACTTGGCCCACAGTTGGCTGACATGATGCATGCCATTGCCGGCAACACGCCAGCAGTGCCATGATGAGGCCACATTTGGGCCAAGTCTGTTTGCTATGTGGGACACACTTCTGGTAACATCGAAGGGAAGAAACGCTTGAGAAACATTTCAGTTTTTCATTTTAAGTCTCCTTCTGAAGTCGCCCGCCTCAGATATTCACCTTTGCAAACAACCCAAAATAACTCTGTACTGTTTGCCTAGAACACAAAGTCCTTTGTTAGGTTAGTCTTCAGGTATGTTGTGATAGTTATAATATGAATGTGGTCAATCTTTAGTCAGAGCAGAGAGGGGTGTGTGTGTGAAGGAGATTTTGAATTGAACATCTATATCAGAACAAGAAATAAATCATTGTTTGGTGTCAGTGCAACATTTGAACAACTGAATAACACAGGTGAGTCTGCCTGTGTGGAATTAACTTTACATCCACTGGAAAAGGCATTTGGTTAAAAGTCAAAGAAAAGATCTAGCATGTGACGTGCCCAATTACTTTTTATAGATTATGTTCTCCACAAAATAACTTGTTTGGTTTCACTTGATAAAGTACAAAGCCATTTACAATTACTCACTGCTTCCCAAATCCCATACTATCCAGCCTACATACTAGTGAGTGATGTATGTCTCGAGGCCGGTCTTGGTCTTGAGATTACTTTTACGTGGTCTCGACTTGGTCTCAGTCTTGGTCTTGACTTGGTCTCAGTCTTGGGCTCGACTTGGTCTCAGTCTTGGTCTTGACTTGGTCTCGGTCTCGACTTGGTCTCGACTTGGTCTCAGTCTTGGGCTCGACTTGGTCTCAGTCTTGGGCTCGACTTGGTCTCAGTCTTGGTCTTGACTTGGTCTCAGTCTTGGTCTTGACTTGGTCTCGACTTGGTCTTGACTTGGTCTCAGTCTTGGTCTCGACTTGGTCTCAGACTTGGTCTCGACTTGGTCTCAGTCTTGGTCTCCGTCTTGGTCTCTGTCTAGGTCTCGACTTGGTCTGTCTTGGTCTCGACTTGGTGTGTCTTGATCTCGACTTGGTCTCAGTCTTGGTCTTGACTTGGTCTCGGTGTTGTTCTCGACTTGGTCTGTCTTGGTCTCGACTTGGTCTCAACTTTGTCTCAGTCTTGGTCTTGACTTGGTCTCGGTCTTGGTCTCGACTTGGTCTGTCTTGGTCTCGACTTGGTCTCAACTTGGTCTCAGTCTTGGTCTTTACTTGGTCTTGGTCTTGTCTTGGTCTCGACTTGGTCTCAGTCTTGGTTTTGACTTGCTCTCAGTCTTGTTCTCGACTTGGTCTTGGTCTCAACTTTGTCTCAGTCTTGGTCTTGAATTGGTCTCGGTCTTGGTCTCGACTTGGTCTGTCTTGGTCTCGACTTGGTCTCAACTTGGTCTCAGTCTTGGTCTTGACTTGGTCTTGGTCTTGTCTTGGTCTCGACTTGGTCTCAGTCTTGGTCTTGACTTGCTCTCAGTCTTGTTCTCGACTTGGTCTTGGTCTCGACTTGGTCTCGACTTAGTCTTGGTCTCGGTCTCGACATGGTCTGTCTTGGTCTCGGTCTTAGTCTTGTCTTGGTCTCGACTTGGTCTGTCTTGGTCTGTCTCAGTCTTGGTCTCGACTCGGTCTTGGTCTGTGGCCTCATGGGATAGGATCGTAAATTGTCCATTGAATGCACACTTCATAATCCCGTTGACTGTAGGTATTGTAGGTATTGTAGGACTGTAGGTATTTTTTGCGTATGCATTATGAATACTATGAATTTAGACATAACTTCACTCATGTACTGTTTTCCACTACTATAGTATGGATCCAGTGAAGGCTCTGATTTACTGCACTTCACGCGAAATCAAAGAACGAATATCATTTTAAAAAAAATCAGGCCAAAAACGAAATCTGTTCATTTCGGGAATTCGAAACATCTTGAAAGTTTTTCATATGTCTAGGTGTTCTAGTTGTGTTGGGGATCAAGTCTATCTTTATGAGGGAGTTCTGTGTATCATAATTCATAGATGTCGTGTTAACCTAGAAACCTAGATCTGCTCTGGGTTTCCTCAACTTTACACAAAGTGTTTATGGCCCTATAAAATGAATCCAGCTATTGTTAATTCTGCGAATTCCTTCTCCAGGTCGCAGTCACGTCGAGTTAAAAGATTAACGTTGTGAAAAACAGATCGCAGATAGGCGGTCGACCAAGTGTCTTCATATTTGGGGAAAGTCTGCCAACAAACCCATATTCAATGTTTGTTATGTGGTCGAGAATGTGGAAATTGAACTCATAATTTATTGCGTTTTTGTTTCAAACTTTTTTTCGGACTGAATTCGTCATTAGCAGGAAATTCTAACCCTTCCAGAAATGCACAAACACGGCCGTTGAGTTTACACAGGCAAGCCAGACTCTAATAGCATTAGAAATACGGGCCTTCTTCTCTGTCAAACCTCTCAGTGTAAGTAATTGCTGTTCTGCTTGTGTTACAGAACACATTCTCCAGTGTGTTTCACATGGAATATGAGGAGCTTGCAGGATCCGAGGACTTCCCGAACAGGTGGGGTTATCATACAAATTACTATTATGTAACGCAAGGCAAAGTGCCAGGAATGTTCAATACAAGAGTTTAGACTACAGACTTCTAGTGGAATATCTTTTTTGTTATTTGAATATGATGCTTGAGGTTCACTTATACCGATCTCTTATTGGTAAATCAATTATTAATATGCTTTAAGACTTTTAAGTGGACAGCATTGCTCAGTATTTCCTCCTTAAAACTGCAGGGAACCAAAGACAGTCTCAAAAACACGCTTTGAAATCACTCACGACCTTGTAACCAATCAGATCAACGTGTGATCGTCAACCAGTGGATCTCTGAGTGAGTGAGTGAGTGGAGACGGGGCTCATTTGCATATTAATAGAACCGCGAATACTAAATGAGGCAAGGTGTTGAGTTACAATCAAGATATTTTAAGGCGTGAATAAATTTTTTCAAGGAAAAATTATATTTTTTCAGATTGGGGTTGTATTGAGGGGTTGTATCTTTAGGTTCGGCCTTAAAAATGAAACCAGGACTAAAATGTATTTTGTTTTTTTTATCTGGACCAAAAAAGAACCCAAACTACACTTCACATCCTCATCCCCTTCTTTATCATCTCATTATAATCAGAAAAGAGTGTCATTTCACCTTTATGTTCCACAGAAGAAAGAAAGGAACAACATTAGGATAAACTGACAGAATTTTCATTTTTGGGTGGATTTTTGGCAATTACACGTGACGTTTATTTACTTCCTAATTTTAAGGCAACTGATTTCCTCACTTTTTTAAAAGTTAAGAGTATAGTGTGTTTTTGTGTCTAAACACATTTTCTGCAGTATTAATATTACTATTAGTAATGGACTGGAGTTACTATTAGTATTACTAGTACTAGCAAAAGGAGATTGATTGTAATGATGTGTGGTTATAAGCAGGAGCGCGTAATCATTTGTTGATGTCTTTAACAGGGAATGTGACGTCAACAAGATTAACTACATGTACGCTCAGTATGTCAAGAACAGTATGGAGTCGCTGAACATCACAGATGTCACCAAAGACCAGCGATTTCCATGGACTGTAAGTGTTCATAAATGCTTATTCATTCAAACATTGGGTTGGGATCATCCCGATATTTCAACGCTATCTCACGACTAATTAGTACAGATTGAGTGAGTAAAAGGTGGCTAATTTGTTCGATTTGTCTTGGGGCGGGGTCAGGTGTAGGTCATTTGTACGAATTGGGCAACTCATAAAATATGTACGATATAGACAAAATCTTACGAATTCGTACGAGTGAGGACGTATGAAATAGTCGTACAAATTAGCTACCTTGTAAAATTTTCTACGAATCTCTGTGAGATCGGGTTGGATTTTTCTAGGATTTCACAGAGCTCTTATTCATTCAAACAATGTTTCAACGCTATCTCACAACCAATTCGTACGAGTGAGTAAAAGGTGGCTAATTCGGACGAATTTGTACGATTTTTCTAGGTGTGGGGTCAGGTTTAGGTAATTTGTACAAATTCATGCGAATTGGGCAACTCGTAAAATATTTACGATTCAGCAAAAATCATACGAGTGATGTCATATGAATTCTTACGAATTAGCCACCTCGTAAAATTTGTACGAATTGCTGTGAGATCGGGTTGGATTTTTCTTGGATTTAACAAAGTGCTTATTCAATCAAACATTGGGATGGGATGTTTTAACGCTATCTAACGACCAATTCGTACGAGTGGGTAAAAGGTGGCTAATTCGTATCAATTTGTCTAGGGACTGAGTCAGGTGTATTCATTCCTACAAATTCATGCGAATTGGACAACTTGTAAAATATCTACGATTTAGCAAAAATCGTACGAGTGATGTTTTATGAATTCGTACAATTTGTCTAGGGGCGGGGTCAGGTGTAGGTCATTCGTACAAATTCATGCGAATTGGGCAACTCGTAAAATATTTACGATTTAGCAAAAATCGTACGAGTGATGTTGCATGAATTCGTACGAATTAGCCACCTCGTAAAATTCGTACGAATTGCCGTGAGATCGGGTTGGATTTTTCTTGAATTTAACAGAGCTCTTATTCATTCAAACATTGGGATGGGATCATCCCGATGTTTTAACGCTATCTCACGACCAATTCGTACGAGTGCGTAAAAGGTGGCTAATTCATATACGAATTCGTACAATTTGTCTTGGGGCGAGGTCAGGTAAGTCATTCGTACAAATATTTTGTAAAATATTTACGATTTAACAAAAAACATATGAATTCGTACAAATTGCCGTAAGATTAGGTTGGATGTTTCTGGGATTTCACAGAGCTCAACATTCACATCCCCAATTTTGCACTATAAACTGCCTCTTTTCCCCAAAGATGCTTGCATTTTAAACTTTACAATTGCATTTGTTTTTTCCCCCCATTTCTTTTCGGAAGAGTGAAAATCTAGAGTCCTCGAACGGTCAAATCAAAAGTCTTCTCTGCACACCAATCAGGAATGGGAAGAAAGATAAAGTGATAGGTATGTGTGTTTTCAATATTTCCACAATCTGAGCCATTAGTCAACATCGTTCCTAAAATGATCAAAAAACAAACATTAATATTACTATTGCTCATATCTGACGCTTAATCATCCCACACCAATAATTGACACGTTAAATTGTGAAACTAAGAAAACAAAATCTCATAGAATCACATGGACGGAGGGACAGAATATCATCTGATGGTGGTTTTATTTTACTTGCATCATATTTTCGTCTAAATGCATAAAAATATACTGTAGTTTAGAATTGGCTTTTAATTTCTCATGCAATTTTAACTGACATCATTAGGTTTCTAAACAATGATCACCATTGTGGTGCTGGTCGAATTCAAGTGCAATATAAACCGTATAATAATCAAAGTCTGAATTGGTTGGAATAATTTAGCATCTTCTTAAGGGTTTATGTCTTATTTTGTATAGTCTCATTGAGCCAATCGTGATGAAAATAAATCTTTTTTTAATTGATTGCTTTATCTCCTTTTATCTAGACTTATAATAGAGGTTAATTAAGTTGCTGACAGCTGATAAACCACTAATGATCTCAGGCATAGAGAATAATACAACATTAAAATGGTCATTTATTCCAAACCGGTATGAACTTCTTTCTTTCATGCATCACAAAAAGTGAATTTATAAAGAAAGGTCTGGCACCCTTTTCCATTTAATAAAAGTAAACAGACACCTGTATAAGATTACCATTAAAGTGTCTCAGAAGCAGACTATATTTCAAGTTTATTCTTTAGAAAATCCCCTTTTGTGCTCCACGGAAAAAGGAAAGTCATATGCAGTACGTCAAAAACAGCAATATATATACAAATAAATATGTATTTTGTGCTAAATATTCACATATCAGTGTGTTGGCCGCTGAATGCAGGTGTTTGCCAGTTGGTGAATAAGATGGATGACGCGTCAGGAGAAGTCAAAGCCTTTAACAGGAACGATGAGCAGTTTCTCGAGGCCTTCGCGATCTTCTGTGGACTGGGCATCCAGAACACACAGATGTACGAAGCCGTGGAGAGAGCCATGGCCAAGCAAGAGGTCACACTCGAGGTGAGTCTGGTTTTATACATGTCACTCATTTTATTACATGTTTCTGCCATTGAATAAAAAAAATGCAATTTTATCTGACGTTATTTCTCAATTCAGATTTTATAACTCGCAATTGCAAATCGGCCACTAGTTGGCGCTAACGGATTTTATAGCTCTGTAATCACGTGGTGTTGCACGTCATTTGATAGATCTCATCAAGCTGAACAACTTTGCCTCTAGAACCATTGCTGTCAATCAAATCGTTCATTAAATATTCATGAATAAGTTAAAAAATAGTCCCTGGTTTTTCGTCCGATCAAAACCAGATCAGTCTAAGACAACTCTCTGGACTCTCTAGATAAATAATTATTTTTCCGCATGGTATTAAAGGGTTATTTAGAAAAGGGGCAAGGCAAAATACACTCAAAAGCCTCTAAATCCTAAATAAAAACATGTGAGCATATGTGACATAACATCAATAACAAGCATGCAACATTTCATGGAGATCAGACCATAGGTGGTGCTATAATTGTCGCAAAGCTTTAAAACCTTATATTTCCTAAGGTAAATTGGCTGTAAATGGTCTTTTCCATCTATTATGTCAGTGGATAAATGTATGCTAAATAAAACAGAATGTCTTTTGATGCTTTAAAGGCCTGAACTGCTTGAACGCCACTAAATGCTGCTTGCATCCTCCTTAATATTTTATTGTGAAGTTGCTGGACAACAAATAGGATGTCCTTAATATGTTGGGAGTACAATACAATACAATTTCTCTATTCTTAGATCACTTAAACTCTTTACACATTGAGCACGACTGAAATATATATGCAAGCTAAACTGTGAATCATTTATCATTGTTTTGGCACAAAATGCATTCAATGCAAATTCATTATTTTCTCAGTCAGACACAAAAATAATACAGTAGTGGCTTAATGTCCGGAGGGGATATTTGTCTTTAAAGTTTCAAAATATGAGGGAAGAACAAAACACTAAACTTCCTAAAGTCATTAATACAGCGGATCACATCAAAGCAGCTTTACAGTAATAACAGAAGATACGTGAACATATTCTTTGTCCATTAACCCGTTAACATCCGACGTCTGTGTGTGTCTCTCCGCAGGTTCTCTCGTATCACGCGTCGGCCGAAGAGGAAGAGACGCGGGCGCTCCAGGTATCTGCGGTAAATTACAATTTATCACTATATCATATTGAAATGTGCTTTACTTCACATATCAAGCATTACTTTACATTACCCGTCTACTCATAACACAAGAAACCCGGCTCTGATTAACTCTGAGAATAATCGGGCGATTAAAACGCAGAATTTCTGCTTTAATTGAGAGTTATTTGTTTGTTAATTACAGCAATTACTCTTAAGGTCAGCATGTGGATTTAGCTCTATTTGTTTAACTCATAAAGCATGTAAAATCAGCTAAAGATTTGCTTCATTTTTGAGGATGATGGAATAAAATGTTAACCCTTATTTATTTGGGATCCCCAGATCCTTAAAAAGTCTCCAACAATACATTTACACACATCCAACGTCCAAAAACACTTTAATTTCCTCATAATGTTCATTACAGCATCAGTGTCTGAAAGATTCAGTCTCTCTAAGCTCCGCCTCTCTGAGAGCTGCTCTGCTCTGATTGGTCAGAAAGCAAACGCTCATTATCATATGTGAATCTCAGAAAACAGCGTCTTCTCCACACGAACGACACGAGCCCAACTCTCCAGTCTCAGAGACACTACAGTGTTTGAGGGCGGAGCTAAGAGACGCTTAGAACAGAGGCGGGCATTATGCAAATTAGCTACAAACACATCAATGAAGACTCGTTTCAGCAGTTCAGAATTTATTCTTCTGGAAGAAAGTACCATTATTTGTCAATTAGCATTTAAGGGTCATGCAATCTTCTGAGATTTTAACATAGTTATGCATGTTGATCATCAAAGAAGTTTTAATTGTAGAAGACAACTAGATAAGACGCCTCAAGTCTTTCCCTTTCATTATTAGATTATGCATGCTTTTTTTGTTGTTGCATTTTTGTCTATTTGGATCTTGATTTTTTTCGCCACTTTTCAAGCATTCAAGCTTCCCAAAAATGCACTCTGCACTTTACCATGATATGAATATGCATGCTTTTTTTGTTCATTTTTGTCTGTTTGGCTCATTGCTTTAATGTACAGAAATGTGAAAAGTCTCGGTTGCAGGGTGATTTTGTTTTGGAAAGGTCCTGCAGATGTTGGTTTAAACAGATGAAGCTGACTGTAGGATCGACAGAGACGTGATTTATGGACTCTGCATTATGGGCTCTGGCTTTCAGAAGAGGAGACTGTGAACTCTGCTGATGGCAGATCATTGATTATTAATGTGTAATAATGTCCTGAACCCACAGGCCGCCACGATCCCCTCGGCTCAGTCTCTCCGACTGATGGACTTCAGCTTCAGTGACTTCGACCTGTCGGACGCCGACACCACTCAAGCCACCATACGCATGTTTGTGGACCTCAAGCTTGTGCAGAACTTTCAGATGAAGTACAAGGTGCAATTAGACAAATAATGACTTTCATATTATTATTATCAGGGTTTCCGCGGGGTCTTAAAATTTCAAAATCACATTTTAAAGGAGTAGTTCACTTTTGAAAAAAACTTTTGCTGATAATTTACTCGCCCCCATGTCATCCAAGATGTCCATGTCTTTCTTTCTTCAGTCGAAAAGAAATTAAGGTTTTTGATGAAAACATTCCAGGATTTTCTCCATATAATGGACTTCAATGGGAACCAAACGGTTCAAGATCGAAATGAGAGTTTTAATGCAAACTGTTCAAAGGGCTTTAAACGATTCCAGACGATGAATAAGGGTCTTATCAAGCGAAACGATCGCTCATTTTATAAATAAATAAAAAGTTGAAGTTTTATAAGCACAAATGCTCGCCTTGCTCTGTTCTGTGATGCGCTCGTGACTCATCAAAACGAACGAATCTTTTTTCAAGTCATTTCGTTCATTTAGTTCGTTAAATTAACCAAATGACTCGAAAAAAGATTTGTTCGTTTTGATGAACAGGAGAGTCATGAACGCGCATCGCAGAACAGAGCAAGGCGAGCATTTGGACCTTGAACCGTTTGGTCCCCATTGAAGTCCATTATATGGAGAAAATCCTGGAACGTTTTCATCAAAAACCTTAATTTCTTTTCGACTGAAGAAAGAAAGATATGGACATCTTGTATGACACGGGGGTGAGTAAATTATCAGCAAAAGTTTTTTTTAAAAGTGAACTACTCGTTTTAAACAGGTCTTAATGTTCCATGTAAATCTCATTGAAACGCTTGGGAATGTTTTTTCTCTTATTCCGTGGTGTCGTAGTTCCTTATTTCGCTTGTTCAAATATAATTCGCTGTATTACGACTACAAAATAGACCAACATGCAACAGCCAATCAGCTTTGGGCTTTCGTGTCATTAGCACGTGTCTCAGATAGACGTAAAACGCTTTTTATTCAGCGATGGGGAAGTGCAAGTTTAGCGATACTTGGCTTGGAAAATCTGAATTTTTAATTTGCAAACGCGTATTTGAAGCCCACTGCTCCATATGCAAGAAAGATTATAAATTGGGAACATTGTGTGTACGGGCGCTGCAAATACTGTTTACATTACGCACTTTGGATTAGGGGATTTTATTAAAACAAAACGAATTTCCAAAATCACGCGATTGATGTTCGACAAATTTGAGTAAATTGAATTACTTTGCATGTAATTTTGAGACTCTGCGTTTCTTTTGTACGTTTTTTATTTTATTTTTTTTATTATTTCCAGTCTAAAAGGTCTTGTTTCCAGTCCAAATATCTAAAAATTCTTAAATTAAGAAGTAAAAAGCCATACGATATCATATCTTGTTTTCTGCGGGGAAAAAAATCAATCAATATAAAAAAGAATGAGTTTTTGCTTAAAATAAGCTAAATTATCTGCCAATTGGGTACGAAAAATAATTTTGGTCATACTTCCAAAACTGTCCTCAACGCATCCGCGCCGAGACACAACCCACGTAACGCTGATAATGACTGCAGTTGCAGATTTCGAACAGAGATGGCGCCAAAGAGGAAAAACGACGGACTGCAGCTTTAAATTTAACAGCTGACAGATATTCAACATAATTCATGTGTGCGAGTCTAACAGAAGGACGGACAAAACCAGTATTTTATCATATTTTATTACCATTTTCAAAACTATAACGAATAAACGAATGTGCGAAATGTCTGAATACTTGTGTAATCTTTATAGCTTTAAAAGTGACGAGTTGTTGTTCCAGAGTCTGTGCCAGTGGATCTTAAGCGTGAAGAAGAACTACAGGAAGAACGTGGTTTATCACAACTGGAGACACGCGTTCAACACGTCGCAGTGCATGTTCGCCGTGCTGAAGTCCGGCCGGGTCCAGGTCAGTGGATCTGATAACAAACGCTGGCGCCAGTCGTGGCATAAACCAGTAAAACCCCTTTAACACACACACACACTGAGCTTGATGATCTACAGTGAGATGTGCAGCTTTGTTTCCTTTTATAGAGAAGCCAGTTTAGCAGGAATGAAACTAGCGGAACGGTTTTTATTGCGTGTTCCCCTATAAACGTCTCCTGTTGTTGACGGTGCGAGTTAATCATTTGCGTTTACACTCCTGCCCTGATAGAAACGCCTGCTTTCTTTTAATAGTAAATACCAGGAAGAGCTTTATGTGGAGTTAGCTTCTCACAATTGAGAATTATTTGGTATTTATGAATTGAGAACTAAACCGTCTGGTGCTCTTCGGACGTTTTTGACCCGATCATTTTACGTTTTTTTTTTTTTTTTTTTCAGAATGGTTTGAAACTTGGTAAAGGCTTTAATTTTATTGCAGTTTTAGAGTAATGTGTTTTTGCAAATGTAGATTTCATGTAAAAATTTTAAATAGTATTTTTGTGCATTTTTCATATCAATAAACGTAAAATTCTGTAACTTTTTATGGTCACTTTTTTAACGTTTTTTCACTTCAGCAATAATCTGCCGCGTGTCAAATGCTCAAAAAGTGAATAAATGGATTATAAATACTGCGTAAATATAATTTAGTAGCATAAAATATCCTAAAAATACAAAATATTAAATAAAAAAACATTATTAAACTTAAATATAGTACATTCCTTTGATATAAAAAAAATAATTTGGTCATTTTCTAAATTCTAATTGGATTTAGTTTGCTTATTTTACGTTTTTTTCAGAATGGTTTGAAACTTGGTAAAGGTTTTTGCAATTGCTATGTAAACACAAAACAATTCATGATTCAAACAAGTTAAATGGTCCTGTAATAAACAGGCACACTTGTGTTTCTCGCGGTCAAACACGAGCGCATTGGAAATGAATGGCGAGTTTCCTCTAGTGGAAGCGTTCGGTACTGCAGCCACACACACTCTCACTGAACGCTCGTTTACTGAGATATCAGACTCAAATTTGGAAACTTGTTCGGATTTACGGCTTTAATTTTCTTGCAGTTTTAGAGTAATGTGTTTTTGAAAATATACATTTCATATAAAAATTGAAAATAGTACTTTTCGTGCATTTTTCATATAAACGTAAAATTCAGTAACTTTTTTTAAGGTCACTTTTTTAACGTTTTTTTCACTTCAGCAATAATCTGCCGCGTGTCAAATGCTCAAAAAGTGAATAAATGGATTATAAATACTGCGTAAATATAATTTAGTAGCATAAAATATCCTAAAAATACAAAATATTAAATAAAAAAACATTATCAAACTTAAATATAGTACACTCCTTTGATATAAAAAAATAATTTGGTCATTTTCTAAATTCTAATTGGATTTAGTTTGGTTGTGGATTTACATAAAGTGTGACTGCATCTGTGTTTAGATAGCATGGCTGTGTTTGACAGTGTTCAATCCCTGACTCGCAATATTGTTTCATTTGGTTGAAGATGTGGGGCCAAACTACAAACTTTTAGGTGTTAAAGATTTACCAAAGGGAGAAATTAGCGCTGAAATATGAGGACAGGGTTATTTTTATTGCATATGCATTAGTAGGAGTTCCCCGTTCAGACAGTGTGTTTAGTGACTTTCAGAGTTGTTGTAATATTGTAATAAAGCTGTGTTTTGATTGACAGAATAATCTGAGTGATTTGGAGATTTTAGCTTTAATGATTGCGACATTGAGCCATGATTTGGATCACAGAGGTGTCAACAACTCCTACATCAAAAGGTTTGTGCTTTGTTTTAGTGTGTGTGTGTGTGTGTGTGATCGATGTAAAGGTGCGACTGATGCCGTATGTTTCCCTGTTTCCACAGAAGTGAGCATCCGCTGGCCCAGCTCTACTGCCACTCCACCATGGAGCATCACCACTTCGACCAGTGTCTCATGATCCTCAACAGCCCTGTGAGTGTGTGTGTGTGTGTGTGTGTGTGTGTGTGCGCTTCATTTTCGGCCTGAGCTTCAGGTCAGCACATCTACCTTGGGTTGTTCTTTTGAGTGTATAGAGTAAATACAGAGATCAGATATGGGTCACTTTTAAAAGAAGATGTGAGCTGGTCGTCAAAAAAATCAGATATAGTCAACAAATCAAGTCCTGCAGTGCAAATACGGCCTTAAAGGAGTAGTTCACTTTTAAAAAAACGTTTGCTGATAATTTCCATACTGGATTCGGCCATATTGGATTTAGCCGCCATCTTGGTCTCAGGGACCATTGGCTTGGGCGCCCTGGCTAAATCATTTCAGTATGCCCTCAGCTACATCTGTGCCAAATTTGGTGCTTGTATATGAATTTGCGTGAACAATGGGATGTAAGCCCCATTCTACAGCCCAATCTGCTTTTTTGGACAGCGGCCATATTGGAATTGGAGGATCAAGGGGTCCAGATATACTGGGTCATAAATATAAACATTTCTATGTGTTTCCCATGATCAATTAAGCGAAAAACATTTCAAGTTTGTATTTGTAACTCATGTGGTTCAAAAGTTATAGCCGGAACCCTTTTCGGGCAGCGGCCATATTGGATTTGGCCACCATCTTGGCCCCGAGAGGGTCGCTGGCTCCGGCACCCTAGCTATATCATTTCAGTATGACCTGAGCTACATTTGTGCCAAATTTGGCGCTTTTCAGATGAATTTGCGCAAAATTACCTATTTATGTGCTTAAGACCCCCAACTAATACTGCATGTTTGATATTCATACAACAAAATATTTTGGGGACTGTGAAAATTTTGTGAAAGTGAAAGAGTTCAAATATACCATTTTTATGTTGTTTTGTACATACAAATATTATATTAATATGCGATTTATTTATTTCATCTTGCAATATTAATATATTTAATACTCTTCTCTCTCTCTCTCTCTCTCTCTCTCAGGGTAATCAGATTCTGAGTGCTCTCTCTCTGGACGAGTACAAGGCCACACTGAAGATGATTGAGAAAGCTATTTTAGCCACAGATCTCGCTCTCTACATGAAGTAGGCTCCAGATGTCACACACACACACACACACACACACACACGTGTTGTTCGTTCATAATGCCAGTCTTTGTGTCCGCAGAAAGAGAACCGAATTCTTCGAGCTGGCGAAGAACAGTCAGTTCGTCTGGGAGGACGAGAGTCACCGAGATCTGCTGAGGTGAGCGTCCGACACACACGAACAGCGCAGTGCCGTTTGTTTGTTTCTTGGTTTTGATGTTATGATCTTCTGCAGGTCGATGCTGATGACAGCGTGTGATATCTCTGCTATCACTAAACCCTGGCCAGTCCAGAAGAAGGTAAATGCGATAAGAAGCCAGACGCATTCGTCTAAAATCAGTCCTCCTGTAGTCAATCACTTCATCCCTTAATACTTTACAAGTTTTTTCCTTGAAAAATGCCTTAAAAAAAAATCTTCCATGTAACTCGACACCCTCGCCTCATTTAGTATGTGCGGTTCTATGAATATGCAGATGAGCCCCGCCCCCACTCGCTCAGAGATCCACTGGTTGACGATCACTCGTTGATCTGATTGGTTACAAGGTGGTTTGTGACGTCAGAAACACCAGCGATTTCAAAGTGTGTTTTTGAGACTGTCTTTGGTTCACTGCAGTTTTAAGGAGGAAATACTTACACAACTTACACACGGTGTGTGTTAAAGGAGAACTCGGGCGCAAAATGAACCTGTGGTCTAATTACACATTGTTACCTAGTCAACCGTTATCTGAGATTTGTTTTCATGATTGCCGAATGTAAATAGTTTTATGTCTAAAAACAGTTTAGCCTATAACGCTAGTATAACGCTAGTATAGGGCATAGAGTAATGACAAATAAAAATGGCTTGTTATTACCACTAACAAGGCTCAAAATAGCCCCACACTAACACGGTAGCATAATAAGGGTCTCTACATTCAAACCGAAGCATTGAGACCTTTGTCAGTGTCCAAACAGTTTAATAAGAAGATATTTTATACACACAGTCATCTTTGAAAAATAGTCTCTACCAGTCGATCTACGAACGCCGATCCATGTGCGCTGGTGAGATGTGAATAAGGTGATAAGGTGAGCGCGAACAGTAGCTACGTGTACATATTGAAGAGAAGAAAATGGTTTGTGTTTGTGTTTCTTCCGGAAACAACAGACCATATGAGATTCTGAACAGTTCACCGCACTTGGATCGGCGTTCGTAGATCGACTGGTAGAGACTATTTTTCAAAGATGGCTTCTTCCTGTATTCGCGAAGTTGACTGTGTGTATAAAATATCTTCTTATTAAACTGTTTGGACACTGACAAAGTTCTCAATGCTTCGGTTTGAATGTGGAGACCCTTATTATGCTGTCGTGTTCTTGTGGGGCTATTTTGAGCCTTGTTAGTGGTAATAACAAGCGATTTTTATTTGTCATTACTCTATGCCCAATATGTCCAATATGACCAATATGCCCTCTGTTTTTAGAGATAAAACTATTTATATTCGGCAATCATGAAAACAAATCTCAGATAACGGTTGAATAGGTAACAATGTGTAATTAGACCAAAGGTTCATTTTGCGCCGGAGTTCTCCTTTAAAGCATATTAAACACACCACATAGACACATAAACAACATTAAACGCTGGAGTTTCACCACAGGGGGACTTTAAGATTGCTTTTGTAATGTCATCATCACGCCCTGCTCTTGTTCTCTTCAGTAATTAACCGGTGAAGGTTCAGTTCCTCAACATAATTTAAATGACATAATTTAGACCTTTAAACTCTCATAAAACAACCAAGAATACATTATAATCAAGAATTATGCAAACTCATGACCTTTAGACAGACTTATTATTTACTGTACATACATGTGGCTCTTAAAATGAGACGGCAACATAGTGTCATCCCGGATCCGGGCCACATCTGGGCCGTGTTCAATCCACCTGTACCGAATCCGGGCCACATCTGGGCCATGTAATGCATTAATTTAGAATTTCTCTAAAATTTCCAAACTCATTATATACTCTCGGGTAATATGTTAATATGAATGATTTTAAAGTTTAGACGTGCAATACAGACACAGATTTAACTATTTGAAATTAAATAAAACTCCTCCTGAAGTAAAACACATCTTCTTTTCAATGAAGGATATAACTTGCATACATTATTCTTTCAAGTAGACATATATTTCTATAAATTAAATATAATTAATCCTTATTAAAGCTATTAAGGCCTTATTAAAACAAAGGCCACTAATGAGCAAACCAATAAAGGCAGAAAAGCCAACTATAAACAGACATGACTTGATCAGCATATGATGTTTAAGATGAAAATAGCCGTGCAGATTCAGTAATTCACGTTTGTGTCTCCACAGATCGCAGAACTGGTTGCCACAGAGTTCTTTGAACAAGGCGATAAGGAGCGGAGAGAGCTGAACATTGAGCCTATTGTAAGCGCTTTACTTACTTTATAGAAACGTTAATGTCGTGTTTCAGTCGTTAAGAACCAGGTCTCAATAACCATGTGACTTTATTCTTTCCAAGGATCTGATGAACCGGGAGAAGCAGGATCAAATTCCCAGCATGCAAGTGTCTTTCATTGATGCCATTTGTACGCAGTTATATGAGGTAAATCACAAGTCATTCTAATCCACTACGGACGCTAGTGATTGCAAATTAATGCTAGAAACATGCTAGTAATGAGTCATACACACCATCCTAGCAATGTGTGTTAAATCATGCTAGCAACATGCTAAAACATATTGGCAACATGTTAATCTATCTATCTATCTATCTATCTATCTATCTATCTATCTATCTATCTATCTATCTATCTATCTATCTATTTATATGTATGTCTATCTGTTTTTCCATCCATCCGTTTTTCCATCTATCTATCTATCTATCTATCTATCTATCTATCTATCTATCTATCTATCTATCTATCTATCTATCTATCTATCTATCTATCTATCTGATGGCTCAAAGGCCTTTAAACATTATTTTTTTAAACGTCTTTAAAGTCCCTGTAAAGGCAATTCTACAAAAAAGTTCTAAACGCATTATAAATGTTGCATATGTATTGCTAAAACATACAAAGACTGTGAACTGTGAAGTACTGAAATGTGGAGTTAGACCGTTAAACAGTTTTTCACCATTGCAATTTTACGGGTTTTTTGGGCGGTGCTAAAACAGGGCTCGATGACGCACTGGAGCCCATGAGCTCCTGGACACGCCCCTATTTGATGACGCATTTTGCTGATCTCATCTCTCCCCTAACAATAGAGCACATTCGCATTCGCCGCTCAATCGCGAGTGACTGTCAGTCCTATTAGTTTCTACAGCCTACAGTTTTCTAGCTAGCTATTTGACACAGAAATGCATAGGCTATTACCTGGATGCGATCATGTACAAAACACTCCCGCCTCTGTAGTGATCGTTTTATAAACTTTCCTCAGAGACGACTGGGATTCACTGATTATTCACTGATAATCCGCTGTTACTGGTGAACGGGGCCGAAACGGCTATCTCCCGCCTCAGCGTTCATCCTCCCGTCTCCAAAAGCTAATCAGCTAATATCACCGTCGACAGCTTTCCCGTGAGTGGGCGTGGTTTCCACGCAGCCAGCGGACACGCCCCCCAGCGTTTGAGAGCATTTTTTCATGATTTTGATAGCTTATTTTATGTACTTGTCGGCTTTTTTTTATCATTCAAATTTGGCTGGGTGGCTAATAACACATTTTTCTGTGGTGTCACAAACTCAGAACACATACTTAATTTTGACTTTACAGGGACTTTAATCTCTCAAGTCTGTCTTCATAACATCTTCTTCTTCTCCTGCTGTCCTGTGCTTGTGTGCGCAGGCGCTGACGGGTCTCTCGGAGAACTGCTCCCCCCTGCTGGAGGGATGTAGGAAGAACAGGCAGAATTGGAAGCTTCTCGCTGAACAAGGAGAAGAAGGAGCTCTGCTGAAAGAAGGACTTTAAACTCCCCGTCTCCCTCAGACTCTCCGCATCATTCCCTGGCCTTCCCCAGAGACTGAAGGACTGCAAGACTGGTGTGACGACAGCACGCTCGAGGAGGCTTGGGTGAAAGATGTATCAGAATAAAGTCACTTCTTGAATCGAGGTTGATGTGCGATAAAACACTTGATGATCCAGCGGATGAAGAGACTTGCTTTAAAACATCTTGACTCATTGGAGGAATGTTCCAGGTTCAATACAAGTATTTGTGAAATGCTTTTACCACAGAAAATCATTTCATCACAAAAAATGTAGGCTGTAAAAAAAAATTTGTAGTTTTTGTGATGCCCAAAAGTGGGCGGAGCTGGCCGTCGCCATCTTGTTAGCGCATCACTCGTGGATGACTGAAAACGAGGCGGATTAGCTGAGGTAACGTGATGCTAATGTTAGCAGACAAGTGGCTAGTGACATCGCGGCAATCCACCTGTCACTCAAGTGGCCACGCCCTTAATTATGCAGAACTTTAAGGCTTAATATAATTCAAACGGAAGAGTTATAAAAATATTCACCCCCCTCACAGTCGTCATGAAGGGCAACATTAGCGATATAGACCAAAAACACTTTTTGCGCCAGACTGTAAACATGTTTTATTCTGCTGTAAAGTTGGTCATTTTAACATGCAGGTCTATGGGATCGAGTCTCTTCTGCAGCGCCTCTAGTGGCCAGTGGAGGAACTGCAGGTTAACTCTTTCGGTGTTGGATTCAAGAGAGAGACCGGGAGGTTCTGCTTGGTAAAAACAAACAACATTAAATAGTACAGTACACTGAGTCCGAAAGTTTCATATTCGTCATTCGGTGGCCCCCGAATATTCAAAACACAGAAATACGTAGAAAACGGTCCGAATTTTTTTTATGACGGGCGAAAGTTTCGGAGGCAGTGTGTAAACATGATTGACAAAACGTGAGGTGGTATTTATTCTTTAAATCAAATCAAATCAAAGTTTATTTATAAAGCACCTTAAAAAAAAAAACGAAAATGTACACGATTTAACGTGCGAAAATTTCAGACTCTAATGGGCAAGACATTCCAAAGGCAGAAAAGTCGTATTTTTCGAACCTGTGACCAATCGTGTTAACGTGTTTTGTAGCGTTGAGCAATGCAGCCAATCACAGGCATGTCTGCTGATTTCTTGAACGCAATGGCCAATCAGAGCCGTTTGTGAACATTGAGTCTATCACGTGACAAATGAACGAAAGATTCGTAAGGTTTTGTATTCCATGTCAATTATCTCTGGCTGTTTTATAATGATTTCTTAATTCAGAACGTGATCACGGTTGCGTCGGTGGATGTGTTCGGGGAATTTGGCTGTTAAAAGTATAACATTTAAATGAACTATGAACAAATCTTTAATCGAGTCATTTCATTCATTTAAGTGGCTTTAAATGACTCGAATAAAGATTCATTCATTTTGAGAGTCAGTAATCTTTTCTTCCTCTTATTATAACAAATAACGTGTAGAAACGGTGTAAATAAGAGATTCGTTGATTAAAACGGACGAACTAAGACGTTTATTTTTGCTCGCTTTCTAAGAAATAATCCATTCAGAAGTTAAACGCATGTACTCACGGATTAGCTCTGGAAACTGCGATGAATGACGGCGATAATAACCATTAATCCGAGATGTAGAGTTAAACGAGTGTATGTTTTTTTAAAATTTAAATAATTTCTCGTGGTAATCGACAGCATATCCACTCGTATTGAGTCCAGAATGTTCCTCGTGTGTTTGTGAAGCTCTCACTGAATTACTGATATACGCACATCTAAGTTTGCTATATTGCACTGTTAGCGTAAGCTGATATTTAAACGAACACGTTGAATACAGTCGTTTTTCACTGTTTAAACTCTTTCACGTCACTTTGTAAAATACCTTTATATCATGTTGTAGATTTTTTGTTTTGTTCACTTGCATTGCATACTTGTGATATGTGAACTTATTTATCATCTGTTACTCAAATGTGTGTTAATTTAATTAAATCACAGCAAGTACTTGTATTGGGATGGAAATAAGATGTCTGTAGAAATGTAAAGTTCAAAAAGAAACCTGGTCTGGATCTAGTCATTTCAATTCAAGTTAGCCTATTATTTTACAATATTTAATGTGATATGTAGGCCTTAATTAACTCTTTACCTCCCAGCATTTGTTTTTTTTTAAAGTTGCCAACTTAATTTATGCATATTTTCACAAAACGTTTATGGCCCCAGAATGTTGTTGTATGAATATGTAAACATTAAATGCATCAAAAGAAAGTCCTGGGTCGACATTTCTTTCCGTAACGTTTTGATTTTTCTGCTTTTGAATGTTTGATGGTCGTGTAATTTCACATGTGCGTCAGCAATGCTTCTATCGCTTGTTTCTGCTTCTTCATTTGTGTTTTTGATGCTGAGATTCTGTCAGATACGTGACAGCGCCCTCTAGTGGATAACGGTTAAAGCACAGAAAACTCGTCAGTGATGGGAAAGAGTTAAAAGCACTTTAACCCTCTATGGTATGCATTATGTTCTGAAATATTTTATTTTATTACATTAAATAGTCAATCTTACAAATCATAAATTTTTTGGGGAAATGTTACCATATGGCAAAGTTACCGCAATGGAAAATGGTTAAAAAAGTAGTTTCTTTCTATACACTTATGATTTTCTTTTCTTTTTTTTTTGAACGAAACGCGCCCACATTCAAGTGAAAAAAAAAAGCTAGAATAAAATGGCTTTTATTTGTTTGTTTAAAGCAGAGGGTCTGTTCTTTCATTTGATTGATATTCATACAACAACATATTCTGGAGGCCATCAAAATTTGGTTTAAAAAAAATCAGAAACCCTGGGGATGAAATAGTTAAAATGGAGATAAATCAACAAAATATGTAGAATAAAAACTTAAAAGTACAGCATTTCACACATACTCCTCTGGTTACTTAAAGCGGTTGATATAATGCCCTTTTCACAAGATGTAAAATAAGTCTTTGTGTAGAGATTGTGTAAAAAGTATGTTAAGTTTTAGCTCAAAATACCCCACAGATATTTTTATACAGCATGTTAAATTTTTACCTTTTTTGAGGGTCAGTAAAAACGTGTTGTTTTGTGTGTCCCTTTAAATGCAAATGAGTTGCTGCTCCTGGCACAGGGGGTGGAGCTTCACGAGCACGTGAGTGTCAGAGCCGTTGAAAAACTCTCTGGTGTATGTGTGTGTTTGTGTTTCAGCTCAGATTACCTCAAACATTTCAAAAACTTTTGCCTTTTATGATCAATCCAGAGTCAGATAATGATGGAGACCGGAGAAGTGACGACATGTAGACAACAGGACATTTCTGAATGGATAGTTGGTGAGTTTATGAAGCTAACTAATCTTCTAGTCACTCATTAGCATATTCTGTTTTCGCGGAGTTTCTTAACGATGCCACTAACCGGGAGGAAGTTCATGTAGTTCCACCAGCCGTTTGTTGTAGTCCTTTAAAAGTAATTTCTTTAAAAGCTAATCTCTCCTTGAGCGTTGTAACTTTGCAGATGTTTATGCTCAAACAGCAACATTACACACTAGCTACAGTTAGAAAAATGAAATCCTAATCAACCACCGCTTTAGGATATAAATCTTGGCTCTTCTGACAGGAATGATGTCTGAGGTGTTTCTCTCGTCGACATTAACACACTGATGTCCACACAACCACACACTTTATGCTGATCCACATCTTCATAATCGAGTCCTTCGCGTCTCTGTTCAGTGTAATTAATGCGACACTAAACCCTTCATTAACCTCACACTCGATAGACAAATAAATACGTTTGAATTTGGGAACACATTTATCTTGACAGGCTCGATATGTAAAGTTAGATCTGTGTCTCCATCTAGAGGAAACTGCGAGTAATCAAAGAAATGCAGTACAATCTTGGAAACAAGAAATTTATTTTCTGTATTAGGAAATACAGTCTTTAAAACAACAAAATAAGAAATAAGCTTTATATAGATATATACACAGGACTGAAGACACAGCGAGCGCCGGCGCTATCACACGGAGTTTGTCCTTTTGTAGGCCACCATACTGTTGACCTTGTGAATGGAGGTGGTGAAGGAGCGCAGGCGCACCTCCTCTGATTGGTCGATGAGCTGCGGGCCTGACTCCTCCCACTGCTCCGGCACCTGCAGGTCTTTATCCGTGTAGATCAGCAGGTCGAACGCGCCTGAAGAAGAGGTGTTGGTCAGATCGTAATATAACTTCAATGTGCTTTAACGTTTGAATCAAACACTGTAATTACATCTATAATGACACGGATCAAACACACCGCTCCTGAACGAACAGGACATATGATATAATGTATATAAGGTAACAATATGGGTGAAGATTAGGTACCCGGTTATTGTAAAATAAAGTACTTCCTGTTTTGCAATACATCAACACAAGTAAACTATACTTAATCAGACACAACATAGTAGTTAGACACCTAATATAAAGTGGGGCCAAAAAATTCGCATATGCAAAACTAATCACTGGCACAATTTACCCTCAAAAACCTTCATTTCTTTACCACTGAAGAAAAAAAGAACATCTTGTAGTCCCTCCAGAAAAACGCATGATTTAATGCATAATCAGCCAAAGTCCGTATATTAATGCACGTTTCATATACGCCGCACTAATTGCAGATTTCCGTGCAAAATATTGCGTGATTTCATAATCCTCGCATTTTTGTTGTAAAAAGTCACGTATCTTAACAGAAAGTTAAATGTTGCGTTTGCTTCAGACGAGAGCCACCGTTTTCCCCGGTTGCCATGGGAACGTTATGAAGTGACATCGAAAAGCTGTAAAACAGGAGCAAACTTTACATTTTTTATTTTTGATTTATTAATTTTTACAGAAGTTGTAGCATATTCCTTGTGTAAAGATACAGAACTCTTAGATAAAACTGAAATATTCCAGCACTTTCTGTAATGTCTATGGTTTATGATAAGTATTAAGAAATGACACTTTACTTTAAGGAGCCGAGTGAGAACGGTGTTGGGGAATCGCTTTTTTTTTTTTCCATTAAACCACAGTTTTTGCAAGTTCCCACAAAGCATAAATTTGCATAAATATCCCATCGCATTTTTAAAGGTACGGGCCGCGTAATCAAGGATTTTTGCCCGTAACAATCACAAAAAAAACCTCCATGTTTTTCTGGAAGGACGTGAGGAGAGTAAACTATCAGGAGTAGAGCCTGGCCGATACCGATACAAATATTTTTGGGTTTTAAAATCCGATATATCGGCCGATATTTTATTTATTTTTTTAAACTGGACATAATAGTCACAAATTTTGTCCTGCTTATTTGAGTTTAGAGAACTGATGGGGATGATCTTTTCATTGTTATTCAAGCAATGTATGTATCGTGACCAACTCAACGAGTGTTGCCAACAGGAACGGTGTAGAGCGCCCTCTGGTGGACAAACTACACAACTCCAACACTCATGACATGGTTCAAGCGTATTTCGTCCGTTTTTATTTTATTTTTGAAATATTCATTTATCAGCCATTATAACTGCCGATACCGATAGTTCTGAAAGTTCCTAATATCGGCCAATAATATCGGTCTGCCGATATATCGGTCTGGCTCTAATCAGTAGACTATTAATCCTCCTGTGTATGGTTATGGCCCCGCCGTGACCCCGTGACCCGGCTGTACTCACAGGCCGTCTCCAGCAGCGGCAGGAAGGTGACGGTGGCGGTGACCTGCCGGATGACCGAGCGGATCTCCTCCTGGATCGCCTTCATGGACTTCTCCCGGGGAGCTCTGCAACACACACTTATGAACATTCATATTCACAAGACAGCATTCAAGCTAAATCGGTTCACGTCACGGCTAGGGCTGCGAATCCAATACTTGATATAATATTTAACATTTTGATTCCTCTTATTGATTCCTTTGTGAGCATTTCAATATGACTTCAAACCACTGAAGTGTTTTCAGAGCTACACACACACACACGTAAGAGTATATCCGCGCAGCTCTTAAAGTGACAGCGTCTCTATAATAACACTAATCAAACTACAAAAGACACGTGTTTGAGTGATTATTTAAGTAACAAAAAAATCACTAATGTAGCTTTATTTTATTATTATTAATTTCTGTAAATTAATACTGAAAATTTTAAGACGCTTTCTTTCAATCGTATCTTTGTTCAGTTGCATCTATTTGTTGTGATTGTCGTTTTTATTAATAACTAAGTGTTTGTGTGTCTTTGTAATGCTTGAAATGTATGCTAGTTGCTTTTCTTTAGTCTGTTGATTTGTGTTCGTGATATTCCACTACAATTAAATGTTTTATAATAACGATATCGAAAAGAATCGGGTCTCGTTTGAATGACCGATTCGTCGCGGCGATTGAATGTGAAGATGATAGCGAGTGTTTATTCTGACGCGAGACGGGTTCAGACTCGTACCCGCTCTCCTTGGCCGTCTTGTCACACTCGATGTCGAACTGCCATCGCTCCAGGACCTCGTTGGTCTCCAGACACGTGATCACGACCACCAGCTTCTGAACGGTGCAGTCGAACAGCCACTCTGCGGAGAGACGGACACACTGAGCTCACACACACACACACACACACACACGAGCGCTCACCGCCAACAGCGAATCTCAACGTTCATCTCAAGATGAAGACTTGTGTGTGTTTGTGTGTGTGACGCACCTTTGAGTTGTGTGATGACGTTGGTGAGGTAGTTCTTCAGCTTGGAGTCGGTGGTGAGATGGAGACTCATGTCGTATTGTGTGACTCTGGTGAAGGTTTCTGCTGGATAAATCCCTCGCTGGTAGAGAATACTGTTGATGCCGAACGCTACACACACAAAATATATATTCATTTATTTAAAATAGTAGTTATTTTCTGGAACAGCCACAAAGCACATTACTGCTAACTGTATATAGTAACTGTACAAACGTTCTGTCTTGTAGAAATTGTTAGTAATATTTCAATAGTAACGTTAATTCAACACTATCAAATATGATCATCAGGCTTTTAAAGGAAGGTTTACTGTCAGATACAGATATTTATATATGCATTTTATGCAACTAGATACTTTGCTATACTTTTATTGATTTATTTTATCATACTTTTTGGCCACAAAAATATGAGTTTAGCAACAAATCGCATATTTTGAGCCTTTGAATAAATTTCACTGTTTTTTTCCTTCTCGAGTTTGAACTCCATAATCTATTTAAATTAATTTGATAGTCTAAATGTCTAATGTTTTTTTTTTCATTAAATTTTTCTTACTATTTCATATGTCAAGGGGGTTAACGATTACATATTATTAGCATCTTAAAACCACAAGTTTGAGATTAAAACAGCAGTCAACTTTAACAATGGCACGAGACTCTAGAAACAATATTCGCACGCCCCAGGATGCAATTCGAGTTCAATTCTATTTCTATTGTGACCACGACAAACATTACAGACGCCATGAAACGCATCGATCTGTCCGAAAATGAGTACTTACAGAAAAATTCGGCAACAAGTTCCGCACTCCCCTTCAGAGTGATTCCCTTCAGCGTCTTAGACATCTTGAATTGAGTTTATATTCGGTAAGTTTGTGTATAAATTCAGTCAAACTCGTTGCTAGAGCTTGTTTTCTATTAACCGCCGACCAGTTTGAAATGAATCTGACGCTGCGTGTGACGTCGACGCACGCGTCATTATGACAGCTCATGTTCAACGAATCAACGCTCAGGAAAAAAAAACATCACGTTCAGATTTCGGTAAGTTTTGTATCAAAATTATTTTGACCACGCAACAATTTACAAAGGTTGATAATTATATAAAAAGCAGAAGAAGCCTGAAAAATGAAGTAAATTGGGAATGCTTTAATTCTCTTATTTTACTGTTTCTATTAAATATTTAAATGTTGTTATTTTTTTTAACTTAATGAATTTTTCAGCCTTTTAAATTTTGTATGGTATTATCAAAGACTTAAGATTTGCTAAAACGGCGCTGTTATCAAAAATATATCAGAGATGCTTCATTAGTGTCTGTTTTGAGCCGTCCGCCATATTGGAACGGTCAAATCCGGTCCGTGACCACTTTAGAGCAAAGTTGACTGTGCTGCGTCGGCTCGGACAGTCTGCAATAGACATTATCAGATGATTTTTAACACAATTTAGTTTATCATTAATGTGTTAATTCCGCAAATATATAATGCTTATTGACTTATTTTCCTATTATCACTGTAAAGCGGCTTTAGAAAAAATCTACATTGTTAAAAACGCTATAATGAAAACTTGATCTACACTTAAAACACAAATCATCTGGAATTTACAGCTCGGTTGTTTTTCTGCCATAGACTGCACAAAGCTGCGAAATATTAGATAAAAATTCATTGATTTCTTAGTGTAACATGACAGCATTATGTTAGCCGGTCCAACATGGCTGACGCATCGAATTTGAATTTAAACTTTTTTTTATTTAATTGTTTGTTCCAGATTACATTCGTCTGACAGCAGAACTGACTACTATAATGGGAATGAACTAGTGACAGAACTATTTGATTCAAGACACTGGCTCAGAAGAAATCACGCCATGTATACATGAAAACAATCATAGAGAACACTAGCCACATGTATGGAGTGAAAGATGTTAGAGACTTCATGGTGTAGTTAAAGACTTTAAAGTCACTGCAGGGCTTTTGCACCCCGAGGCTGATTCATGTCAGTGGAATTTTAGATTTTATGGAGTCCTTGAAAGTGAGAGAGAAGATATTTGAGGAAACATCATCCATCTCTGCCAGATTCTTGCCAGAAGCTAAAGACAAACCTCCAGCTGTCCATTTATTGCCCAGGTCGACAAGAAGTCATCGTCCAATATACCTAGCTCTCGTCTCTGTGTGTTTTGTCAAGATTAGGAATTGTTTCGATTATAAAGTAATGCAAATTAATTTTTGAAAACCTGATGACGCCTTCTAGGGGAGGAGCCTGTCAAAATAATTTAGAGTTCCGTTTCTATGGTAACACGACATCCAATGTTTTCACAGGATAATATTTTGAGTGATACCTAATTTATGATGATTACTAAAATATAATATGAAAAAAGAGCGCCAAGCGTCCCGCTAGCGCATGAACTGTAGTTTGTCACACAGACATGAACTAAACCCAAAGCTTGAAGGATACTTCACCCAAATATGAAAATTCTGTTATAATCGACTCACTCACAAGTTGTTCCAAACCTGTATGAATTTATTTCCCCAGTTAAACACAATAGAAGATATTTTGAATAATATTGGTAACTAAACAGTTTCTGGTCCTCATTGACTTCCTAAAAATACTATGGAAGTCAATAGGGTCCATCAACTATTTGGTTTCCAGAATATATTAATTTGTGTTAAACGGATGAAAGAAATTCATACAGGAACCACTTGAGGAGGTAATCAATGACAGATTATGAATAAAATATAATTTTTCAAAAATGTTTTTTTTTTTTTTTACCATTCGTTTTTTATGCTCTAAACAATGTGGTGACATGAAAAAAAAAATAATAATAAAACTAAATTCCTAGGTAAATGTTAATTTTTGGGTGAAATATCCCTTTAAGAAGAGTTGTTGTGAGTTGTGCCATTCCCGCCACCACATCTCCAAGCAAACACTTCTTCTCCGATCTCCTCCAGAACGTTCTCCATTTAATTTTCTCGAATTATTTAAAGAAAAAGAGCAGATTGTTTGTCAGGGAGCTCATCTAAATAGCAGGTAAGAGTTTGAGTTGCACACGAATCCTCCTGGCATCCAATCAGATCTTGAAGAGCGAGCTGAAAGAAGGCTTTACTGTACGACTACATAGCGCTCATTCATCTGATTACAACACGACTCTAGTCTACACACACACACACCACTGCTCTGTGGTTATAAATAGTGAGCTCTCTTCTCTTGTAAAGCAAGGGGAGCTCGTGGGGAAGTGTGTGTGACACTTGCCGCGTGCCGGAGCGAAAGCAAGAGTTTTCTCAGCTGTGGTGAAGTCCTCACACACACACACACTCTCTCTGCTCGTGCACGTACTCGAGATATAACGTTAAGTGTTGCGTTAGTAGATCTACACACTGAACCTCGTGTTCTGCTCAAAGCTTCCCCTGCTTTCATACTCGTTTTTTGTACCTATAAATTCCCATAGATTGCATTTAGCATCAAGATACACACCTTTTCGTCTCACACACTCCTCTGAACTCTCTGGAGCCTCAGTGTTTCAGTGACTGTAAGAAATGCACAAACACACTGAGTTAAACGTTAAAAAATGTCATCGATTCAGTGGCATAAAATTATATGAAAACGTGTTTTGGTTTTAAAAATATTGTTTCCCTCTCCTTTTTTTCTCACTGGCCGATGTAAGAAACACTTTACACCATATTATAAATGATGAATGTCATTCTCTGTTAGCTGACTGCTATTATTAATATTCTGTGACTGTATTTGGGCATATGGACTTTTGTTTACATATTTCAGAAGATGAGCTCCATATGTAATGGCTTAGAAAGCTGCCTTTTGCTTGCTCACCCGAGGATATTAGGATATTGGATTGTGCTTATTTTACTGTTTTTTGTAAAGATGATGGAAAGAATGCTTGGCATTACAAAGCAAAAATGTTTTGTCTGAAACACACTTTTCCTTTGTTAAAGATAAGATCTCTCTCTTCTATCGTCTCTCCCTGCTCTAACTCGTTTTATATCCGTTCAGTGCATTGGAAAAATTATTATGTGATAATCTTATCTAAATCACTGAAGTTTTGCCCACAACTGGAATTGGGTGTCATCTCCACCGATTCACTATGCACAGGCCTCTGAAAAGCATAACAGGATAAAATCTTTGTCGAAATAGAAAAACAGAAACAAAAAAGCTTTTGAACACACACTTCTGGTGCTAATGTTTGAAAGTAGATCATTGGTTAATATTACACAATGCAAGTATTGTCTGAAAAAGAACAAGATAAAAATAAGATCATAAGATTGAATTATTTTGAGGAAATATCTATGATAATAGTTTTTATAGTTATTTGACAAGCTGATATAAAGCATGATTATCAAATCTACACCCAGAAATAACAAAGTTACCGCCATAATGTCACATTTCTTTATTTCTATTTGGTTAAACACATGGATAAAGCTGCAATAATATCGGCTTGTAAAGTCGTGATGGAACAAATATTGTTATTTTTATTATTATGTCAATTCATATTCGCACAACATAATAAAAAAGAAGCCATTATAATAATGGATGAAGTGAGTATGTTCAGACATTACGTGTACAGTACTGATGGATCTGGAGCTTTATGTCTGGCACACGTCTATCATGTTCATCAAAACACTAAAGATTTCAATAAACTGCATGCCAGACTTCAGTCAAATATGAAAACAAAACAGTATTGTTTAGGGTCGGTTGAGTCCAGACATGTTGAGTCTGTGCAAGCGTTAGAAACTCTGCTTTTCAGGATAAACCCTTTAGAAATAGGGTGAGATGGGAGATGGGAGAAAGAGTAACGATCAGTATGGCGGGATAAGCCCCGCCCCCCTCAAAATAAAAGAGCCAATCGCTGCGTGGTAAAATAATCGCATCACGGCAGCGTTAGAAGCTCCGCTTACGATAAAAACAGTCAAACTTACGTGTATAGTTGTATACTAGAGCCCGACCGATAAAGGATTTTGAAGGCCGATACCGATACAAATATTTTTGGGTTTTAAAATCCGATATATCGGCCGATATTTTTTTTTTTTTTTAAATATTGTTGGATTTCACACACGTGTAAAAGAAAAGCTAACTTTTCTGCACAAGATACGTTTGATACTTTTTCTCTATGTCTAAATGTTTACTCCTCGCAAGTATAACTTACATTTTACAATGCAGGGACTGTAACTAGAGATATGCTCGTTATAAATACAGTAATCATTACAAGTTCATAGTGGTTTCCAAGCTCATTAATGTTAACGTTAGCGGTCTTCCACTGATGATAGTGGCGTTAGCTAGCTTTGTGGTTAGCTAGTCTATGATGAGCCATAATTTAGCAATAGATGACATCATACTGCAAATTGTAAAACATACATTTTCAATATAACAGGCCAAGGAGAGATGATTGAAGCGTGTTTCGTCCGTTTTTATATTATTTTTTAAATATTAATTTATCGGCCACTTTAACTGCCGAGCCGATACCGATATTTTGGAAAATACCTAATATCGGCCGATATATCGGTCTGGCTCTATTGTATACTGTGCAGGGAGACGCAGGAACCCCAAAAAGCCTCCGCCTATAGACCATTTCACAAGATGTAAACAACACTGGTCCAGAAGCACTTCCTGTTTCAGTTTTTTAACACTACATAAAAGCTGGGATAAAATACAACCAACAGAACATTTAAAACTGAATCAAAAAGTTAAACAAACATCTTTAAGATGTTTTCTTCACATGTGAAATAAAGAAAACAGTTACAAACTGAAACAGGAAGTGCTTCTGGACCAGTGTTGTTTACATCTTGCGAAATGGTCTATATAAACAACAGCAACAACAAAAATGGAACTAATATAAATACAGAAGTCATAATTGCATGATATAAAGTTCCAATTTTTTTATATAAAGTCAGAATTGTGTAAAATAAAGTCTGAATTGTGTGATATAGTCGCAATTTCGTGATATAAAGTCAGAATTGTGTTATAAATTTGCAATTGCGTGTTATAAAGTCAGAATTGCGTTATAAAATCTGAATTGTGTTATAAAGTCAGAATTGCGAGATACAAAGTCAGAATTGCGTGATATAAAGTCAGAATTGTGTTATAAATTTGCAATTGCGTGTTATAAAGTCCGAATTGCGTTATAAAGTCCGAATTGCGTTATTAAGTCCGAATTGTGAGATATAAAGTCAGAATTGTGTTATAAATTTGCAATTGCGTGTTATAAAGTCAGAATTGCGTTATAAAGTCCGAATTGCGTTATTAAGTCCGAATTTTGAGATATAAAGTCAGAATTGCGTGATATAAAGTCAGAATTGTGTTATAAATTTGCAATTGCGTGTTATAAAGTCCGAATTGCGTTATAAAGTCCGAATTGCGTTATTAAGTCCGAATTGTGAGATATAAAGTCAGAATTGTGTGATATAAAGTCAGAATTGTGTGATATAAAGTCAGAATTGCGTTATAAAGTCCGAATTGTGAGATATAAAGTCCGAATTGCATTATATAAAGTCCGAATTGCGTTATAAAGTCAGAATTGTGAGATATAAAGTCGTAATTGCATTATATAAAGTCCGAATTGCGTTATAAATTCAGAATTGTGTGATATAAATTCGCAATTGCGTTATAAAGTCAGAATTGCGTAAAATAAAGTCTGAATTGCGTCAAAGTCAGAATTGCGTGATATTAAGTCGCAATTGCGTTATATAAAGTCAGAATTGTGTGATATGAATTCTATTTTTTTTTTAAGTTTTTCCTCAGAATTGCGAGTTAATATCACGCAATTCTGACTTTATAACTCACAAGTACGACTTTGTCACCCAATTCTGAGAACTGCGAGATTGTAAACTTACAATGGTGAGGGAAAAAAAGCCAGAATTGTGAGATAAAAAGGTTATATTTTTATTTTGTATTTTGTGGCGGAAACAAGCGTCCATAAGATGCAGGTTCATGTTGAAAGTCAATTTCTATATGCGTGATAAAGTCCCCTTTATTTCTATAGCACTTCATACACTACAGATCGTTTCATAGCAGCTTTACAGTGATAACAGGATGCAAACCAGTTGGTGTTTTAGTGTCGAACGCCTGACTCCAGTGTTCCCACAGCGAAACATCTGGTCCACGCCTCGGGAAACGGGAAGGTTGCGAGGAATCTCTTTTGGCAATTTGCTTTGGAAGCGGTGAATGAATCAACTCCTCAGTGAACGGCTCTCTGGCTGTGAGACGGGGATTTATGGGTAATATACTGTGGGTCAGGCTCTTCACTTAATTGCTTAATTGTAATCTTGGTGAACATGCAGCTTTGGAGAATTTGATGTTTCCCCATTCAAAGAGATCCGATCCCAAGCCAGACTTATATTCATTTTTTTCTCCTCCAAAATACACATGCTGAAGTGCCGCACATGTTTAGACCCTGTATCTAATCCGGAGAAGGAAAGCCCATCCTGCATGAAGGATCTTATTTTACTGCATGGACATGTGGTTTAGTACAATACGCCCATTGAGATTCATCCTTTTCTTTCAGTGCAAGCCAAGCTGAGTCAGATTCCTTCCTGAGGATGCATTAGCTTTCATGAGTAATGCAGTGGGAGAATTCTCCTCATTGTTCGGTTAAGCATGTGGAAAATTATACATTATCACATTTGAATGCACTGGACAAAAGGATAAGATTTATTTTGTTTGGAAATAAAACATTACCACAGAAGTAATGCAATACATGAGCGCAGCTGGAAACATGAAATGCAGGAAATACCCTATAAAACTTAATATCAATGGGAATATGAAATTAACCAAATATTAGAAATGTTTCCAAGTGGACCATTAGCACAGAGAACTGATTAGACCCTGCTTATTACTTCATGCTTTGGGGAAAAAGTATAAAGGCAATTTATAACTGTAAAAAGAAATGCATTATATATTTATAGTTACTAAACCACATTCCCAGCGGCGTTGTCCGATTCGTTTTATTGAATCGGTTCGTCTAAATGAACCCGTTAAAAAGCGATTCACTTATTCGGTTGAAAGTCCTCGCCGTGTTACTAAACGTTTACACGGGCTGTTTAACGTGTTTTTTTTTCTGTCAAAATACAACAACAGCATATTTTACTTACATAGCCTACTAACATTTTGAAGTTTTTAGATTGTTTAGGCTAAATCTAAGTGTTTACTTGTGATAAAGACAAATATACACTAAAATTCACATAAGTGGTCAACTGATGTGTTCCTTCCCAAATTCTATATTTAATTTTCTGTCTCAGCTATCCCTGACGAGCCTTTGCGAGTCGCTCCAAAAGAATCATGAATCGATTCAAACGGATGATTGATTCGCGAATCGGACCTCACTGTCTGTATGGCACTGAAGAAAAACTTAAGCGAAAGATGAGACAGTTCGGGTCTGTCTTTGAGGACAGACGGTTCGACAACGTCTTGATGCTTGGAAACTATGCTAGGCTATAATATGACCCGTTTACATATTCAGGGTTTTGAACATGAACTGAATTGTTACACGCCACGGTCGGACAAATCGCGAACCTAATTTCCAAGCGCGCCTGTTATTCCTGATATCATGACATGCAGCGGTGTTATTTTGCGCTGTGAAACGATTAAAGTAGTGGTATCATCTGTTCTGATTTTCATTTTAACTCGTTTACAAACAGGAACGAGTGATTTTAGGTGCAATGCACGGACTAATGGGAAGAAGTGCGATTCTTCTGACGCTTTTGACTACTTTTAGCGGATTTATCAACTCAACATACGGAACATGGAAGAGCAGTTTGCATGCGAATCGCGTGAATAACGTGGAGAAACCTTCCTCTCAGCCTCACATCATCTTCATCATGGTTGACGACCAAGGGTTCCGAGACGTGGGATATCATGGGTCCGAGATAAAGACTCCAACACTGGACAGACTGGCTGCAGCCGGAGTGAAACTGGAGAATTATTATGTTCAGCCTCTGTGCAGCCCGTCCAGGAGCCAGCTGATGACCGGCAGGTGGGACATATCAAAAAACACACTGTATCTGTCAGAAATAGGGGAGTTTATTTGCACGATATGAAATATATGAAAGAAAATACAATCCATACATTGTGCAGGGAGAGGCAGGAACCCACAAAAGCCTCCGCATAAACAACAACAACAACAAAAGGAACTAATATAAATATTGAAGTCAGAATTGCGTGATATAAAGTTGTAGTTTCGTAAAATAAAGTCAGAATTGTGTGTTGCAATTGTGTGTTATACAGTTTTTGATGTAAAGCCAGAATTGCCCGTTATAAACTCATAATTAAAGTTTCAATTGCGTTATAAAGTCAGAAATGTGTTATAAAGTTGAAAATACGTGGTGTAAAGTTGCAAATGCGTTATAAAGTCAGAGTTGCTTAAAATAAAGTTGGAATTTCGTGATATAGTCTAAATTGCGTGATATGAACTAGCAATTTCGTGATATAAAGTTGCAATTGTGTGATATAAAGTCAGAATTGCGAGATATAAAGTTAGAATTGTGTGATATAAAGTCAGAATTGAGAGCTATAAAGTCAGAATTGAGAGATAAAGTCAGAATTGCGAGATATAAATTCTAGTCTTATAAAAAAAATTTCCTCAGAATTACGAGTTTATATCACGCAATTATGACTTTATAACTCACAAGTACAACTTTATATCACCCAATTCTGAGAACTGCGAGATTGTAAACTTACAATTGTGAGGAAAAAAAAGCCAGAATTGTGAGATAAAAAGTCTCAATTACCTTTTTTATTTTGTATTTTGTGGCGGAAACAAGCGTCCATAAGATGCAGGTTCATGTTGAAAGTCAATTTCTATATGCATGATAAAGTCCCCTTTATTTCTATAGCACTTCATACACTACAGATCGTTTCATAGCAGCTTTACAGTGATAACAGGATGCAAACCAGTTGGTGTTTTAGTGTCGAATGCCTGACTCCAGTGTTCCCACAGCGAAACATCTGGTCCACGCCTCGGGAAACGGGAAGGTTGCGAGGAATCTCTTTTGGCAATTTGCTTTGGAAGCGGTGAATGAATCAACTCCTCCCTCAGTCAGTTACAGTGAACGGCTCTCTGGCTGTGAGACGGGGATTTACTGGGTAATATACTGTGGGTCAGGCTCTTCACGGTGTGTGTGTGTGTGTGACCGTGTTGTGTGGTTTGAATAGATGGATAACACTCAGAAGGCATTCTGGATGATTGCTAGGTGGTTGCTAAGATATTATGGGGTGTTGCTAGGTGGTTGATGGTGTTACTATGCGGTTGCTAGGGTATCCTGGGTAGTTGCTAGGGTGCTGATAGGCAGTTGCTATGGTGTTCTAGGTGCAACTGGTTAGCAACACCTTTGCAACCACCCTAGCAAACGCATAACAACACCATAGCAACCACCCAGAAACCGCCTAGAAACAACCCGCAACACCCTAGCAACCAACCAGAACACCCTAGGTGTTTGCTAAGGCATTACTAGGCGGTTGCTAGAGCATTTATAGGCTATTGCTAGGGTGTTCTGGGTAGTTGCTAGGCAATTGCTAGTGTGTTTGTGTGGTTGCTAAGGCGTTGTATGTGAATAATTAAAATTTAAACCGTATTTTGCCCCTTAGAAGTTATTATTGGGACAGTTTCATAAAACAATCCATGCTGAAATGGTTAAAAAAGGTTAAAAATGGAAAGGGAACTTGTTTATGGGGCTTAAAAATTAAATATTATCAGCCCATGACGGGACAGGACACGTTTCTGTCTAGGCTCATGATATAACCCCTTTAATATTTGTTGACAATATTATTTTAAAGAAACACTGCAAATGGAAATGTGTTTCAGCTGCTTTTAGTGGTTAAATTGTCTTAAATTGCCATTCTTTTAAGTGTGAATTGCTTCATCTTTAAAGCGCTTCTCAACAAAAAAAGGGGCTTCACCAAAAAGATTACATTACAGAAAAAGAGGCTTACCTTGGCAAATGCTTAGCCATCTCTCGAAGCTAAAACAGCCGTCTAAATTATTCTAAATGTAATGGAAAGAGACGGGCATTGGTTATGTTTAAGTTGAAACTCGTTCTGCTTCTCTGATGGATGAGTCCAAAAACATCACATCTGCTCATATAAGCAGTGCGTTCAGTTCTTCGTTTTAGCTTTTACCCTTTTAAGGTATTCCCACTGCCATCTGATATAAGGAATGAACTTCTCGTGATTTTCAGCGTCTTCATGGGACAGTCCAGCTGAAAAACCTTCAATCAGACATTATGAAGAGGACTGTGGTTCCTTATCTTTGCACCTTATTTGACACACCTGATTCAGTTCATGAGCACTGTAGTAAAAAGTGGACGAGTTATTGAGAAAATCAGGGGGTTTAGATAAGGAAGGTATTCAAAATATGCAGTTTTGTGGCTCAGAACCAGGAGGCAACCAAACACTAAGGGGGGATAAAGGGGGCTAAATGGCAAATAAGCATAATAAAAGTATGATATTCCTTGTGCACCATTAATTTATACAAGCCTTCACTCTAAAAAACGCTGGGTTGTTTTGGGTTGGGCAAATATGAACATATTCATACTAAAAGCTAAACGTGCCTTTAAAGCAATCGAGTGGCGTTAGAGCACTCTAAAAAAATGCTGGGTTGTTTTAACCCAATTTTGGGTCAAATATGGACAATCCCAGCTGTTGGGTTAAATTTATAAATTGCATTTTTTAATCCAACATTTGGGTTTGTCCATATTTGACCCAAAATTGGGTTAAAACAACCCAACAAAATAACTCCACTCGATTGCTTTAAAGGCACGTTTAGCTTTTAGTATGAATATGTTAGCGGTATGGTTATGAATAAGCTGGTGTGTTAGAAGATATAAGCAATTAAGCCTTCAAAACATACAGTCTCTCACTCAAACGAACTTGGTTGCATTATTTTCCTCTCATCTCTGTAAAAATCTGTATTGGAAAAAGCTCTATATAAATAAAGGTGACTTGACTTGATAAAGCGATTGATTCTTGCGAATCGACACTACACCCTACGTCACACGGATCGTGCCAAAATTGTGTGAGATCCAGTTAACTAAACATTCTCGAGTTGAACTCACTGGCTCACGAATGAGTAAATGATGAGAGAATCGTCAATTCTGGGTGAACTAATTCCTTAAAGATGACTTTGAAGGATCTCCAATCTTCGGATGAGTCTGCTGTGGTCAGTCCTTGAGATGGTTAGTGTGTGGGTTACTGAAAAGAGAAAGGGTGTAATGAATGGCTGGTCTAGTGGGAACGAGGGAGTGTGTTTTAATGCTCTGTGGTCTGAGTTTGATTAGCTGTAGAGAAGAGTATGTTCCCCTTATTGAAAGCAGATGTGGAGCGAACGGCAGAACATGGCTCAGCAAGTCTTCCAGCACAGGCTGGTTAGGGATTCGTGTTTCCCAGTGGCTTTGGTGACCAAAAAAACGAGTCTTGTGGGACATTTGGGTTGTCTGTTTAGTTTAAAGAAAGTAGTGAAACACACTCATTTGTCTAGGATAAAGTTAAAAACGTGTTTCCATTGCGGTCCTTTATGAGATAAGGTACCTATGTCCTATTTACAACAAACTGTTCTGTGTCAGATGCTGTCAATAAGTTGATCCAGTTCTTTAAACGCTCTTGAGTTGAACTCACTGACTCGATCATCCGGTTGTAGCATGAAAGAAAGACCATCTAAATGTGTTTGGAAGAACATGAGAATGAGTAAATGATGAGAGAATGGTCACTTTTGGGTGAGCTAGATGAATTTGAAGGGAGTTACAGAATGAAGCTGTGGTTGGAACTGCATAAGTCCTGATTTCTCGACGGGACGCAGGTTTGAGTTTGGCCTAATCCCGATCCCATTCACTTGATCTGCCATATAACATTACATATTACAACATTACAAGCACACTAGCTGAGTTTACATGGACATCTTTTGTTTCAATCGGAATTAAATCCTTTCCCTTCCTGAGCCCAAAATGTAGGGCCCTATTTTAACGATCTAAGCGCATGGTCTAAAGCAAGTGCACTTAGTGGGTGTCCGAATCCACTTTTACTAGTTTAATGATGGGAAATGGTCGGCGCTCCCGGCGCTGGTCTAAAAGGCTTAATGCAGACTGATCTCATGAAGTAGCGTGTGTATGACACGCCAATTCGTATTTCCATTTTTGGCGTGCTATCAACACGCATAATCGCTTTTCAGCGTGTTTATGAACGCCGTTGACTAAACGTTATTACTGTATATATAAATATATGACTTACCTCAACCCCGTCCCTAAACCTAGCCGTCACTGGGGTTAATGGCATTTATGAGTGTTCCCTTACCATCCTAGGAAAAAAAATGTACATTTTGCTTTGTTTCGCACGGATATTTGACGGCGTGTACAGACACGCGGAATCACTCCGACGTTAATGGCGTAGACATACACGCATACACGCGGATAGCTCAAAATGCATATAGATAAAACGCCACTTGACTCGAAAGTGGCGTGTATGTTTACGCAAAAGTCATGATGTCATGTTGCTTAATGGGTAATATGTGTGTTTTTTGGAACAACATGCAATAAACCAATCAAAGTCTCATCTCCCATTCCCTTCAAAAGCCAGTTCGCCATCGGATTCGCTATTTACACGGCGGAAAAACTGAACGCGTCTCCAGAGTGCAAACGGATCTGCTCGTGCGCGAGGTGAAAACCCAAGCAGACCATTTACGGGACAAGCCGGATTCCACAATTTATCTACACGTAGTCCTTTTATTTGTAATATTTGGCTATTTGCGTCCCTGTGTGTGTAATAAGCAAAGTGTAAGCGGGTTGTGGACCCGCCCATATTATTAAAGCGCTCTTGAAATGACAAAAATTGCACCATTGATTTAGATTTAGCAGTCTATTTCAGTTGCCTAGAAAATGATAATCGCGTCAGGCTGAAACTAGCAAAAAACACTTGGGACTCACGCCCTGTGCCGGATGTATGTCTGTCTGTCTCAAATGTCTGTTTTATTCAGTGCTGGTCATGTTTGTTACTAATTTAGTGCATTTTTATGTCCTAGATATCAAATCCACACTGGCCTCCAGCATTCCATCATCCGACCGACTCAGCCGAATTGCCTTCCCTTGGAGAACGTCACCCTTCCGCAGAAACTGAAGAATGCTGGGTACTCTACTCATATGGTGGGAAAGTGGCACCTTGGGTTTTATAAGCGAGGTTGTATGCCTACGCAGCGTGGCTTCGACACCTTCTTTGGCTCTTTGTTGGGTACCGGCGACTACTACAACCATTACAAATGTGACAGCCCGGGGATGTGTGGGTACGATCTTCACGAGGGGGAAGAAGCTGCCTGGGAGCAGGACCATGGCATCTACTCCACCATTATGTATACTCAAAAGGCTGTGAAAATCCTCGAATCTCACAATCCGAATCAGCCAATCTTCCTCTACTTGGCGTACCAGGCAGTGCACTCTCCCTTACAGGTTCCTGCTCGCTACCTCGAACGCTACAAGTCCATCCCAAACTTGCATCGTCGTAAATATGCTGCGATGGTCAGCTGCTTGGATGAGGCTGTACGCAATCTAACTCTTGCTCTCAAGCAGTATGGATATTATGACAACATGGTTATGGTGTACTCCTCAGACAATGGAGGCCAACCAATGGCAGGAGGCAGCAATTGGCCACTCCGAGGCAGTAAAGGGTCTTACTGGGAGGGAGGTATACGGGCGGTAGGGTTCGTACATAGTCCTCTACTGATCAAAAAGGGCACTAGAAGCAGGGCTCTCATTCATATTACTGATTGGTACCCAACACTGGTGATGCTTGGTGAGGGAACGCTAGATGAGGACCAGAGTCTTGATGGCTATGATATCTGGGAAGCCATCAGTGAGGGACGTCCTTCACCTCGATTGGATATTCTCCACAACATAGACCCCATCTACACCAAAGCCAAGAATGGCTCCTGGAAAGCAGGCTTTGGGATCTGGAACACGGCCATTCGGGCGGCTCTCCGTGTCGGTGACTGGAAGCTTCTGACTGGTGTGCCAGGATATAGTGACTGGATCCCACCGCAGACTTTCTCCACCCTGCTGTTGGCCAATCGTTGGCAAAACGAGCGTGTGAGCTGGGATCGAGGCAAGTCTATATGGCTCTTCAACATCACAGCTGATCCATATGAACGAGTGGATCTTTCCCGACGATACCCACATGTGGTGAAGAAGATGCTATTCAGGCTTCTACGGTACAACAAGACAGCCGTGCCGTGCCGTTACCCCCCCAAAGATTATCGGTCCAATCCTCAGTATAATGGGGGGGTCTGGGGCCCCTGGTACACAGATGATGATGAGGATGAAGATGATAACCATCTCCAATATGATTTAGAACAGATGAAGAGTTGGAAGAAAGGAAAACGAAGAGGGAAATTCAAAAGAAAGACCTGAGGTCTATAGAATTGTTGGCTTCCATTTTGTTTGACATTCTTGGTACCGTAATGAACTCAGGGATGTAGAAGTAATGTTTCAATTCATGATCTTTCTTTTCATACTTTAAATATGTTATATCCCAGTTCAATGTGCAGAGAACTATGGAGTGGAAACACTGTGGGACTTTCAAAGCTTCGCTCTTCATTGTAAAGTATTAAGTTTGGCTCAAGACGTTTTTGGACAGGACAACTCGCGGCAGACTGGAGGAGTGGAAGAAAAGCTTTAGATCAACTCCGTTTGGTGCCTCTAAAGCAGGGCTATTCAATTAGCTCCATTCGAGGGCCAGATTATTCAATCGAAAAGTTGAGGTGGGTCGGTGAGGCGGGACGTTACATTCAAGGTAAATGTTACGGGTGGTGATTAGGGGATTTAAAGTCTTCTAACTTCGCTCATGGCACAATGTATTCCTCATCAGTCGTGTTGGTGAATGTAGAGGCGGTTTAATCCGATTTAAAACTAGTTAAATCACTGATTGATTTGTGGTTCGTCAGAGAGGTGTGTCGTATTGAAGCGGTTCTCACTGGATGTCGCAACGCTGTTTAATAGTAGCGTCCGGGATCAAGAGTATACGCAACTCCTTTAATCTTGCGTTGCGCTATCCGCTGGGCCGTTCTGCGTAGTTCAAAGAAAACAACTGAAAACAGTGTGATTTGTCCTTTATTTGTTGTTAATGACCGAGAAACCGCTTCAGATGATTCAGTGACGGAGCGGTTTCAGAACGTTATGCAAGTGCGCTCATAGATATCCATAATAAAGGCTGGATGTCTTACGGCGGAGTCTCTATCGTCATCACCGGCGGCCATCTTGTCACAGGCAAGCTTTCTGGCAGCTCTGTGGTTCCTGATGTAAGATGAGGGATCGGCACGAACACAAATACCCTTATCTCAATGAAATCTTGACGGATTTACAAACTGTTCGGTTTCTTACAAACGCTATTAACGTCACTATAATTCTGGATGATTATTTATTGATACACTTATTATTCATAAGTGTGCAGTGTTATAACTACATTGCTGACGTTTATAACAAACCAAACCGTTTGAATATAGGCAGAAAATTGAGCCATTAAAACCATTGCCGTAAACAATGGTATGAGTGAGCGAGCTGACTGTAGCAAGATGGCCGCCAGTGCGGACGTTAACCTCCATTGGCCAGCAGCGGATGAGATATCTAGCCTTTATTATGGATTATAACTGCTGAAATATTGGCAACGAAAGCGTTTCTCAGGTCCTCACTTGAATAGCCCTGCTCTAAAGGCACAAAACAACAAACCTTCACTGAGGAGTCATGCATGCGGAGGAAGGAAACCACTTGAATTACTACTGTCATAGAGCTTGAATTAAAAAAATTGGGTTGCATAAGAAATTGGTGCTATTTTCTTATCGAACATTTAAAATGAGACGATTTCGAACCTCGGAAAAACAAACACACTTTAGGAAGCATTAAGTGAAGTATTTTTTTAATCACTGTGATGATCTCATTGGTTCAAATATCATTGTTCTGTGTGTTGCTTTGCCTGGTCTGGCACCAGGTAAACTTGAATGTAAGATCAATACACACTTCTTTTTCTCAGTCTCCCCATTTTTTTTTTTTTTTTGCTCTCTGGGAAATTTTAAGATTTTAGATTTGGTTTGATGTTAAAAAGACAATAATGGAATGGATATGTACGGAGGCGTATTGCATTTACTTGAAGAAAAAAAAAATCTACTCTGTTTTTCTGAATTAATGAGTTAATTTTTCATGAGAATTTTTTTTTTTGCTGTTTTTCTGAATTAATGAGTTAATTTTTCATGAGAATTTTTTTTTGCTGTTTTTCTGAATTAATGAGTTAATTTTTCGTGAGAAAAAAAGTTTTTGCTCTGTTTTTCTGAATTAACTCGTTAACTCGTTACTCTTGTCACAAAAAAAAATCCATGAAAAATTAACTCGTTAATTCAGAAAAACAGAGCAAAAACTTTTTTTCTCATGAAAAATGTACTCATTAATTCAGAAAAACAGAGCAAAATAAATTTTTTTCTCATGAAAAATTAACTCGTTAATTCAGAAAAACAGATTTTTTTTTCTCATGAAAAATTAACTCATTAATTCAGAAAAACAGAGCAAAATATTTTTTTCTCATGAAAAATTAACTCATTAATTCAGAAAAACAGAGCAAAAAAAAATTTCCATGAAAAATTAACTCGTTGATTCAGAAAAACAGCAAAGACTTTTTTTCTCATGAAAAATTAACTTATTAATTCAGAAAAACAGAGTAGATTTTTTTTCAAGTGAATGCAATACGCCTCTGTAGATAAGGGCTTAAATCTATAAACAAAGTATTTGATGGTACTGATTTTCAAGGTATAAACTGAACTGTGCCAACACACACACACACACACACACATACTTATAACAAGCAAGTTTGAGAGTTTTCACAAGTTTTCACATCATATACCTTCCCAGTTTGAGTCTGATGAATCTTGGCTTTGTGGAGGTTTTCATACATGGTTGTTTTAGAAATGAAACACTATTAGAGTTAGAAGACCTGCTGAAGAACATATAACATGCTAATAATCACTGCAATAATCATCCAATCAGAGATTTTTAAGAATTTGCATATTTAAATCCAATCTTTCTTTGGCCAGGAAGTGTTTATTAGGGATGCACGATATATCGGTAACCACATCGGTATCGGCCGATAAATGTTCATTTTAAACGTTATCGTCATTATATTACAGTCGATAAATAATGTATAATTTCCTTCAGCTGAGACGCTTCACTGTTCAACATTGATTGGAATCACTTCAATCAATTGTGTGTCATATCGGCTTCATGAGAACATCATAATTGTGTGTTTGAGACGTGGATTTTAATGGTGAGACTTTTTATATAAAATTTGATTGAGATTTATCGGCCGATATATCGGTTATCGAAGTATCGTATCGGCCAAAATGTCACCGTTTTTTACATTCGCTAGGACACATTTCTCAACACTTAGGTCACTGTTTCTTAACTTCACACAGTGAGCTCAACAGAAGTGTGTGTGGGCTAAACTCTGGATCATTTATCATTGCAATGACTACATCTTTCAAACTACATTAATTCTTTTCTCACTTCGACACAACAGACGGCAGAAATCTACCGACAGGGGTGTGTTTTCAAAACGGTTAAACTTAAGTTCAATACAATAATGCAAAAGACAGTATTTTGCCACATTTCTAATATATTTAGAATATAAAAACAATTGGACCAACCACAGCTGATTCGTATCGTATCTGAATCAGTGGATGAAATTTTTGTACTTTGGAATTACTCCAAAAATATAAAAATATAAAGTATATAGAGAGGTAGAAGAAAGAAAGCATTACAGAGGAAAACACTGTATAAAGTTTTCTGTTGTTAGTGTTTTAGGTCATTGTTTTGTGGGTGATATGTGTGTGTGTGTGTGTGTGTGTTGGCTGTCAACGTTTGCAGTGTTGATTTGAGATATGAAGTGATTTTGTAGTTTTACTAGTTTGAATGTGAAATGAACTGAACGCTGGTCAGTAGAAATGTGTGAAGTAGAGTTTTGAAAAGTATTGAGAAATGTGTAGAAATACAGAAACAGTATCTGTGCATCTCTACTGTATATCGTCACAGCACAGCAGTTTCACATGGACTTCGTTGAAATGAATTCATCGCCTCATCTTGTTGCCTGGTTTAAGACGCCGTGTAATACTTTCCTGCATCTTCAGTGAGAACAGCTGTGTGTGTGTGTGTGTGTCCGTCGACAGATGCATAAACCCCGGTACATTCCAACAAATATAAAAAAAAAATGAACATGAGTTTTATTGTCCGGCCCTGAGCACAGAAAACATGACGCAGCGCATTACATAATCTGGAGCGTTTCCCCGAGACCGATCCGAGGACACACACACACACACACACCGAAACCCATGAGGCAAAGCTGGACCCGATCACATGCAGAACTACGGGCAACACGAGTGTTAAAGTGTCTCTGCATTCCTGGAGATGTGTGCTGCACCTTCCTAAAGGAAACACTTTCTGTACTGGTGCATAATATTCCTGAACAGTTTCAGGAGGGGGGCCATGGACATTATTCATAATTAAAAATGCTACGGTTTTCATTGAATGTGTTTTGTTCTTTTGTCAGACACGTGGGTTTGTTGTGTGTGACGTCACCGCGGCGCAATTTTTGAGGTATCGCCAGAGTGTGAGAATTGGCACTGGCTGGTTACTTCCGGGTTCTGGACTGGCTGCAGTAACGCGTCTCTGTCCATGCGGGGGCGCTCGCGGTCGAGTGCAGAATGAATGGGAGTCAATGGGGTTTCACCCCCAGAAATCCACTTTTCTCAGGATGTAATTTTTCGTCAAGTAATTTGAAAGTTGCATTCAAAAGGGAGGGCTAAGATAATACACTCAGCTGAAAATTGCATTTTTAAGTTCAATTATCTGTTTTAAAAATGTGATGACGTCACACAATAGCAGAATGCTAGCGTGTTCTGGCCAACAACACCCTAACCTGTAAGAAATCAAAAGGACATAAGTACTCATTCATTCGACTTTTGGCCTATAATCTATATTGAACTTGCGGAATCAACAATAAAATCAATGTTGATTTAACGACAAGCAGGTGAAAGAGACACATTTAGCCGTTTAGCCCCATAGACTCCCATTCATTCTGCTCTCGCCCGCGATCACCTCTAGTGGAATTCTAATGGAACTGCAACCAGGATGATACACAACGGGGCTAATAGGAAGTGCCAAGGCTCTCCGTTAGACGGGCTCCGCAATAATTCAATTCGTTTATCACGGATGGGACGTCACCTGACAAAGACCGATAGTTACTGGGAACATTTGAAAAAAAACACACAAAAAAACTGGGAACTTTTGAAGGTTACAGAGCTTTGTGTAAAAAGTCGCTAGATTTGTCGCTAGTCGCTTTTTTTTTTAAATGTTGCTATTACGGTCAGAAAAAAGTCGGTAAATATAGCGACAAATGCGCTAAGTTGGCAACACTGCGCCTGCTGGCGTGACTGTGACTGGTGAAATTTCGCGGGGGGTGTCTGTGTGTGTGTGTGTACCATATTTTGGGGACAAATTTGTCCTCATTTGGTATAAAAGTTAAAGTAGCCTAATTAAAGTTTTTTTTAATGTAAAAATGCAGAAAGTTTAGTGTGATGGGTAGGTTAGAGTTAACGTTAGTGTAAGAGGACAGAATATACAGTTTGTACAGTATAAAACTCATTGTGTCTATGGGGAATATCCCCATTTATAATTAGCTAGCCTAAGTAAACACAGTGTGTGTTTGTGTGTGTGTATGTGTGTTGTTTATTTATTTGGATCCCCATAGCTATGTCCAAGATCACTGCTAGTTTCCCACACAACACTTAAAAACTTACATTATTTATTATCACATACACACAAAAAAAGAAATTAAATTAAAATACTCTCAATAACAACATCAGGGTCCAAAAACATATTCAACATCACAACCATATAATGTATTTATAAAATATAAAACAGGGTCTAACACTTCTAAGACATACATCTATTCTGTGCATAACCTCCTAAATATGATAATCCAAGGTGTCTTTTACCTCCCTTTTAAAATGTAATTTCTGTGTTATTTTAATTGATTACAATGGAAAATAATTCCATGATTTCATTGCTTTATATACAACAATACTGTGTTTCTATAATCCCGGTGGGAACCTGAGTGCATGGGGACAACGTGTGTGTGTGTGTACATGAATGCACACATGGGGACTCGTGTCACTGTGGGTCTAAATTGAGGAAACAAGCTTAAAAAGTTATTTATTTATTGAT